TTGTTGAAAGATGTTATAGATGTAAGGAAGGAAACCCACATTGCTAACGGTTGTCGAATTGTAATTTCTCTATAAAAAACATCTGAATGATTGTAATATGTAATTACGTAATTAAATACCTCGTTTTCGCTTTTAAACTCCTATTTCTAAACGAGGAAGAAGTTTCGCTCTCATTGAAAGGCGACAGAAGATAGTGCAGGAAAGAAATAGAAAAATTATATTCGCAAAGCAAGAAGCCCTTCTCTTCTCATTTTGTGCGCATGCGTTGCTAGTTAATTTTATTATTATCTAAGACCTCTGACTGTAAAATGAAATTTCAAATTAACATCATTGCCAACATAACGTGAACGCTAAAAATATACATAATAAAAAAAATCTGTCGCCTAGCTAACTTAAAAGGGAAAAGCACCATCAAGAAAAACCATTCTTGTATATGTCCAAGCAGCTAAGTCATCCTTCATTGGCCTAATGCAAATGAATTAGTCACTCAAATCAAAAGGTAGATTCAAAATAACAAGATTTTGGTCACCATGTAAAAATCCAGTCAGATACAAAAATTCAAGTCTACCAGTCAATCTATTTAATATGTTACAAAATCTGATTCAGTTTTGTTGCTCTTAAATGCTGAAGACCAGATTTCCAGCGCCATCAGTTTTCTTCGATCCTCCGTTCACATTTCAGTAAAGAACTCGCCCAATATATCAACCCAAAAAGCATGGTTGAGGCCAAGGATAGAAGTAAAAAAATATATAAATGTAAAGTCTCATGATCAAACATCGGAATTTGGAAAGATCGCATGATAAATACCCATAAAATAGGAACTGTTTAAAGCCAAAGCAAGGGTTCTTCAATGCAGTGCACTACCTAACTGTCATTGAACGGGAGCGACGCCTCCGAACTGGAATTCATGAAGAGATAACATAAAAGAAAAAAACAATGTAAAATCACCAAATGCAACACAATATACTGAAGAAACAAAAAATGGTAAAAAAAAAAAAATGTAGCAGTAGAGGAACCATATTAAACTTGTAGATGTACACCCCATCCAATAAAAAAACCTCAAACCATGTCAAACCTAACCGCTGTATGAAACAAAATGGTGCAAATTCGTTCAAAATTATGATCGGGAATCAGAGAGATTAATAGCACATGTTCATTGCCGCATATACAAGGAAATTATCCTCTTTGACGCTAAATTTAGAAAGAAAAGAACATAAAGAAGTCTAACCCAATGTTTAAAAAGAAATGTAGTCAAAGCTGCGAAGGAAGTATGGCACCTTTGTCCTGGAAAAAAAAAAAAAAAAGAAAACCGCCAAGTGCAAGGGAAGTTGTTTTTCAGATCATAGAAAAATAGTTTGAAATCAATCCTACTCCACAAATAACCTGATATACAATTAGCATAAACATAAAATGAAAATAAAATAAAATAAAAGAAAACTCATATTGACCGCCGATGACCAAGCTATCCCTGTGGTACCCACTCTACTTGCAAACTCATCATAAGCCTCATCTATGTCTCTTTATTGCCTGCAAAATTCCATGACGTAACATGAACCCGTTCATCAGAATTTTTGAAATTAACAAAACTGCGACTCGTACTCACTTCTTGGTTATCAGCTAAAATCATTGACTGCTTGCCGTTCCTTTCTTCTTAATCTAGTTGAGCTGTCTGAAGTTATGAAAAATACTCCTTGATAATCAAGTGAGCAAGAAAGTACCCAGCGATCCATTGGCTCATCAATCCCCCAGGGAATCCTCAATTCATCTTCAAGTCTCATCGTCACATACTCGATCACATATCTCGAGCCAAAACTACCCCGGCGCGGGACTGGCTTCTGAATGTATAGGGTTGTTAGAAATCATTATTCAGGAAGGACCCTGCCCCTGGAAATCTCCCACAATCAAGTTGTCGAGCAGGTGTCAATTTTGAAGGACGTGCATGAGGGTGCTCAAAGTTGAGCATGTTTTACGTTATTTCCAATAAGTTCCTTGTGAAAGTGCATTTGTTCTTGAGCACACAGCAACGCTTTCTCATCTAAATGCACGAGCCTATCACCACCACCCACCCACTAACTTCACCTCACATAGGGGACAAACTAGTTTACAATTCCTCCACTGACGCAGGCTGAGTGTTTTTGTTGTAAGATCTGTGTCAGAATGGTTGAACGTGAGATGGCATACCATCATGCACTTTGAAAACGAATCAAACAGTTCGATTGTAAAATGGATCAGTATCCAACACACAAAAGGACGGCACGCTTTCTCATAAGCAAAGCACAATGAAGGAGTTAAACGCTGTTGTGAGGGAAATTCCAAGCATATTAGACAGACTACTCACATCTCCAATTGGTATTTAACTTGAATATCTCCTTTGAAAATACCGGCTAGGGACGGCTTGATAAATAAGGTTCAAATGCCATGATTAACCCTCAAATTAAAATCTAAGAGTACATGGTTATGATCTTCTTCTTTCTTGCCTCAATTGTAGGTAGGACTACTAAAAAAAAAGAGAAAATACCAACATAAGTTTAACCAGATTCATCTCAACACCATATTTAACAAGCGCGACTCTAAGCATAGATAATTAACTACAAGTGAATAAAACAAACAGATATGGCTAGTAAGTCAATGATGAGTAATAATTTAAACAACCGCAAAGAAAAAGAAAATGGTCTATTGTTTGATTAAAAGCTCACACTGATTCAAAATGAACATTTCCCTTCAACAAAGTCGCGAGTTGAAATTTATACAATCACTAGAATACAACTTCATTGACTTGTACAATTGAGATGTATTATATAAAGGAAGTCAGTTCTGTTGTGTCATGCACAAGATAATACAGCAAGATCCACACAGTAAACCTTGTAGAATCAAGCATTGTGTCTAAGAATATGATTTCAGTATTTATATTTTCTAATCTGCTTCTCTTCAGAAGCCAAAAGGGAGCTCATTTCTCAAACCTTGCTCAAAGACCTGTTACAGAGCGAACATATTAAAATCTCATTGCTGGAAAAAATAAAAGTCACATAGTAATGTGGTTAACTTCTTCTTCGGCATCTACAATATTAACATAGCCCTTTAAACTGCTCTTCCTCGATGGTAATCCGATAATGATGACGTTTAGATTTAAGGCAAAAAGATTGCATCTTCTACGTTACAAAAACTCATATGAATCTAACACCGTACAGCAAAAGCATCAAAATTGATCCTAAGAATGGATTAGAATTGTTAACCAGTAATTCACGGAGGAATATTACTAGAGAAATTACAGAAAACTAGATTAATCCTCAATGCAACTGATAATTAAACAATCAATCAAACCAACTAGATTCAATAACATGGTTCTCAGCAAAAGCATCTAAACAGGTGAAGGAAAAAAAAGAAAAAGGAAGAAACGAATCCGTAATACGGAAGTCAAGGGTCAACGCAGAATATAGTCAATAATATTCGTCCAATGCAAACCGCGTAAATTCGGACACAAGAATTACAGCGTCATAATATCTATGTAGGCCAAACCAAAAAAAAAGACAAACCCACAGTAAGTTGTCTGCAATAAAATTAAGCAAAAATTGAAAAAAAGAAAGAAAAATAAAAAAAAAATAAGGAAAAAAGGAAAAAAGAAACAGAACCAGAATTCACAGAGGGCAGAAATGACATAAACTCAAAAAAACACCAAATTAAAGAAGAAAAATGATAAAGTAAACGATCAAATATAAATGAAAAGAAAAAGTAATCGGAAACCATCTGACTGAATTTAACGATGAATTACAAAACTGAAAGGGAAAACCAGAGAAGATACGAGCTAAGAGGTGTGAAAAGAGACCTTTGATGGGAGCGTGATAAGCAGAGTTTCATTGTGATTGAGGGAGTCAGTTTGAAAGTAGCAGGTTATCGGTATAGGGGTCCTCTGCTTCCCGTTGCGAATGTGAAACTATTATGAACGAAATAATTAATAAATATAATAAGTATATTAGATTGACGTTTATTTTTGGCCTTTTATGGCAACCTAAATGAACTTTAATTGCCCCTCCTTGCTACGATGTTCATGACCTAACATCCCGATCACAATTTACATGTTTGAAGTAGGATGATAGAATTGCGATTTATATATATTGGTTTAAAAAAATTAAAGAAAAATAGAAACATAAGCTTAGTTAAATTAAATAAATAGAATGGAATTGTTTAATATAGCGAATTGAATTTTATTTTAAAATCCATGATAAATGGGGTTCAGTAGGAGTATTGAGTTGAGATATGGATATAAATGCGCGAATAGATTAGGACCAATGGCATTTTTTTGTTTTTTTTTTTTTTTTCTTGTCTTTAGTACAACCATTTAATCTCTAATTCTTGGAATTTTTTTTTTTTTTTTTTTTTTTTTTGTTTATACAACCATTATTCTATTCTTGAAAGTAATGTATATTTATTTCTCCAACTTGTGCTTTGGTTGGCAAATTGTCAAACCAGAACGTACTTTCATTGACAAACAAATTCTCTTATATTTTGATAACTAGATTGCTTGATATATTTATATGTCACAGGGCATGCCATATACAAAATCGCAGCTCAAATTTGACTATTGCTGATGGAACTAAAATGGACACCAAAGTCGACCCAGCACTTGTGTTCTAATGTCAAAACACAAACAAACCTTATAAATATATTTTACATGCAAGCAAAATAGTCTCCATGCGAAATTCAACTTTTGGCTTCTGTTATAAAAATTAAAAAGACCCACTTGAGGAGAGAAGCATTAAGAACTAATAATGACAAAGCAGTTGGAAGACCAAGCACGCAAACAAAGGATATGCAAGACAAGCATGTCATTTTTGCTTTCATGATCATCTATATTAGTAGATTACAATTTGCACAGCACAAGCATATTCTCCGAGCTTCATCTATATTTTAACTGTAGAAAATCATATCTTCCAAATGTGAGCAGCTAAACAAAGGCCAATATAGGGAGGATGCCAAACAAACTCAAACAGGAGTCACAAATATGACGAAAAGAAAATATTGTCTTTCAACCTTTGCCGATGAGTATATGCACAAAAAGAATCAATAAATTACAGAACATTACTTTCAAATTCATTTTACAGTTATTTGACACAGTTGAATAAAAGTCATCCTTACATCCAAAAAAACCGATGTGCCCCATCAATGTTACATGAACTTACTACTCCCATATGACCAGCTTTAAGCGAGAGACTAGATTTTTGATACTCTCAGCCACTTTTAGCAAACATTTACTAATATCTTACCTCAACTAATCCTGCTCCTCAATTATCCTGGTTACAACACCTAAAGCAATGGTTCTCCCTAATACTCTCAAAGACACCCTTCCAAGAGCTTTGCAACTTGAGAACTCTTGCACACAAACTGGTCCTTGTAACATGACCTGAAATTAGACAAATGACAACTATCAAATCAATTGGCCATCGTTAATGGATACACTTTTGAGAGAAGTAATCATCTTGCATCTTTAATTCACCTCAACAACAGCATGCTGCTTTGAACTAACGTGACGAGGTGTCTGTTTTGCCACCTTGCCAGTCTTTGGATCAAGTAATGATACAATCCTTACGACTCTTGCAGCCTCTTTCGTATGCTGTATGTGAAATTCCAACTACATATTCCATTCAAAAGATTAGATTGTCCCCTCGAAAGCCAGCACCTGGAACAAACAAACAAGATAATATCCGGTACACGAGCTTACTTGAGAGCCATTCAGAATTGGGGTTGCAAAATCTAAAACCAACACCTTCAATTCCAGATGTTTTGCAACAGCAACTGGGAAATCGGGATGACAAAGAACACCTCCAGCCATCACCTTACTCCCATCAATGCCCATTAGAGTGACAACTACATTATCTCCAGCTCTTGCAAGAGAACAAGCACAAGAGTCACGTTCTAGTGTCCGCACTGTCCCTACCTCTCCAGAGGGCATAACCAAAACCTGCATCATCACAAAACCAAGCACACAAAGGCACAATTGTAGTAACAAGTCCATGAATTAGATGAACTAGAAAGTCGCTGGCTTTTTCCTTTTGCAGTAGATTAGGTGAACTACCTAGCCCCCACCACCTCATCCAATAATATATGAATCTAAGACCTAAAAGAGATCCCAAGCCTTTGTGCTGGAATGTTCTTACCAGCATGAATTTTTAACTAAATATCCTTTATTTTCAAATAACCCATAAATAAAGTGCTTATAAGTAGCAATATTACATACTTTTGATCCACTACGAAGAGCTCCAGCCTCTAATTTACCACAGACTGACACCTGTCCTGATGAAGTTACTTTAATAACATCACATACAGGCATGAGCAGAGGTTTTGAGAAATCTCTTGAGGGAGGTTGAAAAGAATCAATTGCATCCAACAGACAAGGTCCACAATACCTGCAATTCATTACTATATAGTCTATTATCAATGCTTTTATTACAGTTCCTTTTTTTCCCCTCCCTTTTTTGGTTAAAGAAAGTTAATTAAAATAAATCATTCAGAAATTTGCAGCTTTATAGTAGGGTTTGATCTTTTTTTAAAAAAATAAAAAAAAATAAAAAAAAAGAGGTGAAAGTACGGGTTCAACAAAAGATCTAAAACCTGACCTGACCAGTCATAAGCATGAGCACTCACCAGGATGACAAATTGACATCAGAAGGAGCTGACACCAAATTTTGATTTTCCATGGCACTGAATGGTATCCATGAAATCAAGGAATCCTTAAACCCACATGAACGGAGAAATGTTCGAAGTTGTGTTTTGATAAAATCAAACCTATCTTTGGAGTAGTCCACAGCATCCATTTTGTTAATTCCAACAATAATTTGATCAACACCAAAGCTTCTAATAAGTTGTGCATGCTCTCTTGTTTGGCCCTTCTTACTGTCCATGCCAGCTTCAAATGCACCAAAACAGGAATCTATGACAAGAATTGCAGCATCAGCTTGTGTTGCTCCAGAAATCATGTTTGGAACAAAATCTTTGTGGCCTGGGGAATCAAGCAGAACAACATGATATCTTTTGGTATCAAAATAAGCAACAGCCACTGTCATAGTTATCCCCCTTTCTCTTTCTTCAGAACTCTCATCCAGCGGCCAAGCATAAGCAAAGGACCCCTTGCCCTGTTTGAATTAGTAATTATGTCAATCAAATCAAGTTTCTTTAACACCAAACATGTGAACAAACAAAACATAAAAAAACATACAGATAACAAACATTTGTGACATTACATGCAACTTGGCATCTCTTTCAAATTTGTGCATTTCTTTTTGGGTTATTCGTCCTAAAAGATGTAGCAATCTTCCAGAAAGAGTTGATTTTCCAGAATCAACATGACCAACCTGCAATAACATATTATGTGAAAGTTCACCTATTAGATATTTATCAAAATATCCATATGAAGTGACAGCTGATTTTCCTGTATGACAGGAAAAAAAACAAAAGTCAACTTACAATAGCAAGATTCAGTTGAGTTAAGGAGTTATCTGCTTTGTCAGGGACCATCCATTTATCAGGTTCATATTGTGCAATTGGCTTGGATTTTCTATCATTAACACTTGCTAAGTTTCCAGATTTATCAGACAGAGACATATTGTTCAAATTACTAGTAAGCCTGTGAGGCTCACCCTCAATTATTGAAGAACTGCCATCATCCATACTTATATTTTTGCTTTCAGGCATCAATGAAGATGAGCTCTCCAATGTTTCATCACTTGATTGGATGTAGAGTGTACCACTCTTTGAACAAATGCTCTCATCCATTCTATTAGATCCAGACTTGGGCACCAAAGCAGAAGAGTTGTCTGAACTTTCAGACCATGACTCTGTATAAGCCACTCTGGTCGGTGCATAACGGCCCTCATCCACACTACCTTGTTCGCCTTTTTGAATCAACAGAGAAGAACTATCTGACCTTTTTATAGTAGATTGTGCATTAGTTGCACCATTCTTGTCAGATATGCCTGAAGAAGCTCTTGGAGATTTGTGATTGACAGCATTGGCTACAAGCAACAAGCACAGAATCAAAGATTCAAAATGAACTCAAAAATTATATTAAAATATAAACTGAAAAAAGTTCATAGTAAACAAAATAACTTATGATAGCAAAAATAAAATATAAGTGCTTTGCTAAAAGCAAGTCTAGATTGAACAAAATTAGAAAGCAACCAGAAAATTGGCTAGCCTTAAAAGCACGGGAAAAAAGAGCAAACTCCAAATTCCAATGTCTTAAAAAGGCCAATGCAGTGGTATTTTGTAGAAAAGGTAGCAAGCTTTACATCATATGTTGCCCAAAAATTGTTTTGATTTAAAAGAAAATAAAATATCGTAACATACACAAAGAGAAAAAGTACTTTCCTATCGTCTCAGAATCAACAAAAAGTAAACTAAATTCTTAATGTCCATATAGCTGAAACCGTATGGTCCAACTTGTTGCAGTTGCACAGAACCTGTGATCACCTAGTTAACAAATAGCTTCAATACAAGAGCTACCATTTCCTTATTTTAAATCTAAACTTACATTTTTCATGTAAAATTGCTCATTAAGAACTCAACATGAGTTGTCTACCATTTACCCCCCAGACTTTTACAAGTTGCTATACTGTACCAGCCTTTACTGCCACTAGATTAAACATCCATTTGTCTAGAGAAAAGTAGGTGAGCAGATAGAGCTGATTGTATTACAATCAACTCGGACTAGACAAACACCTTTAATTTTCTGGTAGGCAACGGAAATATTTAAAAATAGCAGCATGAGGTGGCCCCTTAATAGTGGTTCATGAAATTTTGCAACATTCCAACTAAGTAGACTATTAATGCTTCTAGCAATACTTCTCTTACATTCACAACATACTAGTTTTCTAGTTCTTATATTGCTAGATATGATGGAAATTGTCCTGACACTGGATATAAACTGGCCTATCAAAATTGCATCCATAAAAGAATACCTCTTGAACCCTTTTTGGAGGAATGCAATCCATTAGAAACCAAATCATCTGGAGATGGAATATCAAACTTGAAAGGAGCTGCAAATTTAGTAGGTACAAGGTTAAAATATATCACATAATGTTTTCAAAAGCAAAATGACAAAATAACTGCAACTAAGGCACTAGATGCTCAAACAGAGGACTTTCAACTTGATGAATCAGTGTGTTTAAAATCTACTATTCTTGAACACATTTAGTACAGGAGTGGCTATGAGAACTAAAATCCTTATGGAATTCATAAAAATTTCCTTCGACATTCTCACACTTAAGAAAGTTACTGGCCCCCTTTTCCCGGTTAGCAACAAATTCATCTTCCTGTAGTTGAGCTACCACAGGCTTGTGGGGTGTCTGATGTGGCAATAACCCAAAAAGAGACTTCGCCATCATGGATACTCCAGAATCCTTGCACACGCTGTCCGCTGCATGAAAAAGACCTATTCTATAAAAGGAGAACCACTCGAAAGGAAACCTAAATATAACAGGGACAGTGATGCAAGCTCTATGCTCAGTGATACCAAACCAAAAAGACAACAGATATGAGTGTCACAGCCACAACCATGCTTCACAAGTTTATGTCCTAAATTTGACCAGGAATCAAAAAAATAAAATGAAAAAAAAAAGAGAATAAAATAATATCATAAAAAATAAAACACAAAAGTTAAGTTAAGATCAATCCATATAGTTAAGTTACTCATTTCTGCAAATTCAACATTAAATATATAGAGAATGTAGTCAGAGAAAAAATTTGCACACCTGTTCTCTTATCAGCTTTGTTGTGGTTGCCTGCAGTGGGATTACGAATTACCCCACAAATGTCACATGCAGACATATCCTCCTCGTTATCGTAAGTGCAAATGGCGCAACGCCATATCCCAGGCCTACTAACTTCTTGCTGAGGCTGAGGTGCTTTCCCTGTTAAGGAAACAAAAGACAAGCACTTCATGTACGAGAAATTACAGAACATTTCAACATTCAGCACAACAAATAAGTAACTTGCATAAGAAATAAAGGATCAAACAGCAAACCAGTTAAAGCAATAATAAGGAGTATTCAAATTTTCAAATAATTCCATGCACACACAAACTCTACATTTATATAAATGCGTGCTTCCTTACTGACCAGTGTCCTCGTCATCATATTCGTAGTCATATTCTTCATAATCATCATAATCTTCATCATAATCGACCCCATAATTTATTTTGCGAGGCATGGTCTCAATAAAATGAGACAGATAATAGAATTTTGATTTGTGAAGAGCAGCAACAGCCGTGATAACTTTGAAAGAGAGTAGAAAGTGTTTTAGTCCGATATCCAAAGTAAGAATTCTTCTCTTCACTCTTCATCAATGATGCTGCACAGAAACAAAAATATTACTATTTCTTTCAATCGAAAGTGTGGTCACCATCGAATATAAAATTCAAAAGAAATTAGAAACAAGCAATGACTTAGTTGAGGTAAGAGATTTGAACCAACAAAATCTTAAAAATATATAAATATATACAGAAAGCATTCGAATGTCCTGTTCTTTTATTTTCCTAAATTTTTCTCAGCAACCAAACAATCCGAGACAACCTGATAATATTCTGAAATTCAGCTCAATTCAGATTGCTTCCCAACAACTAGGTCGAATAATTATCATAATAAATACAATTTTCCTCAATGTTTTAGTAATTATAAGAATAAATTAGATTAAATGACGAGATGAATCTTTAAAAAAAAAAAAAATACAAGTAGGTTAGGGCTCACCCGGAGAACCCGCAGCTACAGAGGTCGCTGAGATGGTTTCTTTTTTTCTTTCACTCTCGAGATGGGAGCACCGGCACTAGGCAATCTCAGATTCCGATTCTATTTATATATAACTCGTTAATCGTGTCGTTGAGTCTCAGATTATATCATTAATAGTATTATTATTTTTCGTCAGATACATGAAAAAGGTCTGTTTATTATCGTTTCTTTTTAAGAAATTATTATTACTATTATTAATTATTAATTTAACAATAGATGATAATAACATGATTTTAAATGTTATACAGTATTTCATATTTAAATTTATGATTTTAAATTGATTTGGCTATATGTAGTCCCCAATTAACAACTCTAATTTTATAAATTTCGCCAACCGCGCTCATCAACGTATGACTTTCCGATAAATAGATAGGGTCAGACTCAGACGGAGTTAATGTCACGGTGACAGAAATGAGTGGAACAGAGCTCGCACGAACAGAAGCGCCCAGAATGTGCCAAAATACATCTATACACCTGTTACATTTTTCATTTGACCGTTCCTTCTATACAACCAAAAAATCATTACATATCCACCACTTGACATTTACAACTTTGAAAAAGAAAAAATTACTCTCCAAAGGGAAAAAAATGGTATAAGACTGTGTCGGATGTATAATTTAGTTCAACCAACGGTCTACTTGGTATTTTTATTTTTTTTTTGTTGATTTATCGAGCTTTAATCATCTGTCGTACAAGACCTTGTCACTCCATGAAAGCATGAGATCCCGAATAACAGTTGGAATGTCTGCAATTTAATAGCATGAAAGTTTTTAATATCCATAAAAAAAAAAAATGATTTCATTATGCCACAGAAAAACACATTGCAGTCAAGTCAGTCACTGATACTTTACCTCTTACAACTTCCACAGCTACCGAGGGTATATCTATTTCATCTTCAACAAGTCTATAAACGTCTACAAGCTGCAGGAATAGAAGGATGAATTCAAAAATTGGATAAAAAAGAATGCAATGCAACTTTCTCAAAATAATATATTGTAAACATAACAAATTACATTCAGACAGACAGACAGACCTCTTCAATGTGAAGCTTTGAATCTTCAGTCAGAGCCAAAAGCAGCTGTCTACGAATTCCTTCATCAGTAAAGAAAAGACGAGCTCCATCTTTAATAGTGTCTGTCAGATCTAGCTTCTTTAAAACTCGTAAGCTTCTTGAACTTTCTCTGCAAGGGAATAAAATTTGTAGATAAATATAGGTCCTTAAACACTTAAGCAAAATCAGTTTCATAGGCGTGAAAAGATACAGACATGTTGTTTCCTTGCAATGCAGGGTTGCTGCTCATCCTGGCTACATTTTCTTTTGCAAGACTAATTAGGTTTTCAAGCCGTTTCCACTGGAAAACGCCATCTTTAAACAGAACCTGTCACATTAAGTAGTTTATTATCGAGGGATTAAAATCCGATAAATCACCGAGGTTGATGGAATTCAACGTACTGTCTTACAGGAATTCTTTAAGAGGCTATTACACAAAAATGATTCTAGAAAGCAAAATATTAAAATAAGTTTTAAAACATAAAATATACAGTTAGCGCAAATCACATTTAAGATAAGCTAAGAACAGATTTCAACCGACCTGTATGAGCCGTTCACGCAGAGCTGGATTTGGGTCTGTTAGTAGGCGCTTAGCCACATATGGGTAAGCAACCTAATCAAATGTTCAATGAAAACTCTACATTAGTTAGGCAAAACATATGACAGTGATTCAAGATTTTTAAGATCCAAACTTAACTGAAGAGGAAATAGATTATACATTTGAAAGTAAAAAGGGAAAAAAAAAAATTAGATAGGTCTTCACCTCAAGAAATTTAAAATCTGGCTTCAGGGTGAAACAGATGCCCTCCTGAGTCAACAGAGAACGGATAACAAGGGAAAATCGCTCTGGTATGCGGATGGGATAATTGTAAACTAACTGATTAAATTTCCCTGCAGTGTGCATACAGAGTAGTAGCTTCTGATTATTGTAACTAGAAGTTTCAATATATGCGTCGATTTTAGAGGGATAATTAAAAAAATGATAATAGAGAAAAAAGCTGCCATATAAAAATTTGAATCACATGTTGAAAGTGCAGGTTGTACGAACAATTGAAACATCTACATTCTATTGTCTAAGGCTCTCAGCAGATGATTAGAGAAAAAACTAGTACAAAGGTTGCAGGCCATAAAATTACCTGTGACACTTCTGAAATTAAAATCTGAAAGTCCTTTCCCAACTGAGTTCTGCCAAATTGCTTCCAAAGCTGGAATGATAGGAGAGACATCAGTTCCACTAGCCAAGAAGCCCAGCCTAGTGAAATCATTTGCCATCTCAGCATAGTCTTCATTTACGGCATGCACAACTGCGTCGATCAGTATCTGCTTATTTTGCTGAAACAGAGACAGCAGATCAATGCACAAAACAACAAAAAGCATGTCCAGTGCGAATGAAACTATCTAGAAGTTACAGTCTCCCACTCTGTGTGAAATAATTTCACTGTAGGCAAACATTATGCATCGCTTAAGAGATATTCTCTTCACAGCCAATAAATCCATGTATACTAGTACCAGCAGAAATTGATATATCAGTTCCCTTGTACACAAATATAAGAAGAAATCAAGCCTTGTCTCCATAAGCAAGGATTTTGATCTGCATATCTTGGAACCAACATCCTACCTGACTAAGCACAGCAACATTCCCAAAGTCCACATATGCAATTCGTCCATCGCGCATAGCAAAAATGTTTCCAGGATGTGGATCTCCATGAAATAATCCAAATTCTAGCAATTGCCGCAGAGCAGCACTCACCCCAACTGTTAAAAATCCATTTACATCAATGCCAGCTTCCTTGATAGCCTGAGTAAGTTACATCAAGCAATACATTATCACTAGTATAGAAAAGGCAAACTAATAACAGTGCGATATGATTTTGAAATCCAAACCTGTGGATCTGTGCACCGAATACCATCTATCCATTCCATCACTAAAACACGTGAACCAGAAAGCCTTTTGTAAACCAGAGGAATTTTAACTGTAGGATCATCTTTGAAGTTTTCCAGAAAATCTTCAATATTCCGTGCTTCCTGATTAAGACAAGAAACAGAACTATTAAACATATAAAAGTACAAAAGAATTACTGCTAAAGGAGAGGTGAACAATACATATCAGTTTGGCTGCTATAGCAATAGATAGGGGTGTACAGATCAGGTTACTGGACCCAATTTGACAGCAAAGATATGTTTTTTGTTGAAAAACTGAAAACCTTTGCATTCACAAGTTTATAAAATATTCTTTAAGTATAATGAATTAGTATTCAAATCCAGATGTCAGTTTTGATTTGAACAGCCCTGGCAATAGATATCTAGCTACAAGAATGCTCGGGCATGTTGAGGCCCACGATAACTTACTTATCTTATCTAGTTGCAACAGTACAAAGCAAGAATATTAAGCACGGTTTTGAAGTTACCAAGGTATAATCGAGCTCCTCCAGAAGTTTCTCACCAAATTCATCAACTATCAGCTCAGCATTGCATCCCAGCTTCTGTAAGCTGATGCCATTTAGGAATGAAGCCAGAGTTCTAAAAAGAAAAAGATCCCGGTAGATTATGGGCTCTATCTCAGGCCTTTGCACCTGCAAGAAAAATTTTTAAGAACTACTTGTTTGTCATCTTTAGTAGTGCTTTCGGATTTTCAGCATCCTTTTTACAACATTTTTTAGAGCTCACACAACCTTTATTGCAACGTCCTCGCCAGTATCCCGTAAGGTAGCTCGGTAAACTTGGCCCAAGCTTGCAGCTGCTATTGTTTGTGCGGAAATTTTACTGAATACAGCTTCAAGAGGTTGGCCCAATTCCTCTTCTATAATCTTGAAAGCGACCTATCAAAATGCTCAAACTGGTTATGTAAAAAGATATAATCAGGCAATGTAAATAAATTGCCAGCAAAAGTTTTTTTTTTTTTTTTTTTTTTTTTTTTTTTTTTATGACTCGTGTAAACTTGGCCAAGCTTGCAGCTGCTATTGTTTTGTGCGGAAATTTTACTGAATACAGCTCAAGAGTTGGCCGAATCTCGTCTATCTATAATCTTGGAAAGCGGACCTATCAAAATGCTCAAACTGTTTGTAAAAAGATATAAATCAGGCAATGTAAATGAAATTGCCATGCAAAAGTTTTTTTTTTTTTTTTTTTTTTTTTTTTTTGCTGCCTGATTGGGGAAATGGAGGAACATCATCTTGAAGAATGCAGAGCTCATTCTTTTTTTTTTTTTTTTTTTTTTTTTTTTTTTTTGCCTGCCTGATTGGGGAAAGGAGGAACATCATCTTGAAGAATGCAGAGCTCATTCATGTAATCTTCTCTAATGATATCAGGTCTGTTGGCAAGAACCTGACACAAAGAATATCCAATCAATACTGTCGTCGCCTTAAATTGTCTTAACTGGAACTCACTAAATATAAAAATAATGGAAACAATTTGCAGTTCAATAATGTAAAAATTTAAATTAAAGACAATTTAGTTCAGCGAACGGAGAATTCGAAAAGATCGACACAAGACAAACCTGCCCAGCTTTGATAAAGGAAGGCCCTAGATCACACAAGAGGTTCCTGAGCTGACGAGCACGATATGGAACGACCTCTTTATCCCTTCCAACCAAGAAATCATACATCAAGGTAGACCAGTAGAATCCTAAATTCCAGACTATCTCTACTCCGCGTGATATTAGAGACAATACCGAACCTCTAGATTCCAACACCATATTCCTCACCTGAATTTTTTTTTACAACAATAACAGAACCATTTTCATATAAACAACCAGGAACATCAAATTCAAATTCAATTAATTTGAAAAGAAAATGATATAATTACTGGTGTATTCATACTGTCTCGGGAGAGTACTTGCGGAAGGGCACACAGACTCCGCGCTCGATGTCAAGCTGCTCCATGGCGGCGCTAGACATTCCTTTCAACTGTAAAGATGCTTTGTTGTCTGTCTCCGTCATAGTCGCTAAGCTCCTATTATTCCTACTGGTTGCGGCGGTTCCATTTCTGGAATTTTCAGCTGTGGAAGCGGCTGCGAGATTCGAAACTCTAATCGGCGACAATTTATTGCTTCTTTGGAGCATTGAGTGTAAGATTTGGGAACGTGGGCGTACATTTCTGTGATTCTTAGAGGAGAAAGATGGTGCGTTTATGCAGTTTGGATAAATCAAATCCATGAGGTGAAGTTGGCTAGCTGCCCAAGAGTTCAAAAGTCGGTTAATAAAAGAGTTGATCACACTTTAGAAATGAAAACCACATAATATAGTGGATAAATTTCCGTTAAAAACGCAAATATGCAAGCGACGGGGAAGTAATTTTGGTTGCCTGCACGACTGTCCTCTGGGTGTTTCAGCCAATCAGCTAAATTTTAGTGGCTTTAAAGCCACTAGCGTTGTTGACTTGTTACCAATGGCATGTCGCAGGGCGTTATTGTGGGTTAGCCTTAGGAGATCCTTTTACATTTCCCCAAATTCTTTTTTTTTTTTAAATATAATTAGTTAATAATAATATCAAAAATTATAAATAACTTGTCTTTCAACTAAAGAAAATAATTTATATTATTTCAAATAATAAAATTAAAATTAAAAAAAATATAATATTAAATCTTTTTTTCTATATTTGAATTGCTTTTAATTTTGCAACATTCGACGAACGTAAATGAATTTCCGCCATTATACGTCAATAGCATCGATAGATGAACGGACCATACGTTCTACTAGTTGAAGACGGAAGATCCACATTTGTAAATCAAGATCTAAAGTTTCCAAACAAGTAACAAGTCGGCTGTCAAACAAATATATTGTGGGTCCCTATAAAAATGAGCTCTAGGCTTTTGAACCATAAAAAGTTTTACAGATTTAAATACTCCTTCGTCTCATTTTATTTGCTTATTATTCATTTTTTAGATGTCTCAAAATATTTATAAAATTTCTAAATTTAAACGTGTAAATAATTATTTTTTATAATAATTTTTATGATTGTTCAATGAATAAAGAGCTTTTAATATCTTAATGAGTTATTAAGAATAAATAATGACAAAATAACTTTTATTGACTAAATGCTTAACTATGTAAACAAAATGAGACAGAGAGAGTACATAGTAAAAAATTATGCAAATAACATTTATAATTTTATACATACTAAATAAAAATATTTTATTAGAATGAAATTTAAAATTTAATTTAATTGTTAAATTATCATTAGACTATTGTTATTTGGACTATTAAATAGATATCTCATGCTTTGGAATTTAGTTGGACACAATTGCAAAATTGAATTATGTGAAAAGATTATGTAAGGTGGTTGTTTTAATTAATTAAATGCGAAATATATGAAATGCATAATCCATTGTCGTTTATGGAATTTCACATTTTTGACTTTTAGCTCTCAAAAGTAAATTTATGAATTTTAGATGATATTTTTTAAATAAAAATAAGTGGTTAAAATTTTAAAATTAGTAAAAGATTATTAATTCAGAAAATTTTATTGTGATTTCTCTCTTTTAAAATAGTTGAATTGGAAACATGATAAAATTTAACGATTTTATGTATTATGTCTTATTTTTTTCCAATTAAGTGAATAAATTTAATAAATCATGAAATATTTAATATAGAATTATAAATATAATCAATTTATTAAATCTATTTTTAATTTAGTAAATGACTTATTTTTAATTTATTATTATCAATAATATTAAAATTAAATGTTTAATGTTATTTTTAATGTAAAAAATATTCGTGATGACACCAATAGAACTTTTTTGGTCTGCCCATTGAACGGTATAAATCCGATAAAGTAAAAATAGGCAGAATCGCTGCTCCCGTGGAGTAAAAGCGGGAAAAACTAAAGTGAAAATGGCGGGAAACGTAACTCAATATTCCTCATAACTCAGGTTCATAATCACAAATTGCTTCACGTTTTCGTTTTCAGTATTATTTGAATTTAATTTCTGGTTCTAGGGTTTAGAGATGTTTTCCAGCAGCCAATTCGATGCCACGTCCGCCTTCTCAGGCGGCGGATTTATGCCCTCACAGTCAACTCAGCTCACCGATTCGTCTCCGTCTCCTGCGAAAGTAAGTAATCTGAACTTTTATACGGTTATGCACATCCTTCGTTACTCGCCTCTGTTTGATTCCCGAGAAAGTTTAGGAAAACAAAGCAACATAAAACGAATGCATATTTAAATAGAGGAGGTGATGATCTTTTTGTTCTCTACATAATAGAAGAAGATAGGCTGACTTCTGTCTAATGCAACCTCCATATTTGGAAATGAAGATCTGTATCTCTATTTGTGTGTTTGTCACTTTTTTGGATGTTATTCACTGTTTATTCTCTTGGCCTGCAAAAAGGGTTTGTTTTGTAATCTTATCGCTTTGGTTTTAGGGTCGCGATTCTCAGGGTCTGGTGCCATTGACAGTGAAGCAGATAAGTCAAGCTTCTCATAGTGGTGATGAGAAGTCAAATTTCGTCGTAGATGGCGTGGATGTTACTAATGTAACAATTTTCAGATATTTTCACAGTTCACTATTGCCCTTTTTTGTTCAAACAAAAATTCTCTGGACTTTGAAAAAAAAAAAAAAAACGAAACAGACTCTATTCTCTTTGAAAGGAGGATTAAGTGATCTTTTTGACATCTTGTTGTTCTAGGTTACAGTGGTTGGAATGGTGTTTGATAAAGCTGTCAAGGTTACCGATGTTAGTTTCATTGTGGATGACGGAACTGGCCGAATTGGATGTAGAAGATGGTATTATTTGTTCCCCTGATTTGATGCATTGATATCAAATTATTATCAGTATCATTCATCTCTCTCTCGTCTCATGCTTAGCATCACGTTTTTTTTGTCTAACAGCTACGCGATTTTGTTTCTGTTCTATATTTTGAAACATGGTTGTAACATACGTTTAATGCTTTAAACAGGGTGAATGAGAACTTGGACACGACAGAAATGGAGACAATACAGTGAGTCTTCAGTCTTATACACTTAGATAACTGTTTCCATAAGCTATTAAGCCTTGCTCTTTCTGATCATAAAGTTTTTTATTTTTTCATATTCCGGTTTACAACAGAGATGGAATGTATGTTCGTGTTAATGGACACTTAAAAAGTTTCCAAGGTGTGAAGCAGTTAGTTGCATTCTCTGTCAGGTGTGAAGGTTAATTGCTCTTTATATGATTTGGATAATTGCAGTTGAAGGCTAGGAGCAGGTCCTTTTAAGCAATGTGCATTCCATTAAAAGTTCAACAATAATTCTGGATTGGATTTGAGCTTATTTTTGTATAATTTATTTTTACCTTTACATAAAGAAATTATATTATGGAATTGATAGGAGTAACCCACCAACACAAAATGATTATGTAGATTATCAGCTTCTATGCTTTGTGCTTATCTTTTGCATTTATTCGAGTTCTTTTTGTTAGAAGCAAATCCATAAATCCATGGCTTCTCATGATTCTTTGGATTTACTGTTTGTCAGGCCTGTAACAAACTTTGATGAGGTCACTTTCCACTTCATTGATTGCATACACACCCATTTGCAGAATTCCAAATTGCAGGTAGCTATTAAATATGTTCACTCAAACCATGTTCAGCATAATTGAGAACAAATATGTTGAGCGGATATATTATGTTCTTCTGTTAATTGTTTACATTTTTGCGTTATTGAAGCTGCAGATCGGTGCCTCAATTCAGCCTCAAATGTTAGAATCATCTACTAACACTCCTGTGCGAAATGGATCAAATGAATATCAGGCAGCCACAACTATTCAAGTATGATACTGGGAGAAGTTCTTTTTCATTTCATTGACTTGTCTCTATATGTTTGGCGTGACAATCTTGTCTTCTTTTTTCAGCTCTCAAAGCAATATAGTGTTGATGGACTAAAGGACACTGATCAGTTGATCCTTGACTATCTGCAGCAATCTTCAAGCATGTGAGTTTTTTGCAAAATTCTTAATTATCTTTCACAATGTTGCTTCCTTTTGTTTCAAGTTCCATAATGGTCAGTTTTGCCCTGTACTTCATGAGCTGATTTGAGTGGAAGAATAAGTATTACTTTGCAACCTTGACAGAGTGTTTGATACACAGAGTTCTAATCATATAAGCTCCTGTGCATCTTGAGATTACTTACGCTTACGCAGAAGCAAGCAATATATAGCATTCATTGTTTGTTTATTATCCCCCTTCCCAGTCCTCATATCTTCACCCATCTTGAGAAATATGGAAAAAAAAAGAAGATAAACTGAAGATAACTTTTATAAATTTGCTATAAATCCTTTAATCTCGTTTTCCATGGTTCATATTTCTTTAAAACACCACTCTGATCCATGGTTCATAAAGCCTTTTATTTGCAGAGCTTCTTTTCTTTGTTTTGGTAGGTTCAGGTTATAACTCCTTACTTTCACAATGATTTTCTTAGATGTTCACGGCACATTCCCCCCTTCTTGCACTTGGCTATTAACTTGCCATTTGTGCGAACTTGAGGACTTGGTATTTGTTTGCAGGGGACAGGAAAAGGGAGTACACATGGATGAACTTTGTCAGCAACTAAAACTTCCTATGGAGAAGATCAAGTAATATCGCTATTACTGTCTCCTGTCCCTGCTTCCCACCTTCATTGAGTAATTCTTTTTCATACATCTGCTGTGTTATCTTTGTCAGGGGTTCTATTCGGTCACTTGAGGATGAAGGTCTGATATACTCCACAATTGATGAATTTCACTACAAAGCAACCTGATGAAATTGATGATCGTCTAGAAACATTGCCTTGGCTGTGAGTGGTTCTAGTAACATATCATTAAATCTGATACCGATTGTGTTAGAGCCTTGGCAAACCATTGTAGATAACTGGATATTTACTGAGATCCTTGAGTTGTAGACAGATCAGAGTAAGAACTTATTTATAGTTTTTATTGATCATGTAATCGACTCTCACAACTTCTGCAACATTTTTGGTGTTTGTTATTGATTCAGTTAACTCGTGGAAATGGTCCATTTTTATTGTGGCTTCTTGGTCTTATTACCTTTTTTTTTTTCCTGCTGTTTTATTCAAGTTACAAATGATTTCTACTAATTAATCTGTAACCATATTTTACCTTTGGCTCACAGTCACAGGTTAGTCCTTTTTTGGGTATAGTTTGGATGGTACTTGTGTGTGCTTAAAATTAAAATTTTAAGGTTATATCATGATTAATTATCTTCAGAAAAGTATATTAATTTATGATGACTATACTATAATTTTAAAAAACAAAAATTGGACACTATTAAAAAGAAAAGAAAAGGCCATTTATAGCCAATTGAGGCCTAGCGAAGCAGCCAAGCTGCCTGTTTTAAAAAAATTTAGTGCCTAGAGTAAAACAGTCGGGACATTTTATGTTTGCATGATACATTAATAATGATCATCGACTTATCTTTGTTCTGTTCTGTCTTCTATCATGGCCAAGTAAACTCAAAATTCAAATTCTTTCACGTGGTGGTTCGACGACCATTCTGTCGTTCAACGTAAACAAAGGAAAAGATTGTTATTCTCAACGGGCACTTCATTAACCAAGTTTGATGGGTGGTTTAATCTACATCCGACAGAACAACAATTTTGCCCATCTCTAACCGAAAAACTTCCAAATCTAAAATCCTATAGCCCAATTTCAAAGGTTAAAGTTTTCGATGGGATTTATGACCCGGGATGATTCAAGTGGTTGTGGCGATTGCGATTTATTCCTCTTAACTCTTTTTTGTGGTTAATTGTACAACTTTGGATTTTGGACACAATGTGCTCGATGATTTGCCTGAATGGGAACTAGGTGTTAAGGTGCCTTTTGGGCTTTCTCTTCATGTGCGATTGTTAGTATGTCTTGATTAAAGACTTGGCAGGAAAATCTAGCAGGTTTTTTGGTGGCAGCATAAATCAGAAGAGATTGTTCCTGCAACAGCCACAGGATAATTAATGGATGATCACTGATTGAACAGACACATGATTTTGTAACTACGTTTTTGACAAATTACGTACCATCCGAAGAGAAAAGCTAAGCCAGGCAGGCACAATTAGAAGTTGAAAAATGTGCTTTAGAGAAGCTAAAACCGTTCTTATGAAAAGAATCTCTTTCAATCATCCAATTCAAAACGTTTTTTGGAGTACTTTTAGTTTCTAAATATGATTTGACTTTGTAATTCCTTTTGCATCCACGAGGAAAACAAGAGGCATCAATCATACACGTACCTAAAAATTTTGAAAAAATTGTAGTAATATATAATTATGACAAAAATACATGCACCTAATAATTTTGAATATAGTAAAATACAATTATTACAGAAAGGTTGTTGTCATGAAGATGCAGTGAAAGCATTTGTAATTCATCACCAATGATGTTGAGCTGTAAAGTGTGATCAGGGTAGTTTCTTTTTTTTTTTTAATTCGCAATAATACAACTGACTGAAGATTTTCTCTTCTCTCTTATCAATCTTGAGCCGCCATAGATTTGTTCATGCAGTGTCAAGAAAATTTTCTTTTTCTCTTTTAAAAATACGGAGAAAGTTGAATTGCTGGAGCAAATCTTGATGGAGGAATAGCTAGTACAAACTTGAATTATTAACATTAATAATGGAAACATTGGAATTAGCCAACAAATTTTCAAATCTGTACAAAGTGCAAGGAATAGCTAGTTCAAATGTTAGTTCTGGAAGCAATAACAATTAAGAAGAAGAAGGTTAGATGAATGTGTACTATCGTGTGTCTTTAACTTTAATTAAATCGTAATTAAGTTAAAGAAAAAGGTTTAAAATGGCCCCTGAACTTAGAGCAGATATTCAATTTGCCCCTTTTTTTGAACTTTTTGGACTAAATAACCCAATCACTTAATAGAGAAGGATCAAAAAGCCCATATAGTAAATTTTAATTAACTATTATTTATGCAATGTTGAATCTGGGTTTGTTTCTGAGTAACTCTAAGTGATTTTGAAAAGTGAGAATTATTATTTTCCATGATTCATGATTCATGATTGATGCCAAAATAGTATATAAATCATGATTTATGTGATCTAAGAAAGTGAAAATGGAGAGGATGATCCAGAGAAAGGAGCTATTTTGAGAAAAATAAAAAAAGAAAACTACAACGGTTTGTATGAACATTGTTCCATTTAATAAATTGTATTAAATTGTCGTAAGGCAAAAATTATAAATTAAATTCCATTTAATTTAAATTGTCGTACTAAATTTCAATTTCCAAAATTATATCTCATGATACAGAATGTGTAGAACATGCTCAAAAGGAAGATTAACTGATTGATTAATATCAACATATTCGTGAGTTAATACTAATATCAGTTTTTCTGTTCAAAATTGATTTTGGCAGAAACACATACAGCTTCAAGTTCAACTCATCAACCAATGTGAAATTTCTAAGATTAAAAAAATAAAATTACAAAAAGATTACAGGCAATCAACTCATTTCAGTTTGGACTTTGAAGAGTTGTGCAGAGGCTTTGCAATGGGTCTAGCAGGGGCACTTCTCACAGCCTTCTTCGCATCATACTTCACAGAAGAGAAGGCACAGATCAAGGCAAGCAACATTGTTGGATAGACATAAATAGCTTTAGCAGGATCTATATTTGCGGGCTTTCCTAGGATCCCTTACTTCACAAGGCCCCATATTACCAAAAGTGTTCCAAACATGCTCATCCTCCCAGGTTTTAATAAGCCCACGACTGCTCCTGCCACAGAAAAATAGCTTCCTGCAAGAACCTGGAACAAGGACCACAAACATAGCAGGAAGATCAAAAGAAGCTATAATGTGAAATTTACAAAACTCAAGTCACATCAAAAGTCCATCAAGATCACGCTAAAGCAAGTAATATGAACCAAATAGGGATCAAATTAGAACATATTTTTCAGAGTTGCAAGTATAGGTTTCCTGTTAATTATAAGTCAGCCATTGCATCAGAAAGCCAAAGATTCTGTAATAGTTTTTCCACACAATGAAAATTTATTGATATACAAACTGCACAAATTCACTTCATCTCCAATACAGTTGTGATAATTATACTTACCAATCGGATGTACATAAAGAAATACAGATGTTAGAGCTTAAAGCACTGAAATAACATTGCCATATATTTTAGCATCCAGCCAAAGCCTAAAACTCCAGGAAAGAATTGAAAGAAAAATTCATAAAAATATGCTAGATAGGAGAAGGCCACGCAGTTGAATGAATTTGACCAAGTCAATCACGAGACTGAAAATGAAAGTGCATAACAAATAAAAAATCGATGAAATCTATTTCTTCCTCTGGCTCACCCAGCTCCTTGACAGTGCCATTAGTCAAACAAAGAAGGTGCCATCAACTTTAACAAGTAATTTGGATTTACAATTCGAGAAAACATGCCACAATGAAAATTTATTGATATACAAACTGCACAAATTCACTTCATCTCCAATACAGTTGTGATAATTATACTTACCAATCGGATGTACATAAAGAAATACAGATGTTAGAGCTTAAAGCACTGAAATAACATTGCCATATATTTTAGCATCCAGCCAAAGCCTAAAACTCCAGGAAAGAATTGAAAGAAAAATTCATAAAAATATGCTAGATAGGAGAAGGCCACGCAGTTGAATGAATTTGACCAAGTCAATCACGAGACTGAAAATGAAAGTGCATAACAAATAAAAAATCGATGAAATCTATTTCTTCCTCTGGCTCACCCAGCTCCTTGACAGTGCCATTAGTCAAACAAAGAAGGTGCCATCAACTTTAACAAGTAATTTGGATTTACAATTCGAGAAAACATGAAGAACTGTCAAACAAATATTGGCTGTCACGTCGCTGCGAAAGTCATTGATGCAAAACTAGCAAAATCATCACCTTACATCCCGAAAGTCATTGATGCAAAATCGTCACGTTATATCTCGCCCCATCAATGACAAAAATCACGGCTGAAACCTCAAGTATGTTCTGTCATTACGCAATCGATACTAAACCATAACCGTATATTCGAGAAAACATGAAGAACTATCAAACAAATATTGGCTGTCACGTCGCTGCAAAAGTCATTGATGCAAAACTAGCAAAATCATCACCTTACATCCCGAAAGTCATTGATGCAAAATCGTCACGTTATATCTCGCCCCATCAACGACAAAAATCACAGCTGAAACCTCAAGTATTTTCTGTCATTACGAAATCGATACTAAACCATCACCGTATAGGGTGCTCGGTCGACAACAAGAATCACAGCTGCACCCTCAAATATATCCGGTCGACTTATTAGCTAACCAACTTTCAAATCTGTACAAAAGCAAGTGCAAGGAGCTTGTTCAAATGTTAGTTCTGGAAGCAATAATAAGAATTATAAGAATAAGAAGGTTAGATGAATGCGTACTATGGTGTGTGTATATATCACGTCTTTAAATTTAACAAGTCATAATTAAGTTAATTATAAAAGAATATTTGTGAACAAATGACTAATTAATTCCTATTGTACCTTTAATTAAATATATAATAGCATGATGCCTTTTGAATTATCTGTAATTTATAATATTATATAGTATTTGCCAACTGATATATAGTATATGGCTATTGATTAATCAGAGTTTTGGTTCTGGACTTTTGAAGTTGATTTTCACATTTAAATAATAATTTGAAAATGTTTTAACATACTTATGACACAGAATAATGTTTTCATTACATTAGAAATGTTTGTTTCGACTTTAGACATTAAAAAAATAAAATATTTGAGGAGTGGCCCACCGTAGGATTAAAGAAATGCAGGTGGGTCACGTGGAGATTGGACATTGTATTGTAGTATTGGAATAGTTCAAGCTTGTTGATAACATGTGTGTATAAGAAAGCGAGTGTAAGCAAGAATTAAAGAGCAGTAGCAGCCGGTTGAGAGAGAGAGGGAGAGAGAGAGAGAGAGAGAGAGAGAGGATCAGAGATGGGAAGGACCCCTCGCTCTTCAAAGGATGGCTTAAACAAAGGATCTTGGACTGCTTCTGAAGACAAATTGCTCACCGATTACGTTGCCATGTATGGTGAAGGGAAATGGAGCAATGTTTCCAAAAGAACAGGTTTTTATTTATTTATTTTTGTGAACAAATCTTTACTTCCACAGTCATTAGTTAGTTATTGTTAATTTTGTTAAGGAAAATGAGATTGCTTACAGGTTTGAAGAGATGTGGAAAGGGCTGCAGGCTTCGGTGGTTGAATTATCTGAGACCTGATATAAAGAGAGGGAACATCTCTGATGACGAAGAACAACTCATTATCAGGCTTCACAAGCTGTTAGGCAACAGGTCAGATCTGCTGTTTTTTTTTTTTTTTTTTTTTTTTTTTTTTTTTTTCAGATCTGCTTGTTTTTTTTTTGGTTTTTTTTTCTGTTTGTATTTTTTTTTAAATAAAATTGGTTTTTATAATTTAAACAAAAATATATATTGAATGTACGGTTTGCAGGTGGTCTCTGATAGCTATTGTATTGAGACTACCCCAGGCGCGAACAGATACATGAAATAAAGAATTATTTGGAATAGCAATTTAGCGTAGCAGCTAGCAAACTAGACTTGCTAACCATACCTCTCCCGAACTTGACGCATGCAAAAAGGATCAACAACCATTTTAACTTCAATGAGTATTCCAGTTTCCAATTAACCCGGATTGCTGCATAATCCCAAGAAATGTAGGAAGAATGAACGAGCCACCAAAGTCTGTGAAGCGTGGCTAATTGAAATGTGAAACGAGTGAATGATCCATCAGACGTTTTTTAAATGATTGTAAACTCTGAGTTTTTTTTTTTTTTTTTTTTTTTAAATAATTGTTTTATAATTTAAACAAAAATATATATGAATGTACGTTGCAGGTGGTCTCTGATAGCAGGGAGACTACCAGGGCGAACAGATAATGAAATAAAGAATTATTGGAATAGCAATTTAGCGAAGAGAGCACCAGACTTGCAACTTCCTCTCCCTGAACTTGACCATCAAAAGAAACAACCATTTCAACTCATGAGTATTCCCAGTTTCCAATTACCGGATGCGCATCAAGAAATTAGGGAAGATGACGAGCACCAAAGTCTTGAAGCGGCTAATGAAAGTGAAACGAGTGATGATCCATCGGAGTTTTTAATGGATTTTAACGTGGATGATTTCTGTCAAATGCTGGAATCGGACTTCTCAAGCCCAAACGATGATCCTTCTGCTGCTGCTGCTGCTGTTAATGGGAGGAGTAGTGAACAAGTAGCGTTTCCAGTTCAATTTGAAGGGAACTGGGATGCCGATAATAATGTTAATGGTTCCGAATTTATGTCATTGGTTAACTTTCTTGATTCAGATGTGGAATGGCCTAAATAGTTACCCAATTTAGCTGATTATTGCACCAATTTTTTTAGGATTCTTCCATATATAGCCAGTTCAGATATTGCATTTCACTTGTCGTTTTCAATAATAACAACTTACGACCGTCTGTCTCTCTTGTACGACTAGGTGTGCTTATGATTCAAATTTCGACACTGCAGTGTTTTTTGAATATTTCCAATATATATAAAAAAAACTAAAAAAAAAAGTTGGTGTTTGTGCTTGTCCTTGACTTTAAATTATTATTATTATTATGTAGACATTCCTAGAAAAAGATCGATGAGAATGTGAGTTCCAAAACCCTAATTAAGGGATAGCTGCAGCTACTTTGGAGAGGAAGTCTCGTTTTCCCTAGGTAGTTCTCTTGAATCATATCGATCCCTTAGAGCCATAACAAGTTGTTGTTGAACAGTTCTGACGAATGAACCTTCCCTGTAATAATAAGCTGGACCATAGCAGAATTATTCCATTCCACATGTAAGTTTGGATGCCCAAATCAAAGGTCTAGCAAGTTCCAAACCTTCCATCACATGCATTGGGTACGGACAATTACCAATCTTAGGCTGTACCCAATTCCTAGCTGTATCATCTCTAATGAGAATTCCTTTACAAGCCATTTGCTCAACAATGATTCAAAAAAATAATTAAATCACCTAAATTATAAATAAATATTTTTTAATTTGACTAATTAATATTTTCCTCACGTAATTTGGAAGAAGGAAGCCATGAAATGGGTTTAGGAAATTGTTGAAAATAGTTAATGTCTTTAGGAGAGGACAAAACAAAACGACGTATCAAAAGCCACGTCTATATAAAAGTGGACAAAAGAAATATTTAAATTAATAGATTTTTTTTTTTTTAAGTATGTGGCATGTGCTAAAGTATTAATCTATCTTTCAAACTCAAATCCATCATTAAATTTTAAGTATCAAAGTTAGAGTTACTAATATTTGCTTTTGTTCCTCGAAAGAATCTTAAAACCATGATTACATGCTTAGCGTTCTAACATCTATCTTCCTTTCCTCTCGGCACATTGGGCCTGAAATATGGGAAATAGGTCAGTTTACGCTGTGATTGCTGCTGTTGCCACAATGAATGCTAGTAATGAGGTTACATGTTTCTGGTCCCATATGTTTTATGCAGATCAATATAAATCACTCGAAGACCTAAATTTAATCTTGTCGGCCCACTTGATATATTTTGATTGAAGATATTAGCTTAGCTACCAGTCGCAGTCCATCTTCCTGCTCGTAATTTATACTAAAATATTTCATTTCCATGTACGATTTTCTGTTGCTCAATGAGTTTACTGTTAAATGCGGACCCAGTAAATATAATTAATTAGTGAAAATCTCGTATTTATCTCCTCGAACTGTTCAGCATGTGATTCCATGCCGGCCACCAGATTCTTGCGGGGGGGTCTGCGCTCTGTCATTCACTGAAAAGCTACTTTTGATAAGGAAACTGATGGACGGCGTTGAGGTTGTGATGGGCCGATGGCCAGCGTAAAATCAGTTTATATACGGCTGCTTCCGGCGCAATTTGTCTGTTTAATGCTTGATGGGCCAATTTGGTATCCATTACGTTCGATTAGTTGTCCGGCCCATCCATAGCCTCAACTTAATTATTGTTCAACTTATTTAGTGATTTTTTTTCTAATTTAGAATTTATTTTAATTATCTAAATGTGTAAACCCCATATTTAAATTAAATAATTAAAAATTATAAAATAATTGTTAAAGATAAATAGAAGACCCAGCAAGTGGGATTAGTCAACTATCTAGAATTTTCTAAAAAGATGGACAACAAATCAATCAAAGAGACAAACTCACAATTTCTTTACAATTTCAAATCATTGTCTATACTTTGTTCTTTTCAATTTTTATTTTCACAAGCATTTTTTTACTTTTATTTTTAATGTTTTTATAATTGAAGCTCGCAATATCTGCAATTCCTATTTTACAGTTCAAATTTATTTTTATTACCAATAATTTTTTTTATTTTTAACATTTTAACCTGTCAAAACACTAAAAATTATTTTTTTATAATATTTATTAACACAATGTTTGAATTAATTTTTAAAAATTAAAATAATATTTTATAAAAAATTAACTCATATAACATTTAAATTTTAATATTTTATAAAAAATTATTCAAATACTAAAATTATTTAAACAACTATCAACTCTCAAAATAATTCATTATATTGAAAACACCAATAAATGTCAAAATAATTAACACCGGTTGGATAATGTGTAGAGTACTTGCGAGCTGCGCTCTATTAGCGATTGTGGTCACATGTCTAAAATGTAGGTGGGGGTATCTGAAATCAACAGGAAACAACACACAGGATATGTCACGTGAGCCATCACAAGCAATACCCATTTGGACACGTGGCAATGTAGACTTGGTCTGTAAGGAAGAAGCTCAATCCAGTTCACGTGAAGGCCCATCGGCCCTAGCTTCGTGGGGGGACCTTTTGGGAATGAAAAGCCTACGGCATGAAAAAGTTCAAAGTGTGGCTTAAATAGAGGTGATGATTGGATGGATAATCCGCTAAAATAAAAAAAATAAATAAAAAATAATAGATTCTCACATTTTTTATTGGCACAATACTTTGTCTTATTGGATTAGAGATTTTTCCATTGGTTAATTACTCATTACCATTTTACCTTGCTTTCTGTAGTGCTACTTCGCCCCTTCGGTCTTTTTTTTTTTTTTTTAATTGGAAAATACTTGGAGACACCGGTTGCATAATCTCACCTATTAATCAAATTAATAAACATAAAAATTTTAAAAAATCATTTCTATTTTATTCTTTTTTTCCCCTAATGTATAGTCAGAAATATCTTATTTCAACATAAATTTTTATTTTCATTGATCGTTTAGAAGTCATGTCCGGTCTAGATAAGTCTATCCCTTTTTATTAATAAAATAGGAAAAAAAAGCACATATATATAATTTAAAAAGAAAACGAAAGAGGGGAATTTACCTCCCTCGTTTTATAATCTGAATCCACCACTAAAAATAGCAATTTAGCACAAACTATAACTGTGTCGGTAATAATTTTTTAAGTAATTTTTAGTTTTTATAGCGTTTTGTAACATATTGTTTGAATTAGTTTTTAGAGGTTAAAGTAACGTTTTATAAAAATTTAATCCATTTAATATTTAGCTTTTAATATTTTATGAAATACTACTCAACAACTATCAGCTAAACACTATTAAAACAGCTAGTAGCTACTAAAACATATCTTATGCCCATATATTTCAAATCCTAGGTTAAAGATTTATGCAATCTCTCAATCAATGTATGTAAACAAAGCTTTATATAAAGTCCATTTTCATACATATATATAAATAATAGAATTTCATTTAGTTATATGTAGGCATTCCATATAATTGAAATCATAATATAAGCATTAAAAAAATTTTATAAAGTTAATTTATACTGAAGGAAAAAGTATATTTTCCTTCATTTTTCATTTTTTTGGGGAATTCGATTTTTCTTTTTAAATTTCTACTATGTTGATGGGATTTTTAATAGCTAAAAAACTTGTGGAGTAATTAATAATTAAAATGTGGAATTGATAATACTAATCTTTTAGTTTGGATCTATCTTGTTTATATATATATAATAGTATATAATTATATATACCTTGTAAATTAATCATGGGAACAAAAAGACAAAAGCAAAATTTGTAAGTTAGCAAGGGAGATGTCATCAAATTGGATGGGGCCATAGCCGTAAAGGTATAAATTATCCGGTTTGGATCGCTCATGGACGATGATGACCAATTAAATAACGCGACGCCATCACCTTCTCTTACAAGCTGACAACAATTCATCTGAAGGCGACAAGAGAACGCTTCTGTGTAAGTGTTATTGGTTCATTTCTTTCTCTTTCCTTTCAGGTCGCCATCCATGATTAAAGCCCTGTCATGGCTACTTTTGAAAACAAAGAAATCCAACACACGCATATATCATCTGAAAGAGCGACAAGAGAACGCTTCTGTGTAAGTGTTATTGGTTCATTTCTTTCTCTTTCCTTTCAGGCGCCAATCCATGATTAAAGCCCTGTCATGGCTACTTTTGAAAACAAAGAAAATCCAACACACGCATTATAATAATATATATCATATATATACTATATAATATATATATATATAAGCTGATCGTGAAGAACATAAAAACCAATTCAATAACTTGGAAGTTTGAAACAAATTACAATTAAAAAAAACACAAACACCAACAAGGCCTGCAGCTTTCCAACTTTTTATATATAAGCTGATCTGAAGAACATAAAACCAATTCAATAACTTGAAGTTGAACAAATTACAATTATAAAAAAACACAAACACGCAACAGCCTGCAGCTTCCACTTTTATTATTGTTTTTTACAGTGAACGAGGAAATTTAAAGAACTGAACCCAGAAACACAACATATAGAATACATATATATATATAAGACGAAAGAGACCCAAGCAATCAAAAACAAACTAACTATACCCTATGGAAGGAAGAGAGGAGAGGAGGCTATTCATAAAAAGAAAAAGAATTACATATCCCTGACGTGGAAGATATTTGGGTTTTTAATGACAATATCGTACATGTAGACAGAGTTGAACTTAGAGAAATCCCTTGGAAGAGAGATTAGGTCAATGGAAGAGTGCTTGTGGAATTGGAAGAGATCTGGGTCTCCCCCGTAATACCTCTCCCAACCTAAATCTGTCAATATTTGCTCAAGAGAAGAGTATGAAGTGATTACTTGGCCAGTGGGCAAGTGCACCAATACCTTTCTCCTGGAGCTACCATGAGAGCTAGTTTCTGCTCCAGGATTCTCCACTAGACGAATGACGCCATTTTTGAATACCCAAACTCCAGACATTGTTCTATGTGTTTTAATTCTTTTTTAGGGTTCTTGGGGTTTGCTTGTTGAGTGATGAAGAAGAGGGCTGGGAGGGGGTCTATATATATAGTAAGAGGGTGCGATAAGGGCGGAAAAAAAAACAAGAGGAAAATACTAATCACTCAAAAGGAAAAGGAGAGAAGTGGGGGTTTAAAGGAGGTTTAATTATAGGGATGTTTGCTTGGGTATAGGAACAGAATCTAGATGCAGTGGGTCCAAATGGGTTTAAATAAAAGGGTACAGGGATGCTCATAGGGTGTGATTTAGGGCACACGTACCATCCGTGGGATTGGTTTAGGAGAATCTTTGATATTGCGAAAGCTTTCGCTTATTATTAAAAGCTTTCGAATACAGAATCTTTGGGACACGGTTGATGATGACGATGATGAGAGCATGCAAAAATAATAATAATAATTTCCAAAAGTCAATCGAAATAAAGAGGTCGCACCACGAGCAGTCCACGTGAAGAGAGTGGCAGATTTGTTTTTTGTTTTCTCTTTTATTTTGGATTTGTTGGTGGGTTAGGCAACTGAAAGGGGCATTTCCTGCTTCTTTTCTTTTCTAATCTACGTTTGTGGTTCCTAATTCCAGAACAAACCAAACACTGTCTTGTTCAATATCCGTATTTCTTTTTTGTATACGCTCAATTCGACTAACTAAAAAAAACCTTAGATTCTAATTAATTTAAGAGAATGAGTGTTCCATATAACATGAAATCTCTCTCTTCTAAGATCAACCAGATCACTCCTGATTGACGCTTTAAATTATGAATTTAGAGAGATGCCGAGTGTTTATATACAAATGCAATTGATTAGAGGTAGCCACACATGCATGCATGCATGGTTGAATTGAAACCTCTAATTATTAGATAAAATTGAAATCAACCAATTATTAAGTGTGGGATGAACATCAAATGAAACAATAATAATAATGTTTGAACAAGGTAAGGTACTAATCCACTCAATCCATTTCATTCCTGTTTGAGATAATGTAGTCAATTCTTTGTTACGAATGAAAAGAAACGTCACGTTTATAGTACAGCTCCTACTTCTGAGGACCACAGCACCAGATTTGAGTTATCGTGTTAAAATTTGTTTGTTTAAAAATTTGTAAGTTGCCCACATGAGATCACATGGCCTCTCATGGTCCACCAACCGAGGACCGTTTGACACATGTCCTGTCAAATCTATCATTCTTCCATCGATTTTTCCTCCTTTCCATTACTTCTTTAATTCACCTTGCTTAAGAACAATAATCAGAATTAATTGCAATTTAAAAGTAGGAAAGGATGGAACTAATTGCAATGTTAAGTCAGCGTGTGGTCCAACTTTGCTTCTGCTGTTCCTCTTTAACCATACCATAATATCCTAATGACATACACTCACAACATCAAGTCTGAAACGTTTTTTATTCGGTCAATTTTTAGAAATTTAACTTTTTCTGAAACCGTTGCTAGTATTTTTAATTCCCATGTAATGAAAATGAAGAATGTTTAAAATGAAAAATGAGTAATTGAAACAGAAAATACTCTCCATTAATGCAGATCTGATGATTGATAGTTGCATCAATATTAATTTTTTAATCCCATAAAGAATGGAAAGTATGATAATAGCAATCATATGTTTGTTTGAATTTTGGAGGACAAATTGAGATGAACAGGAATTTCCAATGTCTTTGTATATTTTTGGATTTGCTTTCTGTGGTGGGGACGTTTCGATCAAACCCCAACAAACCTTATCAGAAAGACTTGGTTTTTATCTCTTTTTTTCCGAATCACCAAAAGTTGATTTCTCACGAGCTGCATTCTTAGCTCCCAAGGTTTTCTTTTGCCATATAAATGTTTTTTTTTCTTTCTCTTTCTTTTTCTTTTTCATTTTCATTTTCTCAAAGGGATTGTTTATTAGGCTTCATGTATCAAACTAAGAATTTCAACTTATAGAAAGAGAGATCATTGCTGTGGCGGCATATCTGCCCATTTTATATACTAACTTAACAAAAATAATTAAGTAATCTGAATGGAATTATACAGAAGGATAGCATTAATTAAAGCAGACAGCATATGTACTCATTAACATTCTAATCACTCAATTAACATATATATATACTAACTTAACAAAAATAATTAAGTAATCTGAAATGGAATAACAGAAGGATTAGCATTAATTAAAGCAGACAGCATAATGTTACTCATTAACATTCTAATAAACTCAATTACATATATATATAATATATATATATATATATACTATCAGTTCTAATTAAACGTAGATTAAAAATTTATATATATATATCAGTCTAATAAAGTAATTAAAGATTAAGGGAATAAGATTAAAGTTAATAAAGTGCATTAGATTAGGTACAACTAGAATTAGCAACAAAGCTCCTATCTATCTCTTGAGGAGAATATTGCAAAAGCTCCAAGGAAGGTAATCAAAAATATTATAATTAGACTTAAGGAGGTAATTTTTAATTAATGGTTTGTTAACACAAGCAATCTGGTTATTTGATGTATGTTTATATTCCCATTCAAGAAGAATAAATACCTTATGCATTCAGAATATGAATTTCATCAAACATCTCTTTCAAGTTATTTTTTTTCCCAATCTTTTATTATTTTAATTTAGGAATAATCACAAACCACATAATAAAAAGTCTTAATTATCTATTAAATGTCTCTTCATAGATGTCGTTCACCTTACACCATTAAAAAGGTGGCACTAATTATGCAATTATTAAATATATAATTTGTTCAAAAGATACGAATCAGCAGACTTGATGTGTGATTTTTTAGGGCAAAGATTCAATTTTCAATACCTTTTCATTAAAATAGTACATCTAGTTTCAAAAAAAAAAAAACATTTATATGGCCTTTCATCAAAAGAAAAAAAATTGCATTTCTATGGAATCCAAAACTTCAAATTTACTAAATTGGACTAAAATATTTTGAAAAAAAAAGAATAAATTAATACTAAAATTATAGTCAAATTAACACGTTAGAATTTCTATTTTCAAAAACTAGCTATAAAATTCGCAACTTGTGATTTTATTATTACGTTGGTCACTCTATCCATAATAACTTCTTTTTAATTATAAATTAATTGAGAAATTGATCCTTAAATTATAGTTAAACTAACTATTTGATTCTTAAGTTACCCTAATTTGATTTTAGAGGTACAATTGGTACTAAAGATGGAAACTGGGATGCTCGGTAGATAAATGCTTCATTTAGGGTCAAATTACAAATAATAGAAAACTTTGGGTGAAATACAAGATTTAACACGCAAAAAATGGCCTCAAGCTCTAAACAACTTTTGAATCTCGAACTATTTGATTCTTAAGTTACCCTAATTTGATTTTAGAGGTACAATTGGTACTAAAGATGGAAACTGGGATGCTCGGTAGATAAATGCTTCATTTAGGGTCAAATTACAAATAATAGAAAACTTTGGGTGAAATACAAGATTTAACACGCAAAAAATGGCCTCAAGCTCTAAACAACTTTTGAATCTCGAGCCTACAGTTTCACTAATCAAAATGTAAAGCCCCACGTGGGTTGAGTTGATTGGGCTGAGGCCTAACTTGAGTTGGAACATCACACCTTCCTCTAAGTGGGCTATAATCAAAACAGACTTAACAGATTCAAAATACATCCATCCATGCAAAATCGCCAGGCGAACAGGCACAGAAATTCACTCTCAGCCGCGAGTTTTATGAACATCCCATTTCTGGCGAAATCCCAACATGTTTAAGAAGGCCTCCACTCTGCTGTATGAATCAGTGGCAGGGGCATCCCAATAACGAAGAGGCATTTGGAATCACCAAAAATGGATTCCAAGACCTCTTCTTTTCTCTTATTCCTTGTTCTTTTCACCGTCTTTTCTTCAACCTCCATGGCCTTCAATATCACAAGGCTCCTTTCAAATTACCCTGAATTTAGTACCTTCAATAGACTCCTCTCACAAACAGGCCTCGCCCAGCAAATCAACAGCCGCCAAACGATCACCGTCCTGGCCGTCGCTAACAGAGCCATCCGTGATCTCTCAGGCAAACCACTGGATGTGACGAAGAGAGTGTTAGGCGCTCATGTGATTCTTGATTACTATGACGAGACAAAGCTGAGCAAGCTTCAGGAAAAGAGCAATATCCTTACCACATTGTACCAGACTACAGGCGTTGCAGTTGATCAACAAGGTTTCTTGAATGTCACCAGGACTCCTAAAGGAATCATGTTTGGGCCTGCCGCTAAGGGTGCTCCACTCACTGTATCTCTGAAAGGGGTTGTTGCTTCACAGCCTTATAATATTTCAGTACTCAAAGTAAGTGGTGTTATTGAGGCTCCAGGAATTGAGAGCAAGTCTACTCCGCCACCTGAAGGTTCTCATAAGAAGGCACCACTTCCTGCTCCAACACCGGCTGAATCTCCTGCACCGGCAGCCGATGATGATGTAGCCACCGGAGCACCAACCGAGGCGCCTACTCCTGCTGCTGATGGACCAGAATCGGATGGGCCGGTCAGCTCGTATGCACCAGAATCCGATGGACCAATCAGCTCCTATGCACCAGAATCTGATGGACCCGTCAGCTCTCCACCGGAGCCCGACTCACCACTAGCTGAAGGTGAAACACAGGCTGAGGCACCTGATCAGCAATCTGGCTCATCACTTACCAATATGAGTGGCGCTGCAGCGGTCACGGGGTTGGCGGCCTGCATCATGGTTTTCTAAGCTTACTCAACTTTGAGACGACTGAAAAGGAACGGGATAAGGAAAAGGGAAAAAAAGAAAAGAAATGAAAAATAACTAGTTTTTCTATTTCAATTATATTATACGGATGTCACCCACTCGCTATATATGTATTATTAGTAGAATCGAAGCTGCGAGCCCAGTTCGTGGCATTCGTTTTTCTTTCGTCTGAAATGAATTCTCATTGATTTTGCCCAATTAATGGGTACGAAATTCATCAGTAAAAAGTTTCAGTTTAGGCATAATCACAACTCCATCCCTCTTGTTTAGTAAAAATCCAGATTAATCCCCAAAATTTAAACTATTTAGTCATTCATTAAAATAGTGGCATTAAAGACTACATTATTAAATGAGAATGATCAAATATGAACGAACAACCTGATCACTTCTCTCATAAATCTGTTTCGCAAACCAAATAACAATAGGAAACAAACAAATATATCATTCTGCACTTAATAACAACATTATGGGCTTTGCATGCGTTAGCTAATCATAATGCTTATCAAAAAAATATCCAAAATGATTTGTTAATAGGAATAATGACCTACACAATACACCAGACAACAAATACAAACATCAAAGGAAAATCAACAAAAAAGAGTTAAAAAAGACGTTTCCAATTCTGGATCATGTTAGCTTGGTTAACTTCCAACTTCACAAAACACTGCTCTGCAACCAAAATACATCCACAAACATTGGCTTATCATTTTATCTTGCTAATTATATCTGCGATGACTTCCTCCATATCAAGATCCTTCATTGGTTTAAATGGTCGTTTCATGTCCTGCAATGCAAACGTCAAAATTTGATGCAAATTTGAGACTAGACTAGGAAACATAAAGGAATTTTGGCAATATTTAGTTAGAAAACCTCTCAGATACTAAATTGCCAATTCTCTCGGACCAAAACTTAAAACTAACTACATAATTCTAAAGAACAATACAGCAACATGCTTCTCATTTGGAAGGAAATTAACGTCTAGTGTCCTGCACCTCGATATTGTAAATAGACGAGGTAAAATTCTAATCCTATCAAAAAAAAAAAAAAAAAAAAAAAAACTAAATTATGTGATGGACTAATTTTTGCACATTAATTATATAAGTTTGTTTTCTAATTATAATAAAAGATAAAAGGAAGAAAGTTCAAAATGCGCCTTGAATTTGGGCAGAAAATACAAATTGCCCATTTTTTACTTTTTTTTTTTTTTTTTTTTGAGATGAAGAGATCGACATTGATATAACAGTGAACAGCCGATCAAAATAAGAAAACATTGCTACTTCTAACAAGAAGATCAAGGGAATGTTTTAATTTGCCAAGGCCAAAAGGCTAACAATATGCTACACAGACTTCACAGGTAAAACCCCAACCACAATCCTAATTTCATATGCATCCCAAAACAATCAATTGGCAATGTCATTATAGCAGCATGATAAAATTGCAAATTCTCCATCCTTAATGGCACAAGATGGTATTGCAGTCTAATATTATTGGCAGGGCACCTAACAGAGTTATTTTTTATTGTAAATTTTACCAGAAGACTGATGAACTTCTCTCCACCTTCCCTCCGTATTTCAAAGCAACCTCTTCTAGGCTGTCAAAAAGGAAAAAAAAAACATCAATTGAACAGAAATGTCTGTAGAAAAGCTCAAAAGTAATGTGCACCTAATATGATAATATGCAGATATTTCCATACACTTGGTACATCTTGAAGAATTCATACAAATCCATAACTAGCCAAAAATGAAAGAAATGAATCAGAAGGTTTCTAACACCATAAACATGATCACTAGTAGTTCTTTAACTGAAGCAAACATGATCATTCAGCAGAAACAAACTTCTGAAAGGAAATAAAAAAACTTCTATAAAATAAAATAATCTGAAGAGAAGGAGGTAAGACACTCCTATGAAATTCAGTTATGCACAGAGAACCATTGCATTATTGAAAGTCCATGCGACCTTGGCTTTATACAAAGAACAAACAGCTAAAAAACAGATTCAATTGTTAACGGTGCTTCAACTTGCAAGCAAAGGTGGAAATATTAACAAATATACCTTCTCGGGATTAAGTAGCACATTGATACCAGGAACAGCATCCTCCAAACCAGTTTTCACCTGCGTAGCCCTTGTCTTGAATGAGTTGCATTGTTTGCTGTAATAAGCAGCAAATTAATTAGATATTACAGATAATGGAATTTGTTTTCATCTTCGCAAAAAAGTCAGGTGCATGTAGCAAAAACCAGACACACAGTTTGACTAACAATGGACCTACTTATCTCTACAGTTAGCTATATTGTATATAACAGACTCTATCCCATGAAACCAAATCCAAGCAAGTCAAAACTTTCAACCACATTCACTCAGTCTTGTCAACACTGCAAGCCAATCATTGTGTGCAAACCAATAAGTACCCTTTGTCTTCCAGAACTATTGTATCATCATGAGGTGAAATTGATGTAGCACTGTCCAAAACAGTAAATAGGGACTTCAAAAGTAGTAACAGGTTTGATAATCTATAGCGTTTAGGATAGACAAAGTCATGCTTCTACGACCAATATCAAACACAACGAGAACAAAGAGACCAATCCTTTTTGTCTACAGACAAAAAAGCAATAAAAGAAAATAGTTACTCGATCTCCTCCCAACATTTTTTTCTACCCACTATTTGTTCCACCACATGACCCAAGATCATCTATACTAACTATCCCCTTCCTGCAAATTTTCTCTTCTCGTTTCTTTCAATTATAAATTACAAGGATTGTAAATATCCCAACAACATTCTCCTTTTCTCCAAAACTTATCTAAAGAGCTGAACATGATTTAAGTGACGAAAAAAAATCGTCAGTTTTCCCTTTTTAGCAAGTCCATGCTCAAACCTGTAAGTAACCAAAGGCACTAAATCACAAACCCTTTTACCCTAAGAAACAGAAAAAAAAAAAAAAAAATCCTTTACCCTAAGAAACAGAAAAAAAAAAAAAAAAATCCGCCAAAACCTAATACAGCCACCTGGTTCGTTTAGGCATTTCAAAGTCAAAAAAAAAAAAAAAAAAAAATCCGCCAAACCTAATACAGCCACCTGGTTCGTTAGGCATTTCAAAGTCTAAGAAATAAAATAAAAGATTACCTAGGGGATACTCCTTCCACTTTCTTCCCCTCTCCTCCATTTTGGCAACAACAGAAATGAGACAAGAAAATGTGCTGCATCTTACCGTTTTAAACCCTAAGTCCACTGTAACTTACTTTATCGAAGTTTCGACTTTTCTTTTACCCGAAATCGAAACCACAGACAGTTAATTATGACTTCCCTCTATCTTCATTAGTTTCTAATAAACCAGACAGAACAAAGAGAAAAACGCTCACCAGTGTTCAATCACGATGGTCTTCCCAGTCCCATCGGCAGTAGTCTTGTCTTTCTCTTCTACGTTCTCTGTCTTTGTCTCGGTCTCGGTCTCGGTCTCGGTCTCTGTCTCCTCTTTCTCTTCCGGCTTTGACTTCTCCTTCTTAGCTGCTTTTCCCTTTTTCGCCTTGGGCAACTCGGCTGGTGGTACGGGTGAGTTCGAGTTGGCTCGCCGACTCGAGCTCCGAGTCACCCTCGTCGACGTCACCGCAATGGGCTTCACGGCCTGCTCAGCTTCTCCCCCGGCCTTTCGCTTCCTAGGCGCCATGGAAAGTGGGGGATGTCCGTACAGATTATCCTTTTTCCAGCCTTCTCCCTATGCGCGTATGTTATGCAACTATGCTCGTGCGTGTGAGAGAATAGGGACAGACAGTGCTCTTGTACGTGACAAGCATCGTATTCGATTTCCCGCGCTTTTAATTTGGTGGATTTCAAATCAACGGGTCAGATTGAATTGGGTTTATTTGATAAGTGATGGGATGTGACTATACGGTATTGAAGCGACGTGGATGACAGATTAAAAGGCAAGGATCGTGCCACGTTGAAAATCATTAGCTAAGGTTGAAGTATGTGCGAGACTGGTTATTAATTCTTCTAATTTATTATTATACCGGCTATTTGGATGGACTTTTCATTAGTGGGTCAACCAAAGCATAAAACGTTTTCGGACAACAATAATTCATGTCATCATGTGTTAATGGCGTTTGTCACAAGTCCAATCTAAATTTTTTCGTTCCTTTGGAAATTCATCCATGTTGCAAGTGGGAGAGAAAGTCTAATTGTTGGCTCAAAACAACATTATGGGCAATTTGCCCCATAAAGGTGTTTGATCAAATTAACCAAAGAATATAATAATTTAGAAAAAAAAATCTAAATTGTCGTATAATTTGAGAAGAGAAACAACAATTTTTCTAGAGTTTCAGGATAGAACTTTCTAGCAAATAAATAGCAGGGTCGCTTCATTCCATTCCAAAGACACGGCGTCGTTATCACTGTCCTCTGCAGTTGCAATTAGAAACCGATATAAATATAAATAAAAGATCTGCCTTTTAAGTCGCTAAAATTGTAACAACAAGCTTTTCATACCTTCTCATCACTTGTGAGATGCAAGGCCTCGTCAGTAGACTGCAATAGGCGAGAAAAGAAAGTACATATTGTCATTCGAGAAGCAAATTCCAAATGAAAAGAATGGATCCAAATCCCTTTACCGTAATGTTTTTAAGAAGATCGTAAGTAACATCTCGGGCTCTGTATGCTTTTGGATGCCATTTCCTTTGAGACCAATCCACGTGCGTTACAGACCACTTGGCAATTCCGTTGGGATCAATCATCTTAAACGGACAAAGAAATTAAAGAGACGATTATAATATAAACGACAATAAATTTGAACAGAACAGGTTTCAGAACTCTAATGTACTGACATGAAAAAGGGTAGATAAGTAATGCTCGTCAGCATAGCAATTGCGCCCATCCATGTTTGGCTGGAGATGTAAACAAATCAAGGCAAGATCGATTAATTAAGTAACTAATAGTGCTAATTTAGCCAATTAATAGCTAGAAATTAGGAAATGTTACCTTGCAGAAGAGCCTAAATTTTGTGTAATACAAGAAGTCTGACATGATGATTATAGCATGTTGGCGCTTCATGGAGAACCACTGAAATGCCACTGTTAATCTTACTATTGATAATTCACAAGATCTGAAACATAATTCGGGAAATCAAAACTTGTTTCTTACTTGTGAACCCTTTCGAAAATCTCTCTTATCAACTTCAGGCATCATACGTTCTGAATACCTCCCACTTCCATGGGGACCAAGGTCCTCGAAACTACATTTATATTTATATAAACACAGTTATTTAGAGACAGAGAGTCAGCAGAGAAGTATGTTTTTATTTCTTTAGACAAAAAAATATTTGCTCACCTGTCAATGTAGCTAATATTTGTGAACATCAGGTAATTATACACGTAGTCAAAATTATGCAGTGGTACACAACTGTGAAGAAGAAAGTAGAAACGAAGGAATTAGCAAAGCCAATATAATAATGTAGCAATTGCAAGATAAGCATAAGAGTAGTACCTATCAGAGAGCAAGACAAACTGTTGGTTATCAGGATCGGCAAGTGCATGTGCCAGTAGTCTCTTCTCTGCATCAACCATGGAAATTTTTCCCCATTCCACCTGCAATTATTTTGTTTCTTATGATACAAATATGAACCTTCTCTTCTCTGAATCAGGATAAAGAATCAACATATATATGTGTATATATACCTTGTCGCTGCGGATGTCTCGACCAATAAAATAACGACTGACGTGAACAGTTCTTTCTCTAGACGCATGGACATACACAGTGAATCTGTCCTCATGCCCCTGAGTGCTGCAACGAGTTAATAAATACAAGAAAATACGTAACCTAGGTCATATAATTTTAAAAGAGAAAAAAAAAACTCACATAAAAGAATTTGTCCCATAATCTCTCAAATGGTAACGGGCCTGGAGTCAAAAATAGAAAAGCAATTTTGGGGTTATTTGATTGAACGGAAGGTGCGTTGAGGATGTCCCTAATCACAACCTGACTTGCAATCTCATCGTCTGTTAGTTCTCGGGAAGGGACAATCTGAGGTTTTTCGAACCACGTACAACTCCTTGAAGGAAATATATAGCTGCAGGCTGGAGAGCTTCCTGGCCGATAAAATGAGGCTGCTATCAGAAATATGCTCAACAGAGAAACCAATGTAAGTATCCATATTGGCTTCTTTAGATATTGTGGCCGGTGTCTGTGTCCTGGCATTACTAGAATCTCTCTCATGCTCTGCTGCCATAAATCAATCAATCAATTCGATTCCATTTTTTCTGTTACTATTGCATGATCCGCAAATTGAAATCTCAAAAAAATGCCGTGAAACTAGATCTATCATTAAAGATATCGATAATTTATTGCTAAAAAAGTACGATCTAGATGTATATGATTTACAGAAACATATATGAAATCCATGCATATTGTGTCTGATGATGCGCGAATATTGCCAGACATTGAACAGAATCATTAAACTTTTTTGGCAACAATTAATGAAGGAGAAGGAGAAACCACCAACCTCATTAACAATAAAGAAGAGTAGTATCGATAAAAGGAAGCTGATCTCTGAGAGTAACCATGGAAATCTTCATGAACGTTCAAAATGTAGAGATCACAGGAATTGGAAATTTACTAATATATCATTAGTTACACTTACAATAATTATAAAACTAGGATAACTTGATCTCGGATGGCTCTTTATATGCCTGTAATTTTTCCAAGTACATGGAAATGGAACGTTTATGTAACATTTTCTATTTTTGGCTTTTCTTGTCTTCTGTTTCCTATTCTAATCATGCCTTCCTCATTGGCTCATTCAAGTACTATTGTTGTTTCTGACTGACAAATAATATTATGTTTTCAGAAAAATAATATTTTTTTTGTTGTTTTAAGATATTCGAAGAAACTTGAATTTTTTTCCTTTTTTTTTCTTATGTTCTCTCATTCGTTAACCAATGTTTAATATTTCATAATTAACAGTGACACACTGCATCACTATAATTATAAAAAAAAATCACTCTCCATATATAATCTCATTCCTATGCTAAATTAATAAAATAATATTTTTTATTTTAAATGAAAATATTTTAACTTTTTATTAAAAAAACATTTTTTTAAGATAAAAAACAAATTAAATAGTACTAAATTATGACGATTATTCTTATATGACGATTATTGAATGAGTTGGTATATTCGCAATACATCGGGACAGGCAAGTCGGATAATGGAAAAAGGAAATGGTATCTGCCTACGTGGTGGAACATCAACCAAATAAAGAAAAATCACGCGGGCCACACCTTGATTTCCAAACCAACGTGGCACAACAGAATCGTCAAAACGAAGAGAAATCTGAAAACTCAAAAGAAGAGCAGAGAATCATCATCTAGCACAGGGCTTCTGCGTTTTCTATCTGCAGCTTCAATGGCTGCTGCTTCTTCTTCTTTTGCTTTATTTACAGGTTCCAAATTATGCGTTCCTAAAACCCTAACTTCTTGCTCAAAACCCGTTAAATTGCCGAATGCCGTTTCATTACTCTCTCAGTGTAGGCAGAACAGAAGTATGCGAATCGTGTGCTCGGTTTCGATCTCGAATCTGGAAGTGCGAACTGAACGACCCGACGATCTTGTTGCTTCTATTCTCTCTAAGGTATTGATAGATTTTGAATTCGTACTCCGGTTTTGCTGTGACAAAAAACTGAGTAATAATTGAATAACCGGGAATCAGGTTACCCAAACAGATAGAGGTGTTTCGCTGACCAAAGAAGGTCACGAAGAGGTAGGTCAAGTTGCTCAGCAATTGCAACAATATTGTGTGGCAGAACCAGTGAAAAGTCCTCTTATCTTTGGAGGTAACTAATTTGAATTATAGTTGGTAATTACAATTAAATTAGGGTGTTAACTTTGTTATGAGATTTGGAGTTGGTGCAGAATGGGATGTGGTGTACTGTTCGAATCCAACATCGCCTGGAGGTGGATATAGGAGTGCATTGGGGCGTCTTGTGTTTAGAACAAAGGAAATGGTTCAAGCAGTTGAAGCTCCTGACACTATAAGGAACAAGGTCTCCTTTTCCCTGATGGGATTTCTTGATGGAGTTGTCTCTCTCAAAGGTAGACCAATGCCAATCCACTTATTTATTTTTAATTCCATGAATATATGAAAAAGCAATCTGAATCCCTGATACCATATTTTTAGTTCTTTTAACTAATGTTGATCGCCTTTGTTTATGAATGTTCAGGTCAGCTGAAGGTTTTGGATGAAAATTGGATTCAAGTTATATTTGAGCCACCTCAACTGAAGGTTGGAGCATTGGAGTTCCAGTATGGTGGTCAAAGTGAGGTTAAGCTGCAGATAACATACATCGATGAGAAGATTAGGTTGGGAAAGGGCTCCAGAGGTTCGTTATTTGTTTTTCAAAGACGCAGATAGACTCTTCTTGATGTCCTCAAGTAAATATAATGTGATTTCCTTATCATTTTCTTCTGAACTATGCTGGCCAATTGGCAAGGATTGGAAAATTCAATTCCGTTGGTTTGACACCAATTTTTTGTTAAATTGAATATTTTTAATGGGATGCCCATGTTCTCTGTATTGTTAAGGCTCTGAGAGTCTGACAAGGATAATGGAATTGCCGCAAATAATACTCGGTTTAGTATACGTGCTGCATTGTACGCAGCAACACATAATAACTCAACTCAGACGCTAAAAACCTCGAAATCAAATTATGGTTCATAAAAGTCGTCGATGCAGATTATTGGGTGAACAAAATTTGGAGTTCCAACTGACATAAGCAATAAAATTTATTGCAACAATGTTTAAATTTCAAGTGAGTAGAGATAAAGACTGTATCAATTGCAGATCCCAGGACGTCATTTTCAGAATTGAAATCACGCCATTTAAACTTAAGACAGCAGAGTGTTTGCATTTTTGCAGTTACAAGGTAATCAAAGTTAAAATTGACAAACAAAACACAGAAACAAACTAACCAGGCCCCACTTTAGGAATATCATAATGCTCACTTAAATTGGCCAGATATTGGTTGAATTCCTGTATTCGATCACGGTGTGATTTACTGGCCATCTTCGTCAGCCTTTGGAGATCAATTTTCTCCCATTGCTGAAGATAACGCCTCTCAGCTGGCGTCAGATGGTCATCATATTTAGCAGCCTGATCTTTTTCATCATCTTTGTCTGTCTCATTTATATCCTCAAAAGAGGCATTGTTCATACCTGACAGCCTCCAAAATGAAAAAATTTAGTTAGTCAAAAGAATGTGACAACTAGGTATAAAAGCAGCATTCATCGGCCAAAGCGAGATTCATTGAAGCAATCACATTTTAAACACTAAATATCATAATTCATGACATCCCAAATATCAAATTGTATAAGCAACACAATGTGTGGTTATTGACACAATCACGGAAAGATTCATCACTCACGATCAGGCACATTAAAATCAAAACCTACATCTCTTTGTTGCTCATATACTGTTATACTTTTTTTACATTCTATTATTCTTGTTATGAATTCAATGCTCATTGTCAAATCAAAGTTTCATCTTTATGATCTTATATAGCAAGCTCTGAATTCTAATTTCTTGATATTGATACAATCTATTCCTCGAGTCAAAATATCTGCAGTTCTGCTTTTAAACCCGTGCCCTTCAATCTTTATTCCACCAGTTGAAGATACAGATGTCTGATAAAAACTAATTTCCATAAACCCCAGTGCCTCCGGCTAAATAATAACTCAATATTTTCCCTTCACATTTTATAGCTATTTAGCCAGATGATTACATTAAAAGCCAAGACACCAACAACTTCTATTAATTAGAAGACACATATAACGGTTGTTTTCATTCCAATTTGCAAATGGCTATAGAAGACCACCTAAATTTCAGATTTTTAAATCATAAACAAAAATTAGTGCACCTGAAAACATTCAAACTAGCTAGTATTGGCCACTATAATCAAGTTCACTTAAGGCAATATGCAGATATCACTCAAAGTTATGGTTTTTGAAAAATTATAAAAGAAAAAAAGGAAAGCATCACAGTCTATATACAGGGGCAATTGATTTGCAACATATGGAAGGGAATAAGCAAAAAAGTTAGGAGAACACGGGAGAACCTATTGTGGGGCGATCATGATATTCATGCTTCTTCTTCTTTTTCTTCTTAGAAATGCCACCCGTTTTCACTTCCAGTGGTTTCCCCTTCAGCCTGAGCTTCCCGCTTACGACGTTCTCAAATGCCGACATCTTAACGTAGATCACGATTCTGGACTATTTTGAAACGTAAAATCAAACAAAACAATGTTAGGCAAGTAATTGGCACAAAGTATGTCTTTCAATACCTCATCAGGAGAGAGAGATTGCCTTTTTTTTTTTTTTTTTTAATTGATTTGCAACATATGCGAAGGGAATAAGCAAAAAAGTTAGGAGAAAACACGGAGCAACCTTATTTGGGGCGGACTCCATGATATTCATGCTTCTTCTTCTTTTTCTTCTTAGAAATGCCACCACGTTTTTCAACTTCCAGTGGTTTTCCCCTTCAGCCTTGAGCTTTCCCGCTTACGAGCGTTCTCAGAATGCCGACATCTTAACGTAGATTCACGATTCTTGGACTATTTTGAAACTATAAAAATCAAACAAAACAATGTTTCAGGCAAGTTAATCTGGCAAAAGTCATGTGTCTTTCAATACCTCATCAGGGAGAGAGAGATTGCCTTTTTTTTTTTTTTTTTCTCGTTGGAAGATTCCTGAACCGATCTCTCTAAGAACACGAAGGGGTGTTTTAAATTAAAACTTTAAAAGGCTCGCATGTATGGCTGCTTACTTACGATTGGGGCCCAAGTAGGTCTCAATTGCTCACAAAATTGGGCCCATATAACGGCTCTTCATATAAGCAAAGCCCATCAATAATATATTGAAAACGGCATTCGAAGGTTGAATTTTATTTTTAAATTTTTTCGCTTGAAATGCCACTTTCTTTATTCATGGCTATATAAGGCATAGTCGCTTTTGGTTATAAATGATTTTGGTTTCTCCGTTTGGATATGGTTTGTCTATTTCCCGCATCTCGTGAAAACGCCCGGTCTCCTCCTTTTAACCTCTCGTCTACAAGAACGGACAACTTTAGTTGTCTATTTGGGAGGCATTTAATTTAAACCGGCTGAGGTAATCTCAAGTGACGTGGCATTCGTCTTTAATCCACAATCTTACCCTTATAGAGCTCATAAAGCTAGCCAGAGAGATTGCCTTTTTTTTTTTTTTTTTCTCGTGGAAGATTCCGGAACCGATCTCTCTAGAACACGAAGGGGTGTTTAAATTAAAACTTAAAAGGCTCGCATGTATGCTGTACTACGATTGGCCCAAGCTAGGTCTCAATTGTCAAAATGGGCCCATATAACGGCTAAAGCAAAGCCCATTCAATATATTGAAAACGGCAGTTCGAAGGTGATTTTATTTAAATTTTTCGCTTGAAATGCCGTTTTCTTTATCATGGCTATTAAGCATAGGTCGTTTTGTTAAATGATTTTGTTTCTCCGTTTGAATGGTTTTCCGCATCCGTGAAAACGCCGGTCCTCTTTTAACCTCTCGTCTACAAGAAACGGAAACTTAGTGTCTATTTGGGAGGCATTTAATTTAAACGGCGAGGTAATCTAAGTGACGTGGCATTCGTTAATCCAAATCTACCTTATAGAGGCTCATAAGTAGCCACGTCGCGAGAAAACGCCTAATTCCAACGTGTCGGCCTCCGGCCTCCCAACTGTCTCTTCTTCCTCTCCAAAGTACAAACTTTAAGCCTGAAGATGGGCCATGGCAGGTCTTTATTCCTCAATCTCTTCTCTTTCTCTGAAGAAACTTATTCAGCCTTCACAACGCATTTCAACTCTAACATATCCAATTCTAACAGCCCACTCAAAGCTCTGTATACGCCAGATAATGAATTCGAGTTCAAGCTCTTCTTCCACTCTGACCTGCCAAGTTCCGGCTCTTGACTCTGATGAAATGGATCGCATTGCAGATCATACCTTTGACAGGTACTCTTCCAAGATTGTAAAAAGGGTAGGGAAAGGGACTGCCATTGTTTGGTTCAGGAACGATTTGAGAGTATTGGACAATGAGGCTCTGTTCATGGCTTGGGTTTCATCCGAGGCGGTTTTGCCCGTGTATTGTGTGGATCCTCGACTTTTTCAAACTACCTATCATTTTGGCTTCCCTAAAACAGGAGGTAATTGATTTCGTTATAAATTTTCTATCTTTAAGGAAAATGGTTTCTAGTGACGGCATATTGTGGTTAATTAGATTTTATTATATATTGTGCAAATCACCCTGTTAACTGGATTCTAATTGAAGATATAAAAGAAGTTTTTCTGGTAAGTGTCAATGTGAAGTGTTCTCCTTATTCTGCTTGTTTTACCAGCTTTGAGAGCCCAATTTATCATCGAGTGTTTGGCTGACTTGAGGAAGAATTTGATGAAAAAGGGACTCAACCTGCTAATTCGACATGGGAAACCTGAGGAAATTCTCCCTTCTCTTGCTGAAGCTTTTGCAGCCCACACAGTTAAGTGTTTTCTCTACAGTAATAGTACGATATACTTATCTTGAATCGCTGGGCATTGATTGAATTTGAAGTAATAATTTGACTATCTTAATGCAATCTAGTCAGGTATATGCACAAAAGGAAACATGCAGTGAGGAAACAAATGTTGAGAGATTAATCAGTAAAGCACTCCAGCAAGTAAAGTTGTCGCCTTCTCCAGAGAAGTCCAAAAGCCATGGCTCTTCAAAAAGTCCTAAGCTACAACTTGTTTGGGGCAGCACTATGTACCACATGGATGACCTCCCTTTCTATACCAACGATATACCTGACGTGTATACTCAATTTCGTAAGGCATGATTCCTTGTTTACTGATTTTTAATCCACCACCGCCCTTTTCTATTGATGTTTATTTGAAGTTCTCTTTTGTGAGAGCTGTGTCTGTATCATTAATCTTATTTCAGTCTGTTGAAGCAAAATGTGCTATCCGAAGCTGTACTAAAATGCCAACTTCTCTTGCACCACCACCTAGTGTTGAGGATTGGGGATGTGTTCCGTCAATTGACGACCTTGGGTTTCAACCACAAAAGGCAATATTTATCTTCCATCTGTGTTTATATATAAAATACAGTGCCTGCCTATGGATTTTAGTCTTTTGGTCCTTTTTCATGTCCTTGCAGGTTAACAAAGGAATGAGGTTTTTGGGAGGTGAAAGTGCTGCATTGAGCAGGGTCTACGAGTACTTCTGGAAGAAGGTAAGTGGAATTTCTCACTGTATGCATAAATATTCTTTTCCATGGATGATCTTTCAAGAATGGAAAAGGGACAGTTGAAAGAACAGAAAACTATTATGTTCACATGTGGATGCTTCAGCAAACAAACTGACAACTAAAAGATTGCTGATTGTAACTTCATTTCATGAATATAACATTTCAAAGAAATATCTCGGCTTCTTCTTGAGAATGAAATATTTGAAACAACGTATTAATTGATTTCTTGGAGTGGTTGGATTCTAAACTAAATTTGATGGTAAATAAATAAATTAAGCAATCAATAATCATCATCAGCTCATCTGATTTGGATTTTAGATGTATATCTTGCAAAGTTTACATGCAGAATTTGTGATAGTGAACAAACAAGGAAAGGGACCTCATTACATCCACTAGTGTGGTCAATCTTAGGAATTCTTATTCCCATGCTTATGCAAACAGGATTTGCTGAAGATATATAAAGAGACAAGAAATGGGATGTTGGGACCTGATTACTCAACAAAATTCTCTCCATGGCTTGCTTCAGGAAGCCTTTCTCCTCGTTTCATATATGAGGAGGTTGACAACTAAACTCTCTTGGTGTGGCTGTTTATAATCTTCAGTGAAATTGAATGATCAAATTGATTCATGGAAATTGTTTGTATTAATTGCTATAGGTGAAGAGATATGAAAAGGAAAGGGCAGCAAATGATTCCACATACTGGTCTCTCCTTATTTCCCTCTTAAATGCAGATGGTGCTTCATTTAAACCGATTTTATAGTTTAAAGTGACCACTGTTTGTCCCTCTATCAATGTTTTGATGTCTTTACCTTAATTTGGGGCTTACCATTTCAGGGTTTTGTTTGAATTGATTTGGAGGGATTACTTCAAGTTTATCTCAGTCAAATATGGAAATTCACTATTCCATTTGGGTAAAATTCTTTTTCAGTATCCTGTCAGTTCAAATACAACCAAATGTAGAAACACAAGATCCAAAAATATGTCTTGTTGAGTATCTTATTCGCTGAAAAAACGTAGGCCAATGACTAGTTTTTAGTACTAGATAGTAATGTAAAAATGAATCCACCATCAATGATTTTTCACCGTTCGGTCTCTGTCACATCAATTTCTGTTTGTAGGAGGCCCTCGGAAAGTGGAGCGCAGATGGACTCAAGACCAGAGATTGTTTGAATCTTGGAGAGATGGCTGTACAGGGTATTTTGTTTGATCCAAGGAATTATTTTGTGAAGTATCACTTTTTCTTAAAAAAGCATTTTAGTCTCTTGCCCTTATAAGAGCATTCAGCTGCCAAATTGAAATGCTATTAAATAAACCAGATATTATTATAAGTTCATAAGAACACAAAGAAAAAACTTAAATTTTCTTCTGTTCTATTAAAATTTTTTCCCATTTGTAGCTTCCTTTTGCTAATCTAAACAAGATTAGCAGATTTCAATCCACATTAAAGCTGCATTGCTTCTTCACTTACATATTTGAAAATTTCCAGATACCCTCTCATTGATGCCAACATGAAGGAACTATTGAGCACTGGCTTCATGTCAAATCGAGGGCGGCAGGTAATAATAAGCACATGATTATATTTTAACATTACATTGTTAGTTATTTCATTGGGGACCCCAGGAAGATTGCAACTCCATTGATACCATAGCCCTGCTCATTTACACGTGTGCTTGTTGGCTAAACTAACCAAGTAAACATAAAATTAGCAATTATTTTTATGTATTGTTATGAAAAATAGACAAGTCTCCAACTCCATTTTTACAGATTGTGTGCTCCTTTCTTGTTCGAGATATGGGCATTGACTGGCGTATGGGAGCTGAATGGTTTGAGACATGCCTCTTGGATTATGACCCCTGTTCCAATTATGGGAATTGGACTTATGGTGCAGGCAAGGCATTTTCTTTTTCTGCATGTATTGTTCCTTTCTTTGTCTCTTGTCCATATGTGTGCGTCAGTAATGATGCTTGAGCAAACAAACATTTTAAGGAGCTTCCTTTGCAAATTCCAAAATCTAGTAATTTTTAGCAAGCTGTTTTTCCTTTCATTCAAATTACTCTGTTATTTTGTGAAGGAGTTGGGAATGACCCTAGAGAAGATCGCTATTTCAGCATCCCAAAGCAAGTAAGTATTTCCATATATATTCTTTCTTATAAATAGAAGACAAACAGGACATTCCCGACATATATAATAAAGATGGTTTTAAATATTTTTAGATGAGATATGAAATGTATTCAACTGGTTAACGATGGCCTATTTTATTTTTAAATGTTGTTCAATTTGTTGCTGAGATGCCTTTATAATTTATAGGCACAAACCTATGATCCTGAAGGAGAGTATGTGGCTTACTGGTTGCCGCAGCTGCAAAAACTTGAGAAAGATAAGAGACACTTTCCTGGAAAGTCATACACCATGCAAGTTGTACCTCTCAAATTTCGGAACCCTAAGAAGCAGTACAGTCAGGACAGGGCCTATGCCACTAGGCAAACTAATCATGCAGGAAGACAGACCAAAGGATTCAAGAGATAGCAAATTACTTGGCATTAGGAACTATTCAACAATCTAGTCGTGTGAAAGAGATTACACAATGTGTTGAAGTCTCATGCCCTTCTAAGATTCAGAACACAATATATTATAGTTTTGAAAGCAGAGATTTTAAGACAATTCAGATGATTATTCAATCAATTGATGTAAACTTACTGACTTATGTTCCAATGACGAATGTTGGGATTCTGGGAGATTTCATGAACCAGTGCCGTATATTTGCTATATTGATCCCAAGGCTTTCGCTTGCTAAGAAACAAGATTGATAATGAACCAACATAAGGAGGTCTAACATGAGAAAAATTATGCAGCTGGAGTCCAGCAAACCTCCTTGAGAATCAAAAAGAAAACCAAAAGAAAAATGATTATTGAGCACTTCTTTTGTCCGAAAAAATTATCAAAACAAATTGCACATCTAATTACAACATCAATTGCTCATGACAGCTATCCATAAGAGCCACAAGACGAAAACTTGTATTTGACAGGGAGAATGGACCCAGATTCTGCGTGAAAATTCTGCTGACAAACTGCACAGGCATGTTATGCCTCAGTTGCCAAGGGACTGTGATTTTGCATTATGTTCAATACGTCACCATCATTTTCTAACAATGGAATTCACTCTTTTTAGCAGCAAGGCGAGATCTCAACTGCACAGTAGTTTGAAACTATTTATGGCAGATAGAACATTGAAAATGGAAAAAAAAAAAAAAAAACCTGTGCTACTTGATATGAATTGCAAAACAAGGACATACCTGCTCTATATACTTCAATTGCAGTAACACTTCATTTGTTTCCAACTCCTAGAAAAATGAAGAAAATGCATGAATATATATGATTCACTAACATTGGAATCATTAATTGAATATATTTTTTTGACAAATGATGATGTAAAAAGAAAATAACAAGCAAGTATTCACCTGAGGAACAGCACAATCTGAATGGGATGGATCCCAAAGAACAGAGCAAGAACAATCCCAATCATCAGTTTGGACGTCGGAGAGAGGTGCCCTATAAACCAAACTTCAGTTTAAGCTTTATAGAATAGAGTCAAAGACAACAAGTAACCAGAGACATCAATTAATCAAATAGGCACAAAGAGTTGCAAACAAGTACTAGGCGCATGAAGTTATTGTTTTAAGACAAACGTCAGGAGCTGATGTTTTATCAGCAGTAATGAGAGTTAAGAAATGACAACTATGAATAAGAAGTGCAGAAAGAAGAAGCTGATGCCCATTCTCCAATCAAGACATCCCTAATGTGAAGTGTCTCGCTATAATTAAAATCTAAAGACCTTGCAGGAATTGCATATAAATGTAAATGGTAATGTAAGACGGGCATTTTAAGATTTTACCTGCGCCACTTCCCACATATGATTCCATCAACAAATTTCCTTGTGCCATCGCATATGACTTCTTGACATTGAAGCCAGTTACTGATAGAATTGGACCTCATATATTTGTCTGTAAGGAATCCCTGAGAAAATGAAAATCTTTCACTGTAAGCCTCGGCAACGTTAACTGACAAGTTCATAAAGTACGATTCAAAAAGTTTAGTGTTGATACATACATGTCAAAGAATTGCATTGCATTTTTTTTTTTCAAGCTTCTCTTTTAAAATATCTTTTAATAAGAAAATGAAATATATGGATATTTTAAGTACTTCTAAAACATTATAATAGGAAAAAAGATCACTAGAATAATAGATGGACGCAAGGGGTTGCTTACATGTAAGCCAATAGTCTCTGCTGGATCCATTTCCAATGGCTCACCAATGCAATCAGAATACCTGCAGCAACATAAGTTTCAAAAGATGTGATGATATACACCATCCACTCATTTATCCAGTGAGAAGACTTAAGTAAATATCTAGAAAAGGGAAACACAAAACATTGTCATTAACTGATACATAGGTTCTGCTGCTTAGTTAGTTCTTCAAATGGTAATCTCTATTATAAGCAATCCTAAAACAGTATATTTTTTTACTTACTGCAATTTGGGCACTGAATTGAGTTACTAGATTGATAAGAGTTTAAGTTGCCTAGATTGCTAAGAAAGCTTTAATCAAACTTAAACCATCCAGGAGCTTCAATCGTTTCAAGCAGGCTCCTAGATTAGACATTCCAAAAAACAAGAATCTGGCGACCCATTACCTTCACATAAAATATTAGATTAACCATATTCTATAACCCAGAATTCACATAATTAAAAATCAAAGAGAAATGAACATATGGGAAAATGTAAACAACCAAAACAGGTACAAGATGCAAAATGCAGATAAAACATACCCGGAGAACTGATCAGACCATTCAGGAACTGCTGCTTGGAAAGAATCACCAATTCTAACACGAGATGTATACAACTCAGGATATTTTAACATGGATGCAATTGGATCCAATTTAAAATTAGTAATTCCTTTCCACCAATTGATGTTTTGTGATTTTAGAAAAGGGGCCTCCAGCGAAGCTTTATCAATTGACTTTGAACAAGGTTGACAAAACCACTCATCAGTGGGCAACACCTTCGTCTTTGGATGGCAGCAAGACACATGAAATGCATCTTCACAGTGATCACATAGCAACATACATGATGTATGATCCAAATTACCACATAATTTACAAGACAGGAAAATTTTGCTACATTCGTTAATACCTGGAACTTTAGTGGGAACACTACTATTCACAGTCTGATCTCCTACAAGCAGCCCATGACTTCTAAGAACAGAAATGCAGATATCTCTTATTGGGAGATCTTCACCTGACAACAGCCACTTAGAAACAGGACGTTCTACAGCACTGATAGCTTCCGTCCTTGTGGTTGGGGAAGTAACAGTACTCTCCTTTCTGTCAGGGTTTGATGATAGAGATTCACTATACTCTTTATCAAGAGACTTATAGTTGCTACCAATGGCTTCAATGCATCTTTCAACGGGTGAGACACAAGCTCGATCACCAGCTCCATCATCAATTCCATATTCAACATTAGCCTTTAGCGGACCACCCTTTACTGTGTCAATAGTTAATCCATCAGCTTTTTGTTCTAAAGGGGAAACTACAAGAGACATTTTCTGAAGCTTTCTTCGTTTGCACATTCCATTTGATTCAGTAATTGCATAAGAATTGCCATTCATCAAAGGGTTTAAACCATCCTGATGGAATTCACCTTGTTCTGAACAACTTTTCCAGGCTTTTGCAGGCACCCACTCACATAATAATTCTTTATTCCCATTATTGGAAGCAAAAGGCAGAGCAGATTCAACTGCAATTGGGATCAAGTTCTGTAACAGCATATTTTCCAGCTCCGTGTTCAATATAAGCTGATTGCAATATTTCCCAAGTTAATCACAAGAACCTTCAGATCGCCACTTTAAAAACAGAAAAAAAAAAAAAGGTGAAAGTGATTATAGACGCACAAAATTTCAATCGTCTCTCTCTCTATCAAGAACCCATAATAAAAATATTCAGCATTAATCAATTGTCAACTACTAAAAAAAGACCGTCAACAAAAACTATGCCAGCTTTCCTGACGCTTGAACAACACAGCATAAAAGGGGTATAGTATGACTATATATCACGGAATGAAACACTGGGTTTAGTGGAGTTGAGTGCAGGAAAGTAAAATAGAACTGCAATTAAAGCATTGCTGGTTTGATAGTCTTCGCGTGACTACTCTTATGAAGGTGAAGTGGCATGATAACCAGCTTCAAAAGCAGCAAGATCGGCTATTTCAGAACACGTAGGTAAAGAGGATGGATTTAAGTAAATGCAGATTCGTCGAATTTGAACAATAAATTAAAATCATAGAAAGAGAAAAATTGCAATGTGGAATATGAAAGCATGGAATTGAGAGTTTGATACATACCAGTCGGTAGAAGAAACGAATGGTGAAATAGAAATAGGATTCTTTCCTCTTCTGCCTCTTCGCCTCTCCTTTGCTAGACAAAATAAAATTTACTTAAAATAAATTTCTCTCCCCGCAATATGAAAATTTGAAATTGCCTACAAAATTTTAAACCAATCACTTTGATTTTTTGAATTTGGGTTGGCGCCTTATTCTTACTTTTATTTCATTTGTTTTACTTTAATATATTTAAATTATAAATGCTATTGTCAATGTCAAGGTTAAGAAATGCTATGATAAAAAATTGCAAAAAAAATAAAAAAATGGCAATAAATAGTGAAACCTTTTGTTAATTTTATATTTATAGAATAGAAAATCATTAAAAAAAATCTACAAATGAAATGGGTAACAACACATTTCAAAATCTATAAATATTTTGAAACATATTGATAGATTGAACCAAGGAATACATTGGGCTAGGGCCCAAAATGCGTAACAATGTGGGCCACGTTTGAGGCCTCGAAAAAAGTTCAGAATCACCCGCCCTTCTCGTCAAACGCGGCGGAGGGAGAGAGGCCGAGAGAGGGGGGGCTTTCTTTAGGAAGAAGAACAGATACTACCTGTAGTAAAAATATAGATGGTTTTTTTCCCTTGGTGGTCGAAGAGGATTACTCCGAGACGCTGAAAGAGGAGAAGATGGCGGCTGTGAGTTGATAGCAGTATTTCAACATTTTATGTCTGGCTCATTTGATAGTTCTAATTTCTGATTGGTTAATTGGTACTGGTTGTATTTTCAGCTGTTAATATCTTCTGGAGAATCTGCATCATCTCACATTTTTCTTCTTCGATTATTTGACCGAACCGTTGACACCATCAAGCAAAATGCTGCTCAGATATTCAGTAACATCTTCTTTCGTGAACCGATTGTAGATCCAAACACAAGGTAACTCCGTGTTCTTCTTCTTGTTTCTAAATTATATTCCGATTTTCAATTAAGAAATGAAGTGGAAACTCTTTCCTAGTTTCAGTTTCAACTTTATTTTGTTTAATTTGCTTATCTAGCAACACTCTTTAGTCCCGGGTGAAGTTGTTTTTTTTCGAAATGTTATTTTTTGGCTGGCTGCAAAACAAAAGCGATAAGAAAACAATTCATGTGTTATAATAGATTTTGATTTATACTTTTAATTCATTTGTTGTATTCTTTTTGATACCTTTTTTTGTTCGATGTTTCCTGAGTCATTCCTGCATTTATCTAATTTTGTGAACGTTGGTGTGTGTAAAAGGCATGGTGGTAGCTACTCCATCGATAATCTCATGGAAGCTCTTAGTCATCGATGCCAGTTAAGAACTCAAGATTGGTTTCAGAATAAACGGGAAGACAATGGTGAAGGTGATCCACAATTTGTTTTCAATGTTTTGGATGCAATGCTTAAGGGTAATTTGGAGCGCTTGAAATCAATGAGGTCAGCCTTTTATTTCATATATTTTAAAAGAAAAATAAAATCTTGATGAAATTTTATGTTGTTATTTTATTGATTGTTTGAGTCATCATGGGTGCATATTCAAGAACGATGACATTCTGTTGTTTTTTTGGCTTTAAGTTTTGCAGGGAAGGTATATTGTCAGTGAAGGTAGACCTTACAGGATACGTTGCAGATGTTACTTACGTGAGACATGCAGCTGTAATTAGGGAGTTTTGTTTGGTGGGCAAGCTGGGGACAGCTCTTTGGCTTAGGAGAAAAATGGTACAGATAGGTTTTGTTCCTGATGTGCTCACACACAATTATTTGGTGAATGGATTGTGTAAAACTGGGGAATTGGAGAAGGCTGATTGGATTATTAGGGAGATGTTAGAAATAGGTCCCTCTCCCAACTGTGCCACTTATAACACATTTATAAAGGGTTATTGTCTTAGAAATGATGTTGATAAAGCTCTCTTTCTTTTCTCTACTATGACTAATAGTGGCATCAGGCCAAATAGGGTTACTTTAAACATACTTGTGCATGCGCTCTGCAAAAGCGGCCTATTGGATGATGCCAAGAAACTTCTGAGAGAGATAATAGATGATAACGAAACAGCAAGAATAGATATAATTACCTCAACTATACTTATGGATGGTTGTATTAAGAATGGAGATATGACTCAGGCCCTCGGTATTTGGGATGCTTTGTCCCAAAAGAATGTGGATGCTATCTCATACAATGTCATTATCCATGGGTTCTGTTTGATTCAAGACTTGAAACTCGCATATAGCTATTCTTGTGAAATGCTCAAAAGGGGCTTACTTCCTGATGTCTTTACATATAACACTCTTATATCTGGTCTTTGCCAAGCAGGAAAAATTTATGAGGCTTGTTACATCCATGATGTAATGTTAAGAATGGGAGTTGCTCCTGACCACATTTCGTACAAAATGGTGATTCATGGCCTATGTACCAAGGGAGATGTTTTTAAGGCTAATGAGTATCTCAATTTTATGTTAAAGAAGTCGATGGTACCGGAGCCTTTTGTTTGGAACCTTATAATTGGTAGTTACGGGAGATGTGGTGATCCTGATAATGCATTTTCCATCAGAGATCAAATGTTGTCTTTTGGTGTTGTGCCAAATGTGTTTACCTACAATGCATTGATTCATGCACAAGTAAAAGTAGGAAATGTTGTCGCTGCATATTATCTCAAAAAGGAGATGGATTGTCATGGTCTTTTCCTTGATGTGGTTACTTATAATCTTTTAATCAGCGCAGCTTGTAATGCAGGACAGATTAGTGTTGCAACTCGCTTCTATAATGAGATGCTGAAAACTGGATGTGAACCAGATCTAATAACTTACACTGAGCTTATTGGAGGTTTTTGTAAGAGTGGTAACATGAAGGAGGCAGAGGAACTCCTTTCCAAGTTACAGAATTCTGGTCTTACAGTTGATCATGTTCCATTTCAGATACTTATCAAGAAGTACTGCACAATGAGGGAGACTGATATGGCATTTGATCTCTATAAAAAGTGGTTGACACTGAAAAGAAGAGCTTTTCATTGAGAAATAGTTATGCTTGGGAAGAGAAAATTGTTGGTTTTTGGATATTGGAGTATAATTTTGCTTTCAAGTCGAAGACCTTGTAGCTGTTCTGAAAATTTATTGATTATGGCTGCTCTGTTTGTGGGAACTTCATACCTGCATGTGATTTTCTGGAGGTATGTATTTATTTAGTTGCCTTATGACTGTTTTCACTGCAACATTTTTGTTATAGTTTAAAGATGATTGAAATGCCACCTACGAACATAATGGTTTCTTAAGTTTTTCCATATAATGCAACTCTCACCAAAGCTTTAATTTTTTTCCCCCAACATGGAAGATTTTTAGCCTATTCACTACATGCTGCGTTCTAAGCAATGACTTCAGCATGTGCTTTGGCTTGCTGACTGCTGAGTGTTCAATCACTCAAGAGTTAGGGATGCTGCTCTGTGAATCCTTGCTGAGTTAATGCTAGATTATTGACTTTCTCTACTTGTGTTTGTATCCAGAATGCTTTATCTGAGCTTGACTTGATCTGCTATGGTAAGTTACCTGGGTGTTAGATTGGTGTGATGCATTCGACTCTGTAATTTATTCTTTAGATAAATGTCAGTGGATTTCGTGTTGAGTGTTTGTTTAGAAAAGTTCTCTCTCATAATGTGCGCGCGCGCACGCATTTGTCTATGTATATGTAACTTTTACCATCACATATTCTACATTACTGAGATGAATGTTTGAAATGTTAAACCTGTTTAATGGAACTGAGGGACGTTGGAACTTTCAATACAATCACAGTTTCAACTTTTTGGCAGGATTAGTAAGGACTGAAGCTTTGAGATTGCTATATCAGTTGGAGATCAGTAGGCTTGTTGAGTGTGTCAACAAGGATGAGAACTTCATATACAAGCAGCTGCAGTTACATGCTCTAAGAAATGAATTGCATTCTGTATCAAATGTCAGCCACTGTTTCTGAGAAGCTCAACTGATTTGTATTCATGAGAACCAATGCTCTAGTTGCTATTGAGTTCAAGTAATGAAATCATAAAAGCACCTTATTCTACAATTGTTTCAATCCATAAAACCAGAAGAAAGCTTCGGAAGGGCTCAAATAGCATCTTGGACTGATCTATTCAGCATGCATCTTGAAACTCCTATCTTGTATTCATGAAAGAGGATTGGTTTTGGGTCTTTTCACAAGCAGGTGAGAGTTGAAGTGATCTGGCACTGTTAGCTTGTTAATCCAGTTATGTGGATGTCTTACTATGAATGGATTTATGTGGAAAATTGTTCTTTTGCAGCCTTGCACAGGAGGGTTCGTCTATTATGCTTTCCTGTAGGCTATAAGAGCAATCATATTGGATAGAGACAAAAGAAAACCTAAGGTACATATAAATACATAGTACATGCAAATGCAATACAATATATATTTGTTTTTCTTTCTTTTAATTAGCAGGTTCTGTTTTCTATTTGTTCATGACAGTTTATTTAACATTGAACTTGTGCAAATAGTGGAAGCCTTCAATCTGGAGCTAGTCAGCCATAAAATGTTAGATCAGTGTTTCTCTAGGGTTGATAAAAAGATGAGAGGCAATTCCTCAACGTGTCAGATCTGCCTTATTAGCAAGGTGTTTATTTCTTTTTGTTTGTCTCTGTCTAGATGACCTGGAAAGGGGATGGAAAAATCATGTTATAAAACAAGAAGCAAACTGAGAAAACGCTGTAGAAAGAAGAGGATCGATAAATAAAATATTGAAATACATTGTCAGAGTCATTTACAGTCAATTGGATGGAAGGACTGATGGTTCTTTCCAGGAGTAATCATCCAACAAATGTAAGTTCATGCATGAAAACATAACGCAGAAAGAACCTTTGGCCCTCAAGAAGGGAACCTTTCTTTATGAAGGTCTATAAATAAAGGTCTTCAACGTTGTTGTAGTTTGATGGATTCTCCATGCGTAAGTATGCCCCGTTTGATAAACGTAAGCCCATAATTAGCTAGAACTGCTATTTTCCAGTGTGATTATGATATATATCACAAATTTCTGGTCAGAGAAATGAGATGTTTTGTTTTTCCAATTTGGTTCCTCATCTTCAATAGCTTATAGTTACGAAATTTTAAAGAAAATAAATTCCTCAAGTGGATAATAAATAATAATATGGCATGAGTACATTATCAAAGGTGTATATTTAGCCTAAATCAAAATTTGCCAAAACAAAAACACTGTATTTAAACAAGACTATCATTGTAAAAAGTATCAAATTTTTATAATTAGGCAACACATAACATGTGTTTTTTTGGAGGGAAAAATACAATACGTGCTTATATTATTGACTAGATATGCTAAATACATAAATAAATTTATTTCTGTACTTTTGTAAGAAAATTTATTATGCACTTACATTTACGAATTTTCTAAATAGTCTCTCGAGTTTTTGGCTTTTATATATTAAATATTAATTTAATATTTGATTAGTATAACTTTTTAAACAAAAATTTTCACATTTTAATTTTACAAATTGAAATGTTGGATAAACGTTCAAGTATTTGGGAAGTGTAATTTTTATAAATTGAAGTTTTGAGGTAAATTTGTACATTTGGTGATTAAAGTTATCTAATGGGCGTTGTCAATCTCTTCCTACTTTCTACAGTCAATCTAATTACTTTTAGGAATAAAGCCTAATATATCCTTAAGTTTGTAAATTACGAAAAGATTCAAAGAATAACTTTCACTTAATTTACCTTCTAAACTTGTAATTTCATAGGATCCCACAAGCTACTGTTTTACTGTAAATTGATGGGAAGTAATAAATTCAGTGAACAGATTGAGCCAAAAGGTTAATCTTTTATTTTTTCGGAATTACAAATTTTGTGAAGAAATTTATTCGTTAGTTTTTTATTCTAACCACAGTAATAATACGTCAATATATCCTTTCAAAAAAAAAAAAAGAAAAAAAAGAAATACGTCAATATACGCTAGATGCAGATCGTACATACTACATCTTTTTCCTTATACATACGAATAAATGACCGAACGGCTCGTGAGTCGGGAATCGGGACTAGCCTCGTCGCATCTGTGGCCTGCGTTTCCTGAGTCACAAGAGTAAAGTAGAGAAGACGGTCTTCGTTTGTTCTGTGTCTGTTAAGACTGTTCAGCCATTCAGTCGCTTCTGAACTGTGTGAGAAGCCCCTGCCCCGGTACTTGCTTTTTTTTTTTTTTAATCTAGTTTCTCAAAGCATCAGGCCGCCGCAATGTCCACCATCAATTCCGTTGCGGCAGAGGGAGCAGGAATACAGCAGCAGCAGTTACAAGCACAAACTCAACCAAAGTGGCCAGGATGGCCCGGAAACAACGTGTTCAGGTTGATTGTGCCAGTAGTGAAAGTCGGAAGCATAATTGGACGTAAGGGAGAGCTCATCAAGAAGATGTGCGAGGAAACCCGAGCCCGCATTCGCATCCTTGAAGGACCCCTCGGCATTCCAGATCGCATCGTTAGTATCTTGTCCTAACTGACTCTTTCATTCGCATCTGTTAAAGTCGTCTTCTTTTTCTGTTTCTTTTATTATTATTATTATTATTATTTGGCATGAATTGTCGAATTCGAGCATTTTCTAGTGTTGCTTTTCATAGTGTAGTTTCTATCTCGTAAAACTAGGTCTGTATATGCAATATCTACGTTTTGATTTTTCAATTATAGTTTACAAAAGGCAAACCCTAAGTTGCGGCTTCTCATCGGTTGCCCAAATGGAGACCTCCGATAGTTCCCTTATCCCAAGCAATGAATTTTTGTTATCAACTAAGGTTATATAGCCGTTTGAAATTGTTAACTTGTTGACGCTTGATGTCTTGTAACTCCAGTATGAGTCATATGAATCATGTGCTTATGTTTTTTCACCACTCCAAGAGCGCATAAGAGGGCGAGCTTGGTTTTAAACATATGTAAATTTGTGATATTTTTCCTCTCTCCTACTGTTTGTATGTATGTTTTTTGAGTGGTAATTTTATTGTTACTTGCATCATATTTAGAACTTAAGTTGGACCCGTAGCCCCCTTTTGCAGTTCAATAAAAAGGTTGATGCAATCTTATCATCCTTGGTTATTGCTACCATGACAACTTTTCCTCTATATTATCTTTGTTTTCCTGGCTTTGAGTAGTGTAGCTTTGCAAAGATCAATTGATTTACATGTAATTTTCTTGTTATCTAGCAATTGCACCCCATATTGCCTATTGTGGTGATTTTTATTTGCTCTTTTAGGTTTTAATATCTGCGAAAGAAGAGCCAGAAGCGGCATTATCTCCTGCCATGGATGCTGTGATAAGAGTTTACAAACGTGTTAGTGGTCTATCTGCTGGTGAGGGTGACAGTACAGGTTCAGCAATTGCTGGTGCTGCTTTTTGCTCCATACGGTTACTGGTTGCATCGTCACAGGCTATTAACTTAATTGGAAAACACGGATCTACAATCAAATCAATACAGGAAAGCACCGGTGCTGCTGTGCGTGTTTTAGCAGAAGGTGTGCTTCTAGCAGTTGTAAATGTTTTTCAGTTAAGCAATTGCATGCTATTATTTACTGTATTCTTTTTCACTCCAAATAGGCGGTGTGTAATGCCTTCATTTTTCTTGTAGAGGAAGCTCCTTCATATGCTACTTCAGAAGAAAGAGTAGTGGAGATACATGGTGAAGCTCAAAAGGTTTCAGAAGCATTAGAAGCAGTAATAGGACACCTGAGGAAGTTCTTGGTTGATCATAGCGTCATTCCTATGTTTGAGAAGACTGTGAGTTCAGTTGTCAAAGTTCTTGATTTGAGATTGTTAGAATCATGAATTAATTCTTAGTTCATTGCAGTATAATGCAACAATTTCCCAGGAACGCTCTGCAGATATCAGGAATGATAAACCTCAGCCCTCAATCCATTCAGCTCCCGCTCCTCAGATTGGGATTGGTTCAGATTATTCCTTGTCCTTGAAGAGGGATCCTTCGATATATGAGCGCGAAATGCATCTTGACTCAAAAATACTGCAATCTGGACTGTCACTTTATGCACAAGATTCTGCACTTGGTGGATTACGGTCAACAGGACTCGGTCGTGCTGCTGCTCCTATAATTACCCAGGTGGGTTTAATCCTTCAGTTATTGTTACTAAACATGTTTGAATTATTGGATTATGTCAAAGTGGTTAATTGGTCAACCAGCCTTGTTCCCTAGAAATATTTCAGGACCAAATTCTAAGCCATTGAGGCATAAAATGTTGGAAAAAAATTAACCCAAAAAAAAAAAAAAAAAACATTCTCCTTATCGTGCTGTTTCCTGTGGAAGTTAACATGCTTAGAGGGAGGAAATTGGGCTCCTGTACTCTTAGATTAGGATATGTGGCTTAACTAGTTTGTGGCAAAGTCTTCACTCAGCATCAGAGTTTCCTTTCTCTTTGCATTAGAAGATCTTTTAGAATGTCGATGATTCCTGTATTGTGCTTTTAGAGGCATGATATCAGATATCCTTGCTATATTGTGATTGATCTTGATGAGCACTGTTATTTATTAATTTAGATGACACAAACAATGCAAGTACCTCTATCATATGCTGAGGATATCATTGGGGTTGGTGGATCAAATATTGCCTACATTCGTCGTACTAGTGGAGCAATCCTTACAATACAGGAGAGTAGAGGTTTACCTGATGAGATTACTGTTGAAATCAAGGGTACCACCTCTCAGGTTCAGATGGCTCAACAGCTCATTCAGGTAATTGTCTTTAATAATGAGATCGGGCATTTTTATTGCATTTCACTTTCTTTTTTCCTTCTTTGCTATAGTTTTCCTTTGCCTCACTTTGTGGCTTTCTGATATGCATATTTTAGGACCTTGAGTTTGTTCATTGACAGTAAAAAAAAAAAAAAAAAAAAAAAAAAAGGAAACTTTAAAAGAAAAATTATTGTGTTCATATCTTAACAAATTTTCTTATTTTACGTTATGGGACCCCATCAGTGTGGTTAATTCATTATGGTTTTCTAATCAACTGTGGATGAGTTGTCTGCTCAATGTTCTGTTATGCCATTATCTTCTTTCTTAATGTAGAGAAAGAAATGGATTTGGCTGTGTGTGTGTGTGACAGCTTTTTAACTAATCGTCCACGTTGGGCAAATTTGTTTGTAGGATTTTATTAACAACCAGAAGGAGCCGACACCAAGTGTGTATGGGAAGATGGATGCCGGGTTTAGTTCCTATTCACAAGTAGCAGAAACCAACTACCCTTCATCTTCGTTTACGTCACATCTAGGAGCTTATGGATCTTCAAGTTTAGGAGGATATGGATCTCCCACTGGGGGAGGTTATAGCAGCTACAGATTTTGAGTTACTTTCTGGAATGTCTCTGTAGGAAAACATATTTTGGTACTTGCAATTTGGATTGATTAAATTATTGATATTTCATCTTAAAAAAACTTTGTACATATAAATGATAATAGAAACTTGTTCAACCTTCACAAAACTACTTGAAAAAATACCTAAGGGCTGGGCCTATTTTTGGGCTGAGTGGCCAGACTTGCAGAAAATGTGATATTTTTCACGTGCATGTTTAACCGATAAATGGGTCTATAGATTAAAGGCTATAGGCCAAAATCATTAAAGATTTATTAATGTCATTGCAAGTTTGCAACCACCGGAGTCAAGTCAGCAAAGGAGGATGACTTTCTCTGACTTGAATGAGCAAATGATGGTCTCTCTCTTGGTCCCTTGCATTCAAACTATTCTACTGTTGTTTGTTTGGAAGTCTGGATGCAACCAAAAGTAGGTAGATATGTACTAATCACCTGTCACCATTTTCAACAACTAGGGACAGTGTTACTGCCTACTGGACATGTGTACAAATGGATAAGTGTTTTCAACTTTCATCTAAACCTGTACAGACGAAATTTATACTTGAAGATTAACACATTGCATAATTTATGTTTCAAAAATGATTATCATGGTCATGCAACTTGGAATATAATCATAATTTTCTTTCCTGGAATTCAAACAGTAATTGTTGTGTCTGTAACAGTAGAAACAGAAGGTGCTCCTCAGCTTAGATACTGCGGAATATACATACTTGCATTTATTTTTATTCCCATGGAGATGATACATTTTTGTCTAGGAACTAAGAAAGACACCACATGGTATACAATATAGCTAGAAAGAGGATCTCGAAGAAGACAGACCATTCACAGGATAGGTGGTTCCGAATAGGCTGTGACAGTTGTAGATGTCGCAAAATGTCTGAATACCTAACAGGGTGAAAAGCAATATAGCAGCAAGAAGCATGAAAAGCTTCCACGAAAATTTAACATACTTTTTGAAGAGCTTAGATGCCTTAATCTTTGGGTTATTATCGTAGTATTTGTTAACAGCTTCAATGTGATCATCTAAAATGGTCTTTTCTTCAAGATTAATGGTGGATTTGCCCATGATCCCACTGAAGAGTTGCACGATGTCATCATAGTCTACATGTTGTTCATCTACAGTAACAATGATCTTCTTGTCTTTGAGCAATTTCACGTCCTCTACAGTGCGTACAATCCCACTCATCAATTGGGTGTAACGAGTAAGAATCGGGGGCTCTGACTTTGCCATGGCTTCGTATGCCAGCAGGTTTCTCATTACCACTTCACAATTCGGCTTCCAAGTAAATACTGGAAGGTTAAACTTAAAGCTTTTGTCATCCTGATCGAAACTAATATTCCTGATACCGCCTCTTGTGATGCAGAATTCCACACCAACACGTCGGAGCTGCGTCGCTGTGGGACTGAAAGCTTCATCTTCTTCGAAAACCTTCCTTAGGTACGTCGAAATCCCAAGTCTTTTAGACACAGTTATGATTCGGTCCACGGAGCTTATTATAGGAGCAAAGATGCCAGAACCATCATTTTTCAACTGATCCCAGGCAACAGTGGCCATCTCGTCGATTGACATTCTGCTGTAGGCCTCGTAAGGAGGCAGTGGCTCATCTTTAAGGCAAATCATTTTGTACAAGAGATCCAACAAGTGGCGTATGGCCACAGCTGGACAAGTCTCTAACACAGGGAGTGGAGAAAGCTGTATGCAAAAATGAACAAAACTGGAAGATAGCTGATCATTGATGCGACAGTTCTCCAACATCTGTCCTAACGCCAAGATTGGAATCTGGTTCTCAAGCATGACTGCGTCTTTCGAGAAGTTCTTTTGAGGCATCGATGGAAAAACTCCATTGTTCCGAATCAGCTCCAGCAGGAAGAGTCCATCAATGACCATTATACATGGCATGGCGGTCTTGTGGACATCCACTAAGTAACTGCTATAGCTTGCACAGATAGTCGGGAGACATGCTTTCAGTTTTTCAACCAGCTCATTGATACTAGAGAGTTGGAAATTCTCAACAGCCCTCTTAGCTACAGCAAGCTTGAAGGTCTCCATATGATAGAGATGAGATCGGAAGTGATGATAGGGTCCCAATGCTATCAATTGAGGCGTGTAAGCATCGGGCTTGGAAGCTTTTGCAGATTCAAGCACTTGAAAGATGGAAAAAGGAATTTGGATAACATTCTCCAAATCTTGTTTGAGATTTTGCTGAATGTGCTCAATCCACTCATTCTCACTAAACATGGAATTGATGATTGAAGCTGAAGAAGTCATTTTGGTTTCTTGTTCGAACTTTTGGTGCTTTATATAGGCAATTAGCCATACACTCATTGATTTGTATGTGAATCTGACAATTTCTCCTACCAAATACCTTTTGTCAGGCTTAGCCTCGTGAATCATGTAATTGAAGCACATATTAGTTTTAAATCACATTTTGTCCTTTCTGTTTTTATTGCACGAATGGATGATCACCACGAGCTAGCTTAGCATGTGGGATTGGAACCCACATCGCTCTAGTTAAAAAACCAGTTGCTTTCACATTGTTAGGTAAAGAATCATTTAGAGAATTCCTGTTATTCGCTAACGAAACTCTCTTTTCCAAGGCTAGAGAGACAGGGAATGAAATCCAGTTCCAGTTACATAAGTATTGGACTGGACTGATAGGAATAAGTCTATTGGGCCGTATTATGCAATCATTGGGCTAAAACTTAAAATCATCAGCTTTGAGACTCTGAGTTACATGGATTTGAATCTCAATGTAATTTGCTTAAGACTTTTTAATCCAATCAAATTCGTAATTTGTAATTATTTATTTTATGCATAACATATATGAATTAATAACACAAAATTTAATATAAATTATATTTTCTCTAACCATAGTTAACAGTTTCGAGTAAAAATAAAAAATTATGGATTATGGGTAATTTTAGGTCTAATTTCTTTTGTGAACAATTTAAAAGTTACTAATCTCTCGTATCACTTTTAATTAATATATGCATTAAGAATGTAAGATTTAGACCTTAACTGATGAAGAAGGAAAGTTTTTATTCTAGTCAACTAGATATAAATAACTATCAGATTTTATATGTTTAAATGATTCAATAAATAATTAAACGGATAATTTTTTAATTTTTTTTAATCAATAATTTCAGCTTGAGATTAAAATAATGGTTTCTTAAAAATTACATAGTTCGATGCCCTAAAATTAAAAAGCAATCCAGATGCTGCCAAAGTTCTAACCTAACACGTGTGTGTATATACATACAAGTAGGAGTAGTTCAGTACAGTGTTTTTTAAGTTTTAACAAAAATTGCACTCTAAATGAGAAATGCAAGAAACGAAACGCATACGCTAAGGACTTACTTATTGAATCAGTAATTGTAAGTCGGGAATTACAGAAGGACTAAGAAGGTACACATGTCTATGGACCTAATGACTTCTTCTTCTTCTTCTTATTCTTCTTCTACTACTTCTACATTGACATCAACTACCTTTTTGAATATTTTGCATCCCCTTTGGAAACAAAGTTATCCCTCCTTTTCTTGCCACCTTTCTCAAACAACAAACAAACAAATCACCCGTCCTTTATTATATTTTGAAGTGCTTCACAAGTAGCATGCCACCCACGAATCTCCAACTAGCTTAATTAGGGTTTCTTTCTATTATTTCTAGAGAGTCTTCATGACAAATGCCTGTCAACCACTGCACCATTCAACTCCACAAAGTCATCCAAAAAACTATTTTTAGATATAATTTATTGAATAAGATGTAAAACACGTATTCTTTACTCGTTTCGTCGAAGCGAATTTGATAGTCATGTTAATTTTTTCCACGTAATTATATAGTTAACACGTAACTTTAGTTTATAATTTCACAATAACAAAATGATTTAGAATAATATGTTAATATGTTGATGGATTGCTCAACTAATTAAATGCCCAGCATCAACGAAATGAAGCCATTTGTGATGAATAAGCTTAACTGCAGGCTACATGCATACCTATACAGGAGTTGATCCCTGAACCCTGATCGTATTATTTTGGATGCAATAATTGAAATCTGATCTGAATATCCCAAATGTTTTTAATTAATTTACTGCGCTAATACACAGTAGTAACATAAATCATTGCATAAGAAGCAGCGCAAATTAAAATTCAAACAAGAAATAAATTTCTTGATATGGCATACGTTTATATATATGCATTGGAAGTATATTAGTTCTTCTCTCTGAAAACATTTGTCTTTGAATAATTGTAATTAGTCAATTTCAAGCCTACCATTCAATCACGAATTTTCCTCATGAGGGTTAGCTAAGGGCTAGGTCGTCTTTGGAAAAATGCAGACGTGATCAAGACCCCATAATGAAATGATATAGTTGAAGTGTTTGATAAGAAAATAAAAGATGGTGATAGATGTCTAATTCATTAACTTCTCTTTATCTTCTTCAATAATTCAAATGTTAAACCTCTCAATCTTGGCAAAATCATAACTAACCCTCTCTTTATATTAGATGAGATGAGTGAATTTCACAGAAGTTACACTTATAACAAAATTTTCCTTCTTTACATTTATAATTAACCCTCTTAACACGTAAAGGGTGCTGATTATAAGGACAGAATTAGTTATTGAACTTGCATAATTATGCCTTAACCATCACATAAATATGCTTCTCTCAAGTTATTTTCTAAAGCAGCTGTGATGTCACTGATTATATATATATATATATATATTACATAATATATATATATATATATGAAGATTCAAGATAAACTTACGGGGTGTTAATTCCCTTTAATAAGCTATATTAATTCTTCTAATACGATGTTAGAAAATTTCAATAGGTGAAAAGCTTGTCATATAAAGGAACGATTTTCAGTTTCTAATCTAAAACTTTATATATATATATATGAGATTCAAGATAACTTACGGGTGTATTCTAATAAGCCTATATTAATTCTTCTTAATCGATGTTAGAAAATTTCAATAGGTGAAAAGCTGTATATAAAGGAACGATTTTCAGTTCTAATCTAAACCTTCTGCTTGATATCAATATGAAAGCTGGTTACTTTACGTAAATGGTCTCATGTATTTACTTTACGTACAGCGGTAAAAGCGAAAATTAAAAGAAAAAAAAAAAAAGGAAGATTCTCAGTATTGTTATCAAATGCAGAATTAATTACTGATTGGTTAATTTTTTTTCTGGCGGTAAGTACAAGAATATATATAATATTGGTCAAACAAGAAAACAAGGAAGGAAATGAAGATTCTTGATCTTTAAACAAGGAGTGTCTGCTATTCATATTAGGTTTGAGTCAAAGAATTCTGGTAAAAAGAAAAAAAGGAAAACCCTAGCTGTTGTTGAAGTGTGAGTGCATCTTGATCTTCTTCTTCTCCTTCTCATATTCTCATCTGACGCCTGCCCTAAAAAGGAATGGTGTCATGGTGACGAGTAGAGATGGGAAGGCCCCACAAATGACGTGGCACTTACGGTGTTGGTCCGAAATGAATGAATGAATGAAAACGGGAGCTTACTTGAAGCAGCAGCGGTGGACATAGTTTTTGTTCATTTGTTATAACCTTCGTCTTTTTTGCATGTCCAAATTAATTCTTGGTTACTAACTAAATTAATATCATATCACCACACTGCTACTGCTAGTAGTATGTATAATGTTCTTTATACCCTTCGAACCAATTGCCAGCTTTTCTTTCATCAATTATGCGAATTAACACAACTATGAATCTTAATTAAAAAACTAACCCAACTATTATCTAATCTAGGGAAATTAATTAATTAAACCATATAATCAAAACTAATGAACCCTAGCAAGGAGCTAGCTGGAGACGATAAGGCCAAAATGGTAAATATCAATGACTGACTATTTTATTATTTTAATAGCTACAGGTGTCTCATGTGTGGATCCTAAACAAAGGATTTCTTCGAAGACTTTCCATATTAACTATAATTTTGTAAAAGCATAGATATATTATATAGCATTCCCTTGTAGGAGAAGACCCATAGTAGGTGAGATCTTCAGGACACACCCTAACTCATTTCCCTTACATCTCTTCATATCAGAAGCTTAAAATCCCAGATTTCTTGTGCATGGTAAGTAAGAAAAAGTTTTCATTCACGTCCGCTGTCCACCATATTTTTATCTAAAACACCGAAACCTAATCTTGCCCATGCAAGTAAGCTACTTTACTTCTAAAATTAAACTTAAAAAGTTAAGCTTTTATAAAATTAGATGAAAAAGAGAGTTGTTGTTTGGGTGATTCTTCTTTCGTGTCACTCAGGAAGCTAGATATTTCATCCGGCTAGCTAGCTAGGGTTTTCTTAGTAAAACAAAAATAGCCTAAGCATGCACAAAAAGTTCGTTAATATTATTATTTTCTGATGATTGTATTTAGCGTTTTAATTGTAATAATTGAGAAATATCCACTGATGCCTTTTATTTCTAGTACAGAAGCATACGGGTGAAAAAGGAAATAAGGAGAAGGAAATTATTATGGAAGGAGCTGATAGGAAGGAGGAGAGTTTGCCTCCAGGGTTCCGGTTTCACCCAACCGACGAGGAACTCATCACATGCTACCTGGTAAGCAAGATCTCTGATGCTAATTTCACGGGAAGGGCTATTGCTGATGTTGATCTTAACAAGTGTGAACCATGGGATCTTCCAGGTACTTATAAATTTCTCAAAAACCCTAGCCAGGCGTGGAGTGTAAAAGTTCTTATCTTACTAATTTAATTATAAACCTGCAGGGAAGGCAAAAATGGGAGAAAAGGAGTGGTACTTCTTCAGCCTTCGAGATCGGAAATACCCAACAGGTGTGAGAACAAATAGAGCGACAAATACTGGATATTGGAAGACGACAGGAAAAGACAAAGAGATCTTCAACAGTGTGAGTTCAGAATTAATTGGAATGAAGAAGACTCTGGTTTTCTATAGAGGGAGAGCCCCTCGAGGAGAGAAAACCAACTGGGTCATGCATGAATATCGGATTCACTCCAAATCTGCCTTTAGAACTACCAAGGTAATACTTGTCCTTTTGCGATTCAGTTTTGCTCTAGAAATGATCTTTCACTTGGCAAGTGTTGGAGGGTTGGTACTTAGGGTTTCATGGTAAAGGTATGTATACCTCATTCATATAGTACATATAATGAAACAAAAGGAAAGAGAAAATGGCAGGTTTTTGTAACATTGAGATTAGAATTTAAAGACAATGCCAGTAAAATTATGGACAACTTAATTTAGACCTTTTTAAGTATTACAGATTTTTTAGTTTTTATTTTTCGTTTGGAAATTAGTACAAATTACATGATTTAGTATCAGTTTGTTTCTAAAAATAACTTAATTTTAAACAAAATTCCAAGAAAAACAACACATTTTTGAAAAACATTTTTGAAAATTTTCAATTTATCAGAGTACAAAAATGTCCAAAACTGTTCTTCTTAAAAGTAAAGCTCATAACTACAGAGATTTCATGTTTTGGATGAAATTAGTTTTGGATTACATGACAAATCAATTCAATTCCATCCCTCAAAATTGAAACTATGAGTTGAACAAAATGCCATTCATATGAATTATAAAATCGAATGACTTTCTCTTTCTATAGATTATCAAACTGATGTTTTCTTTTTATTGCTAACTAGTTAGGTTTTCTTTTTTAACTTTTGGCTATCGTGTAATAAAGAAAAATAAAACTAAAAGATGAGCTTAGACACGTAAAATTAAAATCTCATAACAACCGTGGATTTTTTTTTTTTTCTTCTGTGTGTGTAAATCTCTTTTTATAATTTGTGGCAGTAGTAATTATATATAAGACTATTTAGTGGATATTTTTCTATAAGAAAATCATATTGGATGGAATTGGCTTTCGTAAATAAAACTATCCACTTGTTTGTTTAGATTATTGTGAGTTTCATAAACCAAGTTATCATATACACGGCATACAAAACTGCAGTTGTGATATATATATATATATATAGAATATTTGGTGTATCATTTTCTTTTGTATAAGAAGAATTCATACTGGATGAGCAGGACGAATGGGTGGTTTGCCGAGTGTTCCAGAAAAGCGCAGGAGCTAAAAAATACCCATCAAACCAATCAAGAGGAGCAGTGAATCCGTACAACCTTGAAATGGGAGCCAATGTAATGATGCAGCAGGCAGTAGATAACTATCAGTTTCCAGTTGGAAGAAATTACATGAGCCAAGCGGAGCTGGCAGAACTGACGAGGGCTCTCAGAGCTGGTGAATCAACCAGTTTAAGTCTGCCTCTTCAATCCCAAATGAACTACCCACCACTTGGACCCCCAGGATCATCCTTCACCATTTCTGGCTTGAATTTGAATCTTGGAGGGGCTTCCATTTATAGGCCATTGCAGCCTCAGCCTCCTCCTCCTCCTCCTGCAGTCATCAACCAACAAGATGTTAATTCTTCCATCATCACCGCTGCTCCTTCCTTTGCTGCAGAGGCTGCTCATGCCTATGCTGCCGATATGAACAGTGCTGCAAATGCCTCAACCAACAGATTCCTGGGTGTCGAACATTGCATGGATTTAGATAATTACTGGCCTTCTTACTGAACTCATACCACAGCTCAGCTGCTAGATCTTCTACTTATGTTTAGTTCCAATATAGTTTTAGTCGCTTCTTATATATGTGCACTGTTTTAGGATATGCAATTATTGGGTAAAATACCACCCAGCAATTAGAGTCATGTCTTACTGTAGGGATTGAGATCCTTTGGATTCTTCTTTTCTATTTTCCTTCCTTTTTCTTTTTAAATTGGGAATCATGTTTTTCTAGTTAATCCATCTTCAAATTTCTTGCCAGCATATGTTGCTGGGAATAGAACGTATTAAGCATCCACAGTAATTAGGCTTATTAAATCTAATATATATATATATATATATAATTATCACTACAATATATTGCAACATGTTAGTCGGAAAAGACTTTTCTGCACCTGATGATTATTTACTTGGTATTAGAGTGGATTCTTACACTGTGCGGGCAACATGTAGGACTGGAAAAAATGGTAAATAGTAAAGAATAAAAAAGGTACATGGGTTTTGTTATCATCCACGAGAAGCCTGTCCAATGTCCATGAATCTCCATGGCATAATCCACCATATACAACCCACTTACACAAAGCCCACTTACGGTTTTTTATTGTTTCCAACGTGCTAAACAACTGCCCATTTGCAAAACCGTAACCCTGCATTCCTATTCCTCCGCGTCTCAGAAGGCCTGGAGGTAACTTACTCTCTTGGCCATATCTAGATCAAGAAGGGAGAAAACTAGAAAAGTAGAAATTACTCCTGAATGGATGAAATATCGAAAAAGGATTCATAAACGTACGTTAAATGGAAGAAACTAACACTTGTAGAGAAAGTAGGTTAAGGTGTATTTTCCTACGGAAGAATATGGTAAGGGGGAGCAACGAGTTTAAGCCTCTACTGATTTGGAGAGACGTCGAAGTCAGACTAAAGCAACAGCAACAGATATCATTCGATTCTAATCAACACAAAAGTGGTAGATTATATAATTATTTCAACTGTCAATTAAGAATAATAAACAAAAAGAACAATAAACTACAACTCTATCGATGCTAATGAACCCAACCCATATTACATCTAAAATCCTCAGGACGTCTCATTCTGTAACGTGAAAAGAAAAAGAGAGATAAATATGCAGGAGCTCCAAAAACATTGTACTTCTTGATCAGATTGAACAGTGTAGATCCAAGAGCTCATGCAAATGGTACAAGCCCCGTCTGCAAGAGAGAGAAATAAACTGTTGGATTCAATCAAAGATCTAGCAAGGAGCAAGCAACAAATTAATTCATTATCACGGGATTATATTTTGGCATTTGGTAGTTACTATAATGAAATTCTGGGTACACACGCTGCCAGCATGCACAACACACCATCAACCTTATCAAATAAAAAGTGGATCATTAAACATTCATAATGCAATAGATCAGGTACAACATAACCCTTCTTGCTTTGATGCTTTTACGGAGAAAGGGGGAAGAGGATAGGATGTGGGGAGCGAATGGGAACCCCATAACATTGCCCGATCAATACAGAAATTGCAAAAGCTTAAAGTTGTTCATACCTAATTTCAGGACAACCACAAAAAGAATCACAAGTTCAATACCATCTCTACATAAGTTCTTTATTGCAGACAAAGTACAAAATAAAAATAGGATCATAGGGAGCAAACAAAAAAAAAATATATATATATATATATTCAATACCCATCTCTACATAAGTTCTTTTATTGCAGACAAAGTACAAAATAAAATAGGATCACTAGGGAAGCAAAACAAAAAAAAATATATTATATATATTATATAGGATTATTTTAACCACGCTATATATAGGATTATTTTACCACGCCAAGATTTGTTCTCATCATAAAATAGAAGTGATTAGTGGCAATCTACAAAACATGAAGATTGAAGAACAGAAGCAAGCATCTTAGACATGTTGGAAAGGTTCAATCATGGGTAAATCCAAACCAGCAAAACTGGAGCCACAAAGTCTGAAAATTAATCAAAATGGTCAATCCGGTAGAGGATTTAAGTTGCTTAAAGAATATGGGTAGTTCAAGTAAACAAATAAACAAAAAGTAATGTAATTGCAACAAATGCTCCAGATAGCATTATTATAAAGCAATAATAACAAGGCATTACCGCAAACATATCCCAACGGGAGAAGACCAGCAAATAAACTTGAGGCTCTCTACTTGTCTGGATGCCCTCGTTTAGCCTTTCGACGAGAATGGCTGGCGTTAGCATTTCGAGTAGGTTTCTTTGCCTTTTTGCTGTGAAGGTCAGGTAAACAGCAGATTATGTCACGCAGAGAATAGGCTAAAAACCAATTATATAAACAAACAGAAACAACCAGAAATTTCATCAATAAATTGAATAATTGAGTAATTAAGAAACAGACCAGAAAATGACTGAACAAATTCTTGACAAAATGATGATGGGTAAGGCCAACAAAGCAGAGGCCTACAAGATCAAAAGACCAATAAGTTGGTTAGTTCTTCTGTCCAGTAACAAACTCAGATGATTCACAATAAGTCATCCCATACCGTAAACCAGATCAACTCCTTAGTAGCAAGAGGCCTTGTCAACTCATGCTTATTCAGCTTTTCTTGTACAGTTCCTTGCACCTTGGTCAGAAGAAAATAGTTAATTTTAGTACGAGATAAACCTGAATTCATATTATTATCCAAAATTGGTCAGAAGAAAATTAGAAAACCAGCAACTCATCTCACTGACATACTCACAAGTCATAATGGACCATTACATGCAACAATGATATATAAACTTTAGCACTGATACCTGCTGATGGTATGTGGTTGCGGACTCCAAAAATTTCCCATAAGCGTGAACCGCCTGCTTTGTGTAGGGCTTCAGAGCCACCCTAACTTTATCAACATGGGGTTTTGTCACAGTTACAACCTGATCGATGTATGGCTTACTTAACTTCTTAGCTTCCTGAGATAAAATTAATCATTTTCAGATAGAACTTATGGCAGATATAACATAAAATTTTATGCATTGTAATATAAACCTGGTAGTGAGGATCGACAAATTCTTGTACTCTGACAACGTATGGAGTTATTGCAGTCTTTAAGGCTTCAAAAGCTTCGATTGTTTTTGCACTCAGTGATTGAACATGTGGTTCAAGATGAGTTGTTATCAGTAACCATTGCTCCTTTCCAGCAGGGATCCATTTCTTCAGGCAACAGTTCAGAAAACAATTAAAGCACAACATTGAGAGAAAAGCTAATGTAACAGAGAGCAAATAGCACAGAACCACTGACTCCGTTTTTCTTTTTATTTCTTTTTTTTTTTTTCCTTTTCAAAGCCAAATTTCAGTAACTCCTAGCAAGAACAGAAAATCATGCCTCAAAACATCTAGTCTATGACAAAAGGGAAGAAATAAGCGATCGCTTCCAACAATGATGGTGCCCACCCTTTACATTAAGCAAAATTATAGAGCAGAAAATTGGAGAATAAGTAAAGAGAGCTTACAGTTTTAATTGTTTCCAAGTGGGGTTTGGCCCACTCTTCAGCATCAGCTTTTTTATCCATGGCCTAAAAGAAGATTTCAACATTTTAAATTACCATAACATTTTATTCTGATAGATGATATTACACTTGAGTCATAGTATTCAATTCTGGTCATTGTTTGAGTAGTGAGTCTGCACCAAATAACATAAGAGGGAAAAAAAAAAAAAAAAAAAAAAAAAAAAAAAAAGTTTTGATAGTGAGTCTGCACCACAATAACATAAGAGGAAACAAAAAAAAAAAAAAAAAAAAAAACAAAAGCATCATTTTGCAACCAGAAAAATAATATATCTAAAAAAAAAAAAAAAAAAAAAAAAAAAAACAAAACATCATTTTGCAACCAGAAAATAATATACCTTTTGAATCGCCATTTCCATGACAGGCTTTCCATGCTCATTCCAATGTGTCTGGACCAAATATTGCCAAAAATCAATATCACAATGCACATATGTAGCTTTATGGTATAAATAACGCATTCCATCAAATTTTCTCTCTTTGGGAACATCAGAAATGGAAAGGTAGCAACCAGGCTTTTTAAACTCCTTGATCTCCTGCACTATGAGGTGACCATTAAACTACTAGCCCAATAGCATTCCATTAATTTACCTGAAAACGGACTAATTGTACAGCAAGCCAAGGTGGAAGCCAGGCTCCATGAACCTGAGTGTATATCAACAATATAATTAGCTTGCACAACAAATTCTAGTCTATATTTTGTCATATAATATTTACATATTAAACAAACAAAATGTTCATGCATAACATATCATCTATTGAAAAGTAACCTGTGACTGAATACAGAATATACAATCTATGACAATATAATTAAGAAACGATGACTGAAAAGCTAACTTGTACAAAATGAGTACCTAGTACAATGCTACACAATAAAACATCTAACATGCAGACTCATGACACCTACAGGCCCATTCTTTCTACAATTTCTACACACCCAATGCCATACAAATAACAAATGGTTTTTAAGTAATAAAGAAATGCTCTTCTACTATTAATGCCAGATCCAAAAATAGGCCTTATTTTTGGTTATTGCCAAGACCATGTTCCATCACTGGCCAAATAGTGTTTCGTATAGTTGGAGGAGGGTTCTATCTACAACACAAAGGTGTGTCTAATATAAAAACCTTCATTAACATACAGTTTTTTATTTCCCCATTTTTGCAACTAGGAGATAACATCAAATTCTTAAAGCAGAAAATCTTTAACTTGATGAAACACAAGAATGAACAGGAACCAAATGAAGAAACAGAAAATTGAACTGGATGTAAGATTTTCTAAACATCATAACATGTCCATAAAGTTATATGGACATACAAAAGTGGACTGCAAAAGAAACTGCACTGTGTTCCCTTTTTACCTCCATTAACTCTCTAGTTTTCGAAGTAGCGTCGAACTTTGCCTTCATCATTTCTTCCTACAAAAAATAATTAGAGATTAACAGCAAATAAGAATCCTCACTATGAAATAATTGCACAGGAAACTCGTAAGTAGCATTATACCTCGGCAACTTTAAGAGCACGTTCTGTCTTTCGAAGTTTGCTCTTCTGTTCATCATTAATCTTTTGAAGCTGTGGAATGAACACAATACATGATTGCATATCACCCCAATTCACGGGAAATATTAAACAAATCACAATTATAAAGTCCCTAACAAAGTAATAAAACAGAAGATATATCAATATATTGAATCCAGCTAAAGAAATAACTTACATTCTCTAATTTTGAGTTCAATTCACCAATCTTCTTTTCAGCCCCACTGACTTGTGCTTCCAGGGCATCTTTCTGCCTCTGTTGTGTTTCTAATTCCTTTGTCAGTTCGGCAACCTGCAGGAAGAAGTACCAGTTAAAACCATCCAATCGTTTTTTCACAATAAGTAGTTTATACATCTAGAATTATTTCGACCTTCTTCTCCAGTTCGCCAGCCCGTGCATGAGCCTTTCCCACCTGCTCAGCAGTGTCTAATTTCCCCTTTTTCTATTTAACAAGCAAATATTAGTTCATATAATATGTAAACAAATATTAGTTCATATATCGTGAGGATACCATTTTTATGCTTGAACATGTGATTTTAATAGTAAAAGCATAAAACAATTACCTGAAGGGAAGATATTTCACTTTGCAAGGACACAATACTATCTGACTTGTCTTGAATGATTTTCTCCTTTTGTGCTAATATATTATCCTTGCTCTTCAGTTCTCGAGTTTTCTCATCAATGTGGGATTCTTCATATTCCAATAATCAAGGGATAATGGCAAATATAAAAAGTACATCATACTGTTAGAAGCTTTCTCGATAAGACATCTAGAATTGGTAGGAAATTTTATAAGTCAAAAAGGTAAAAGTAAATATTTGACACACATTTCCCATAGTCGTTACAGTTTAAGTCAAATCCTGCTTACATCATGGCAAATTGCTATTGTGAAATTCACATGTAATAGGAATTATAACCAATGAAGCGATAAGAAGTGAGGTGGTGGTAACAATGTTGATATTTTTCTTATTCTTTGGGCCCATTTTCCTAGTCCTAGTATGAAAAAATCAAACACAGCAACATCTGGCAGAATTCCATTAGTTATCTATGTCATGGAATAACACATCCTATCTAAATGAAAAATTAACAAGAGGTGAAAAATTGAAAAGGCTAGGATAGATTTATGCTTGTCAGGTTCGGCTACAAAAAGCACTTGAATATTAAACAAAATTAGAATCTAATCAAACGTTAACTGGGAGGCTGCTATGCTTTACCAAGTCAAGGACAGCATTAACATTCAAAATAATACAAATTCAACATCTATACTTCCAATTTGTTGCCTCTTTGACGAACTATTTGGATACAACACAATAATGATTCGATTTTTCAAAAAAAAAAAAAAAAAAAAAAAAAAAAAAACAAAATTTAGAATCTAATCAAACGTTAACTGGGAGGGCTGCTTATGCTTTACAGTCAAGGACAGCATTAACATTCAAAATAATCAAATTCAACATCTATAACTTCCAATTTTGTTGCCTCTTTGGACGAAACTATTTTGGATAACAAACACAAATAATGATTCGATTTTTCCAAAAAAAAAAAAAAAAAAAAAAGCAATAACTAAGTTATGAGAAAAAAAAAAAAAAAAAAAAAAAAAAAAAAAAAGCAATACTAGAGTTATGAGAAGCAAACGAACCAAGTGCATGGATCTTAGACTTAAGTTGGTCAATTTCGATCTTCAAAGCAGAGGAATCAGCGGCGTCTGATCCAATGACTTGATTATCGGTTTGGATTGAAACATCCGCCTCCGCCCTAACGGCGGAGAAAATTAGGGCAAGAAGGAGCGAAAAAACCAGGAGCTTTGAGACCGACATGAAGCCAAAGAAGCCAACCCAAACTTGCAAAAGCGAAAGGAAAAAGGAACAATATATATATCCGGTTGATTCCAGGAGGTTAGCTCCACCACCTATAAACGTGTTATTATAAAAAAATATCAACGAGATTCAAAATGTGAGCACACCGGAGATTATTTATGTTTCTACAATTTTGATTCATTAACTGACACGTGTCCATTCTTGTATGGACTTAAAGCGGATGGAGGCAGTGCGGGCAATAGACAGGTAGCGGCTTGCTAGGTGAGTAATAAATTTTTGAATTATTTTTGTATGCACAAAAAAAATAAAAAATAAATAAAGGAGCGGGTAGGTGCTGTGACATGACCACCGGACTCCTCATATTCACTTCCATAAAATGCCCCAACTAAAACCTGTTTGGTCCTTGACAAAGATTATTTATTACAAATATTAATTAACAAAATGTAAGACGTAAAGTCAACATTTCCATTTTCTTTAACTAATGGGCAATTGCATTAATTTAGAAAATTTACACATAATTCATTTCTTTTTTCTTTTTTCGTTAACTAGAACAGGCTGAAAAAAACAAGTTAAACACACCTGTGTTGTGTTATATTCTATTTGTTTCAACTTATAAATCATTTTCCTTTAAAAAAAAAAAAAATTCACTTTTACCTTATTAGCATAACTACGGCGACTTACCTTTCAAACTATTTTAAACAGTGCTATTAAAGATGAGTGAAAAATAAATTAAACAGTGAACAGTTTGCTTTATGTAGAGATGCTTTATTAATATATAAAGATATATATATTTCCTTTTTAGCATAGCTAAAGGAGTGGGGCCGTTTGATAGGTCAATTCAAAATAAAAGTTTGGGACTCTGCGCTTCTGAATTGTGACTTTGTGTCGTGCACTGCATGGGCTCGTTTCAGAATGTGATTTATGATGTTAGGCCTAGTATTAGGGAAGCTTTCGCAATGGATCCGAATTAGTTATTTTAAGAAATGATGTTTTGGGCTTGGGCTACCTTACTGTCTGAATATGTAGGATTAGGAATAACATCTTTTATTGTATTTTATATAGAATGAAGTGATTACAAGTTTTACTTAGAAAAATAACTGCAAGATAAACTCAAAAATCAAATTTCCCAATTATAACATATACTTGTGACGTCTTCATCATTTGCATGGGGATGGCTATGAAAATTATTTATTCAGCTCATTTGAAAAATCCTTTTGTCCATGCCTTTTGGGATGGCTACGAAAATTAAATTAATGTCCACATATATAATACTATACATTTACATTAAAAAATAAAAAAGTTGCCTTTCAACTTTCAACCGTGATCCCAATTGGGAATTTGTTCTTTTTCAACGACGATCGTAGCTTTCTTTTTCTTTTTCTTTTTTTTTTTTAATTTAATGTACTTAAAAGTTGAAACAATTGGCTAACAACTAGCTAAGTGTGCGTCACTTTCAGCCATTGTTTTTCGCTTTTTTGGCAAATTGTCTACCATTTATATATGCCTAGGTTACAATCGGTATCCAGCTTTTGAAAGCTGTTTATTCAGCTTGGCAAACAGCAAACGGGCTATAACGAGATTTTTCAACGTCTATCAAAGAAGGATTTGACCCTTCATGGACCTACCCAATGTGAATTTGAATTAATCAAGCCAATATATTTCAAACATTGAATAAACAAAATTAAGCATCATGGTCAATTAAGCCAATGATAGTTACCACTTAACTAAAAACAAAGTGAAGTCACAATGTTGAAAGCCATTGCCAGCTAAGATTCTAGTGAAATAGCTATCAGTAATTAATTATCTTCCAGTTGGAGACGTAATTATTAATTAATGAATACTACTCTGGTATCTGTTTCTATAACATATGTGGCTGCAACCCATGATGTTTTTTAAAAATACTGTACATTGCAAATTACAAAACCGAAAATATTCCTTGAGGAGTGGAGATAATTGGAACACAGCAGCATTGTAATATAATTAACCAGTACAGATATAATTCTTTTGATTATTTTTAAGATCTCAACTAATAATCAAGTTAGGGCAGAAACATGGCCCATCTGTTTCTCTGCCTCCAAAAGCGACATCAAGTCACCGTCACTAGCATGCAATGCATCGTATTTATACGGCTTCTCGTTGGATTACTCCTTTTCTTACATTTCTATCGTTTAAACTAGACAGCCACTTGGAAAATACGTCAGACTCGTGCTTGATTACCTTTTTTTTGTAATTTGCTTTTGTTGTATGTATGCTTCGCCATGGCCCTTCCAGGATACGATCAGTTACCATATATTCTGGGCTTCTTTTTTTCTCTTAAGATAAAATAAAAATACAAAATAATAAAAAAAAACTCAATTATACTGGATATTTTCCACCGCTCAATCGGGATTGTTTTTACTTAAGAGAGTTCCTAAGATAGCACAGCCATAGCCTAGCATAGTACAGTTTCTTTATCTTTGTTATGCTCAATTAGTTCATCACTGTTTTAGGAATTAGCCAGGGTTAACTGAGCACAAATAATATAAGTTCTTTTATTTTAATTAAGACATAATTAATTTTAGAATTCCAAATAGCAAAATGGAAAAAACTGGGCAAGAGAAGAGGAATCCAGAATTATAGATGAAAAGGACAGGAACTTAATTCGTCACATGCATATGATTAATTATTAATAATTAATTGAATGGGTTGGTTTACCTTTCGAAATAATCCGCTGTCTGTAATGCTGTGGTAGGCTGGTAGCAATAGCAGGCCTGACATGAGAAGAAAAGAGTACAATGTAGCCAAAGAAACAACTTGCCGGCGTTGGCGGGTGTTGTAGATAGCTGCAGGCAAGGCCAGGCCGGCAAGTCATCCTTGGCTGAATTACACTCTCTACCTCTTCATGCAAGGCCTCCAGCAGCACGTAAATACCCTGCAATTTTTCATTTCACAACATGCATAGAATGGGATGAGTGGCAAAACGAGTGTCTATTTATAGACGGAAATAATTAATATGGATGGATGACGAAAGAAAGAGAGGAGAGGTGGCTAATAATTAGGTGGATCTCAATCCGAAAAAAGAAATTGACCATAGTGGCAGCCAAGGGCCAAACTGCAAAAAGCAACGTCAAATTGCCATATCCATCCAAACCCTTTTAATTAGATCCCATTGGTGTCCCACTTTCTTTGGTTTTAACTTTGTAATAGGGAGGTCAATTTGGGGGAATATAATCTTTCTAGAGATATTGTTCAGCAAGGAGAATTCATGCCATGCCCAAACAAAGTAATGTTGTCATGATTTCTATTTCCGTTAATTAGTAGTTGTCGGTTTAATTAACAGGTTGGGTGCAATTTGACAGTAGCTAATTACCCACAGCTAGTTGCCACAGCTAGTTGTTGTAGCAGTGATGGGGAATAGCTGTCACGAAAAATAATTGCAGAAAAAAAGTGGAGATGCATGTTTTTGGGCTTTAATCGATACCCTTCTGTTATTCTTTCACAAAGCATCCTCAATCACCTTTACGACCTTCATGTCTTTATGCCTCCCAGTTTCCTTTTTCTTTGGGAGAAACAAGGTTTTTCGGCCGCCGCATCACACTTGCCCAGTCGAAAAACAACCGATCTTATCAATCTTTGTTAGCATCATCATCAGCTACCCAATTACATTTACACGCCTATCTACATTCCATTGCATAATCACTTTGAACTCCACACCACAATCACTGGGAAATAATTAACAAGGATGTTAATTCTAATCTAAAACTTTCTTGTGATCCTATATCCTATCCGGCGGAGAAAAACCCAGCGCATTTTGGCAGGCCATAAAAATATATATAGCTAAGCATATTCATAATTTGAAGATGTTTCAATTAACTAGGAGCAGCCTTATGATGGAACTTGCCTTATTTAGGATCTTGCTAATGGCAACTTGATTCAATTATGATCTAATATCAAGTTGTTTAGACTAGGATTATTAGGATAAAATAGCTGGAAAAGATTAAAAGGAATAAAAATAGCTAGCTGGATCCGCAAGTCTTGCATACGTTTACACAGCCTACTTGCTCAAAAGTTTCATAGCCCAATCTTCCCCCTTTTTGGTTAAAAAATATAAAGAAACAAAATCAACCATTTATTGTGTATTTCCAATAAGATATATAAATTGTGATAGCTAAAAAAGAGTGTAGATTTAACATTTCTGTTCAACTCTGTCCTAAATGGACTTGAGATTATATGCAGTAACTTTTTTTTTTTTTTAAATGTATAGATAGCTTTTAGCTTGATTGGGAAGGTCCTGAAGAAAACCAATATATATCTAGATAGATAGATGTTTAGATGGATAATTAGAGTTTTTTAATTAGGAATAAGGCGCACTGGTAGGCCTTTGGCTGGCCTCAAAACTGGAAGACCGATGATTTTCTCGTCAGGAAACACTTTCTCTAACTTGAATTTGATCACCACATGATGCATCAAAACAAGTATTGCAATTCGGGCATACTCCTTTCCAGGGCACATATGAGCTCCTCCTCCAAATGGAACATATGAGTAAGGGACTATCCCATTTCCGTCAAATCTTGACGGGTCAAACTTTTCTGGATCCGGGAAGTATTCTGGACTTTTATGCGTTGCAAATGCATTCCAATGCAGCTGTCCACCATCGTGTATATACATATTCATTAATCAATACAGACCACTTGGGATTATATATTATACAAGGACATAATTTTAACATAGATATATACCTTCCAGCCTTTCGGAATTGAAAATCCAGCATAAGTGAAATCGGCTATGACCTCTCTAAAAGCTCCATTAGCTGGTGGATGGAGTCTCAGCACTTCGCTTGCCACATTCCATGAATACCTCATCTTTTGTACGTCATGCCAATTCAAGAGCTCTTCCGAGCTTTTGGCTCTTGCAATCTCCTGTTGCTCTATAATTATGATAATTAAGCCTAAGTAATTAATCCAAGCACATATTTGTGAAAAATAATACTTATTAAATATGGTGCTAAATTAATTACCTCTTAAGACTGCTTCATATACATCGGGCATCTCTGCTAGATACTTGACGACAAAAGTAATCGCCGTGCTTACATTGTCATAAGAAGCACTTATCAAGGCTAAAATCCTGGTTGCGATTTCAGATTCAGTTGAAGATTGACCCTCCTCGTTAATAAGATGTTGGGACAATAAGCCTTGTGATTTTGAAGGATTAGCCTTCCATTGTTTAATCATAACTTCAAACTCCTCGCGAAGCTTCTTGGCCTCTTTAATGGCGCGCCTGAAATTCGTCCCTGGAAGATCTATAGGCAACGAAAGAAGCCCAGCTGAAAAGTGCTCAAATGATTTTTGAAGTTGTGCAATTGCTTCCTCATCATCAATGCCCAACAGCAATCGACATGCTAATACAAATGTCAAATCCTTGGCGAAAGGGTGAACTTCAACTACTTGTTTGCCATCCCAATGATTCTGTAGATGCTGTCTTGTCTTGGCATCCACAACATCTACATACTTGCGGAGCATATCTGACTTCAGAACTGGAGTGACAAATTTGCGCATTTTCGTGGCTAATTCACCTTTAGATTCATTTTGACTGTCAAATAATTTGTCGACAGAGCTAGGCCACCAGGACGAGACAAGCCTGTTCTCATTGGAGAAAACGAATTTGTTTCCTTCGGCATTGCATAAAAGAACCATAGGCTGGCCAAGCAAAGACGTCTTAAATAGCTTGGACGAGTATTTATTCCTCCTATCATTTATGAATTTTTCAGGGATGCCTTCCCTAGTTGTAGAAAGATATTCCATAGTTTCACCAATTAAAGGCCAACCAGTGCTGCCTGGTGGAGGTGGTGATGTCCGAGCTTCGCCATTTTTTCTGGGTTTCTGACGAAGAAAGTAGATCACAATGGGAATGATGAAAATTGCCGAAATGAATAGAGAACGAATCAAAACAATTTCCATCTTTCTGGATTCCTCTGCAGGGAACAGATGAGCTTCTGATGAATGAATGAGGAAAAGAACAATGCAGAAGGGTGTTATTAATATATGGGAGTATACATAGGAACCAAGAATCAAATTTAGAAGACAAAAATAAGAATCAGTAAGAAACAAACAAATAAAGGCATATGAAATTCTCAAAAAGTGTTGGACAAATATATTATTGCTACAAAATCCAAGTGCAAGGATATGCCATACATGTATTTGTATTATACAATGTCTGTCATCTTCTCCTAGTAAACTTAATCTATCTAATTTTGCATGATCATCAAAACCAGAACTGAATCATAGAAAGGGCGTAACTACCAAGTAGAGATCATGCTTTTATTGTCATAAACACGCTCACCTTATTAAAAACAAAACAAAAAAATCACATCATCAGATTACATTACAGGATCAGCATTTATTTAAGGTCTTAATTCAGAATATTACTTGTGTTGTTACTGCTCACTGCCATTTGTGCCCGTTGACTAATTTTGTATATCATTTAATAAGTACGGCTTAACTTTAAGCAGTTCGAAAGAGATTATATTCACCGATTATATTGAAAAAAAATATATATTACTAGCCAGTGGAAGATTATTATACGTCAGCCATATATTATTACCAAATAAATTTTTATTTATTTATATTTTAAAAAATAAAATTGAAAAGTTGGGGGTCCAGATCCTGCTAGTCCTAATAAAAAAGAATAAATAGGACAAAGGATATGTTGTTTTATAGCTCAAGAGCCATCGTCTACTACGTATATACGTATACTTAGGGTAGTACCACTGGACCTAATGTTGAGGCAATTGGAGGCCCAACAAACACCTCCCCTCAGTCGTAGTCTTTACCAAATGGGCCATTGGCATTGTGGATTTTTTCTTTAACTCGATGCCCTCGTGTCCCCTTCATCTATGCAATATCATGAAAGCAATTTAAAATTCCAGCTCAGTGGCTCGGTAGGTAATAAAACGGCTGGACGGTTGGGGTTGGTGGCGGGAAGATGCAAGGAATCGGCGGTTCTTCCAATTATGACAAGTCAAATCCTTGTATTAAAAGATAAAACACGCTTGGTCACATTAAATTCCAAAGGTTTGAAAGTTGAAAAATGAAAAACTTGAGGAATAATTAGGGGCTGGATTTCAGCCACGCTTTTCAGTTTTCAGTTTTCACATTACTCTACGGCTCGGATGAGATGTCCCTCCTCCCCTTGTCAGTCAGTCTGAGACCTCATTCCTTTCTCCGATTCCACGTCCAATTTGTACTACTCCGTTTCCTATTCCTTTCTGCGATTTCACGCCACTCTCTCTTCCGATTTATATATGAACAATCTTGTAAGCTAAACTAGCGTTTTCTGCACCAATTGCCACGCGTATTTTTCATATCAAATGGATTACGTGTCCAAGGACCAACGTTAATGCAATATGAGGAGCAGGTGGCCAAGACCTCAAGACTAGTCCAATTGAAGATTCCAGAAACGACATCTTGATACATCCGGTCGTTTCGAGAAATACAAGAGCTTCTTCTTGTATCACTCCGTTCAATTTCGGGAGTCTTTTTTGGACTTGAGGTATGTCGACGTCCCGTATTCGAAAATTCTCTCATCTGATTTGCATTTGAATTTTTCATTGTAAAATTCAGATTTTTTGTTCTTAAATTTGATAATCGATGCTGTTACTCTTGTTTCACCATTCAATTTGGTCATATCTCTGTCTTCCCTTATGAAATGCTTATTTATGCTTACAATTCCGTACAATTTGTTCATGCGTGAATTAAATTTTTTTTTTTTTTTGGTTATTTTGGAACAGCTTCTCAAATATGCCTCTTAACTATTTACTTTAGCATTTGAATGCAATCTGATTGAAATCTTTATCCTTGATACTTAACGGATGCTTATCGCCTCAGCTCTTGTGCGCAAATAATTCTTCTTTTCCCCTTGGTTTTATAATGAGCTGAAATTTAAGCTTTAGACGACCTTGTCTAGTCCTGAAATAGCGCAAATTATCGAAAATTTTACAAATTCGAGAATTGAATTAGTGGAATAGCTTTTGACTGCTCATCACCTCAATCTGCTCCTCCGAGGATTAGATAGAATCAAGATCTTCAACAGGCTTCTTGGTGTAATCAATATACAGAGAAGGAATAGCCATCCTGCTTTATCACCCATCAATTACATGTAAAGAGTAAACATATTGCTATTATAATTTTGGGAGAGAAAAAAAAAAATGAAGCTGCTACTCAGTAGCATAATCATTTTGTTTGAACTTTATCTTCCCTCAACTCTGTCCTGATCATAATAGTTGAATCAAGCAAGACCTGCATTTGCTGTTCATTTTGAGGACTTCTCCATGCACAAGGAAAACTTATTTCAGCTTGGCAATTCTATACATTCTTGATATGGTACATTCAGAGTTTGATCAGTCATGCCTTTTTCTGCATCATTTTTTTTTTCTGGGCTGGGTAAATGGTGTTTAACTATTTGTTAAGACTTCATTAGTCATTTTCGACCTTGAAAATGAATGTATGAGTTCCTTAAATGTTTTACCGTAGAATCCAATTTCTTGCTCTCTATTTATCCAGTTTGCAAACGGAGGATGGGATGGGGAAACATTTACAGGAGGCGTCTGAGAGTATTTGCAGTGGCTGTAATGATCTATCTGGATTATAAGGTATTGATTATTGATTGCTACCAACTTCTATCTTAACTATATTTTTGTGGATTATCTGGTTGTGCCAATTACCTCCCCTTTCTTTTTTTTATTCCAAGGCTGTACAACAAAGAGATAAATGGACCCTCAAATCCAAAAGATTTGCTTTGTGGGAAAGGGCTCATGAGCGTAATGGTAGGCGAATTCTCAACTTGATTATAGAGTTGGAAGGTTTGTGGGTAAAACTTGGACAGTACTTATCCACTCGTGCTGATGTGCTTCCTCATGCATATATATCACTTCTCAAGCAATTACAGGACTCTCTTCCTCCTCGTTCCCTGCAAGAGGTTTTATTTAGAGAATTTGCATACACATTTCTACAGTTTTTGCATCTAAACAAACTTTTGGCACTTGGTTTCCATAGTTGAGATTTACATTTGTGCAGGTTTGTCAGACTATTGAGAAAGAATTGGGGAAGTCCATGGATGATCTTTTCTCATATTTTGACAAAACGCCTTTGGCAACAGCATCTGTAAGCTCATTAAACTATTTTTGTAGTAGGCTGAAGATAACATATACTTGGATGAAAAATTTCCTTGCATTCTTCTTCTTCTCACAATGAACAGCAGGAGCTGAGTATGTTTTTGGATTATTCTATTGATCCCATGATATATCTCGCACAGATTGCACAAGTCCATCGTGCCACTCTTATTAGTGGGCGGGAAGTTGTTGTCAAAGTTCAACATGAGGGCATTAAGACAATAATTCTGGAGGTTTCACACTCTTTGGTTCTTAAGATGTTTGGAATGCAGAGTAACAGTTGCAACCTTTAACGGCTTTTGCATATGCCATTGTCTTACAGGACTTAAAGAATGCAAAGTCAATCATTGACTGGATAGCATGGGCAGAACCGCAATATGACTTTAATCCCATGATAGATGAATGGTGCAAAGAAGCTCCGAAAGAACTTGACTTCAATACTGAAGCCGGTATGCTTTGATTCTTCTATGATATTTACGTTGGGGAGATTTTGTTACTCGTGAACTTGATAGAATAGGACACTGTTTTCTTTTAGTTATAATGAATATGATTTGAAAAGATGCTGGATAATTGGAATGGGAGTTGCATCCGTAACTTGAAATATAGAGCAGTACGCCAATCAATTGGAATAGTGACATTCAATTGTATTTTAGATTTTCATATTGGGGATTAGGATATCAAGTTCCTCTTGGATCGATTCGAGTGTAGTGGTGATTATAAATGAGATTGAGGATGGTAGTGACCAAAACTGTAACCTTATAGTCTATTGTATCTGAAAACCACAATTATTCCTCCTTGAAGCCACCTCATGCAACTTTGTTCCAATGCCAGAGCAACTGACGTAGCAATTTACTTATGCTCGAACTAAACATATTGAGCTTGATTATGATTTTGTGTGAGCAAATTGCTGCTGGAAATATTCAAGTTCAATTAATTGCCAATGAAAATCAAATTACAGATATTTTCACCAAGTAATAAAGAAATTTCAATTCTTCCATGATAAGCTTCAGTTATTATCTCACATGGCCTTGGCTTGAGGGGTGTTAAGGAAATATATATCATAGATATAATTATATCTCTAGACGAAGTTCGTTATTATCTTTTAATTACTATTATACTTAAGATATTTGTTACCTTAGATATAGTTTTTGTATGTTAGTTAGACTAATTCTATCATTATCTTCTTTTGTTGTATATTTGTAAGTTCAATAGTAATACACAAAGATCACTTTTTCCTTTTAGTTTCAACGGTAGGCTTATTGCAATGGTGCTCCATGCTGCAGCTGGCCATTGTGGTGCCAGAGCGGAATAGATTTAGAAGCTCAGTAGCGGTGCCCCAATGGTGGGTTTGGAGGTTATAGAGATGAGAGGGAGTGTTTCAATCATGTAATAGCTTTGAAATTTCTTACACGTAGGATCTATGCATTGAAATGTGTCCATGTATAGCAAAAATGCCCCATAATTCCTCTTTCTATTTTCTCTTCAAACAATTCACAATACAACTCAATTTTTTTGCATTCTTTCTCATTTCCTAATGAGATTTATCTCTTTGTATTTGCAGAGAATACTAGAACTGTGGCTAGTAATCTTGGCTGTAGAAAGAGAAATGATGATAGCAAGACTGCGAAGCAAGTGAATGTTTTGATTCCAGAGGTTATTCAGGTAGTTTTCTCCATTAACATTCCTTTAACATTTTGTTGTGACAAGTGGCAAATGTTAAAGCCTATTCAGTTACTTGAGAAAGGTAGAGGAAGAAGTAGAGATTAGAGTCCTTGATCATCTACAATATTTAAAATAATATTAAATCAGCTGAACCTTAATCTCAAGCTAGTTGGGGCCAACTACATTGGTCAATTTTGTCTGTTCCACCTGGTCTAATTGTCATCTTCAAAAAGATCTGAATCCTTCCAGTTGCTTTATTTTTGCCTACCTCTTCAATATAGTTTACAATGCACATGGTAGTGACGTACTCAATACCTCAATCTAGTTGGATTTTCTAGTTCCTTGTGGTATAGAATGAGTCCTTTTAGTCACATTTGACATGGGGATCTTAAAGTGGAGCCTGCCCAGTACTATCTGTTGACCTACCGTGTTTCATTTTGTTCTTCTTACACTGAAGAATGTTGCCTAATAAATTCACTCTTCTTAAATTATGTTCTGTTGCTTCTAATGACAGTCAAGTGAAAAAGTCCTAATTTTAGAGTACATGGATGGAATTCGTTTGAATGACCAAGAATCTCTTGAAGCCCATGGGATCGACAAACGAACAGTTGTTGAAGAAATAACACGCGCCTATGCCCATCAAATATATGTTGATGGATTTTTTAATGGCGATCCACATCCTGGTACTTTATGGTTCTCTCTCACTTGTATTCTTGTGAATTTCTGTTTGCAGATTGTTATATGCTGCATTCCTAAGTGTTGAATCATTCTACTTGGATTTTTTTTGGTTATGTATTGCAGGAAATTTCCTGGTGAGCAAGGAACCCCCCTATCGTCCAATTTTGCTCGACTTTGGGCTTACAAAGAAAATATCAACTCCTATGAAACAAGCACTAGCCAAAATGTTTCTTGCATCTGCTGAGGTTTGTACAGTTTTTCTTTTCTCTCTCTGTCTATTTCTCTCCTTGTGGTTAAACCAATAATTCAAATAGAGCATCGACTTGATGTTGTTGTGACAGTGAGTTAATTGCAATTGCATGGCCATCCATCCTATTTCTTCTTCATTTTTTGCTCCCTCTCTCTCCTTCCCTCCCTCCACACCTCTTGTGATCATTGTTCTATGTCCTCAGTCCATGCTAGCTATTTCAAATTCATCAAAAATTTTTTGATGTTACTTGAAATAAAGCAATGGCAGGTAATGTCTTTTTGTTCATAATCAACTTATCCTTTCCATTGTTATTGTTTGTTAAATTGAATTGAAGCAATTTAGCTATATCAAATGATTCTCAGATTATTCATTACTAAAAATTATTTATATTTTTCAATTCTTTTTTGTTTATTATGCTTTATGAAGCAATCATGATTGTCCATTTTACAGGGGGACCACGTGGCCCTTTTGTCTGCCTTTGCAGAAATGGGGCTCAAACTGCGCTTGGACATCCCGGATCAGGCTATGGAAGTGACAAATATATTCTTTCGTAATTCAACTCCGGCAAAAGAAGCCTATGTAAGTATGCCCTGCCTTCTTCTCACACTTTTTTTAGAGCTTTATCAAGCCCTATCATATGACAATACTCCTGTTTAGGAAAATGTGAAAACTTTGGCCGAGCAAAGAACAAAAAGCATGAAGAAGATACAGGAAAAGATGAAGCTGAAACAAAAAGAAGTTAAACGCTTTAATCCAGTAAGCCTAGTTTCACCTCTTATTTAAATATTCTATATTGCATTTTTCAGTCACATATAATAACAATCTTTTGTTTTAGGTTGATGCAATTCCTGGAGATATTGTAATATTTTCTCGGGTCCTCAATCTTCTGAGAGGTCTGTAGAGAAATATCCTGTTGATACCTTATTGTGCAAAGAATCATGCCTTTCTTTACCCATTTTTATTGGATTCAGGGCTTTCTTCCACAATGAATGTTCGCATAGTATATCAAGAGATCATGAGACCATTTGCGGAATCTGCTTTACAAGGGTGAGTTTATACTAAATATAAAGTCATTTTAATGGTTCGTTGCCAGTTTTTGTCTGTTTGAACTATGAGCTCAATTTTTCAGTAACATCAATAAAGGATCGGCAGCAAATGAACAATGGATGTATGATACACCAGCTCATTCTGATGTGGAGATAAAGTTGAGGCGGCTGTTATTTGAGCTGGGAAAAGAAGACAAGATACTTGGAGTCCAGGTCTGGAACATTATCTAACTATTAATATGGCAGATGCTAAGTCAAGTTCTGCTTTTGTAGCATGCATGAATATAAACTTAATGCAGTGCTGTCCTATTTGCATTCTCCATTTCATTTTCAATGCTACTAAATTTCCTTTGGAAATCCATTAAAATCAAGGATTGTCCAAGTGAGCTACAATGGAGAAAATATGACGGAAATATGTTAAGAAACAAATTTATAAATGCCTTTGCTATATTATGCAAATAAAAGAATGCGGATTGAATCCAGAACTTTGATAATCATGATCTTACCATTCAACCCCAATGATTCTGTAGTGCATTTCCAAATCTAAGAGGCCTTTTAAGAAATTAAAAGCTATGAAATTAATTAATGAAGTGACAAAGGCTGTGAATACTTGAGCACAGAACTTAATCTTTTTTTTTTCTTTTGGGTATTACTTAAAATGGAAAGGGTTATTCTAAATCCTATTAGGTGCAACTAATGCTCTCTGAAGTGAGGACAAATGGCTGATAATTTCAGGATTCAGGAACTTACTAGTTACTGCATGATTTCTCTGATTGTGGCCAAATTCAGTGACTGATGTTAAAAGAAATTCTTAGAGGAGGTTAACATTTGAACGTGTAATTAAGACTTATCTTTTTAACATGGAAACTTGAATAAGAGCATAGATATAGTATGAAAGGAGTATGATTATACAATATTAATATTGTACGTAAATGTTAAAGTAGGATTATGGGCATACAAACTTAGTTTTGTACAAAAATGCCATAGGAGTCCTATTTTATGTTTCGAATATTAAAAGGAAAGACAGCAGCAGTAAACAAGTGGAATTCAGTGGTAACAGAAGATGCTTTTTCTAATAACCATTTGGAAGTTGGTTTACCTTCATTGTTGATTAACTCTATGCATTTTCTGGTCACATGCCTTGCTAATAATTGAAAAGAAACAGCTAAACTCTACTTTATAGTGCTTTGATATGACAAAGATGAGAAGGTTTGGTGTTATATTATAATTTTTCAATAATGATGGCTTAAGGTATGTGCCTACAAAGATGGAGAGGTTATTATTGATACTGCTGCGGGAGTACTTGGTAGATATGATCCTCGACCAGTTCAACCTGATAGCCTTTTTCCAGTTTTTTCTGCAACAAAAGGAATCACAGCAGGAATGTTACATTGGCTTGTTGACAATGGGTATGTAATTGTATCATATGAATCCAGAGGTTTTTCATGTTTGAAATGTTTACCAAATTTTTAAGGGAAATATTGTATAATTTTGTTCCCTTAACTGTTAACTAATGGCAAACTCATGATTTTCTAGTTCAATATCATTAAGCTCCTGCTGCTTGATTTTTACTTAGTATGCATGTCAGAGGAAATCTTATACAGGAAAATGTTGTAAACATGATACATCACTGAAAAATATTGGTATCAATACTGGTATTTTACCTGCACTATGCTATGTATTGAGAAATTGCGATCTGGTGGTTGGTGTGTTTTGCTTTGATTGTTGAAGGTGATAATAAACAGTATGAAGGCTAATGTGTCTAACTTTGAACTCCTCGCAAATTCATGCATGAGTATCACATTCAGTAGTATATGATTTCATGAGAAATTTTGTCCCTCGCAAATAATTAGGAAATTTCAGTATGAGATTGTATCATTGTACCAAGGAGATACAGTCTAAATAGATACGTTCTATCAAATTGTCAAGAATGATCCTAAAAGTTTTGCAAATTCTATGAGAACTTTGTTATGTGGAGTTTCTGAAAGTTCTTGAACTTAGAATATTTCGTAGTTGCTTACAAATTGCGGCATGATGTCTTTCAGAAAACTCAAGCTCAATGAAAACGTTGCTACTGTTTGGCCAGAATTTGGAAGGAATGGAAAAGATTGCATAAAGGTGTGAAAATTTGTTCTTAACTGCTGATGTTGTCCTATTACCAGCTGAAATCCTTCATTATGTTCTATGTTGCTTCTTTGTGTTCTTTTTCAGGTTAATCATGTCCTTAACCATACAGCTGGTTTGCACAATGCCTTGGCCAATTTGAGAGAAAATCCTTTGATGATGTGTGACTGGGATGAATGCATGAATCAGATATGTATGGCAGCACCAGAAACAGAGCCAGGCGTGGAGCAATTGTATCACTATTTGACTTTTGGTTGGCTATGTGGTGGAATAATTGAGGTATTATCTCATGCTCAAGTTTTGGAATACTGAGAATATCAAGGTCAAATGCAAATGCATTTTTTAATGTTAATAGTTCATCTATACTCACTCTAAGAACTATCGACACATTTTCATTACATCTAACTATTCTTGAAGAATGAAGGTGTGTTTAGAACAGCAAATAAATCTATAATAAGCATAAGAATAAAACATGGCAATCATTGCTATGCCTACTGTTTGGATTGCTTTGCAGAGGATTCTTACTGATTTCCTTCTCTAATCATGTGGTTAAATGAAACAGCATGCATCTGGTAAGAAATTTCAGGAGATTCTTGAAGAAGTAATCGTTCGGCCCCTGAAAATTCAAGGCGAGCTATACGTTGGAATTCCTCCAGGTATGCGTCTAACATTTGCCTTAATCTTCTTGCCATGCAAGTTCAAGCTTGTGAACCAAAATTGCCTCCGTGCTTTGAGAAATTAAAAACAAGATTTCTTCAGGTGTGGAATCTCGAGTTGCAGCGCTGACAGTAGATTTAAATGATCTCAAAAATCTTGTAGAGATGAACAATCGTTCTGACTTGCCGTCCACTTTTCAGCCAAGCAACATCGCCCAACTAGTGACTGCATTGCCTGCTTTGTTTAATATGCTGAATGTTCGCCGTGCAGTCATACCTTCTGCTAATGGACACTGCTCAGCTCGTGCTCTTGCACGCTACTATGCAGCTCTTGTTGATGAAGGCAAAATTCCGCCAGCACATTCCTCTCTCTCTAATCCACCCCTTGGTAGCCACCTACACATTCCCAAGTTTCCTTCAGCAAAGACCTCTAAAAATCGTAAAGGTAAGAGTAAAGAGGCAGATACTTCTTCAAAGAACAAAACTAGTGATCATGGGCATGGCCACTCAAGAAATTATAGCAGTGATCATTCTAGAAAAAACAGTAGCGATGGGTACACTAGGCTTGCTAGCAGTAACGGTAGTGCAACTGATAGCTGTGCTACTGGTGATAGTTCTCAAAAAGATAATGTTAATGTTGCTAGGATTTTCACTAACCCTAGGATTCATGATGCATTCTTGGGTATGGGCGAGTATGAGAATTTGGCCATCCCAAAAGGAAAATTTGGACTAGGATTTAGGAGGACCATTTCAAAGGATGGATCTCTTACTGGCTTTGGGCACTCGGGTATGGGGGGATCCACCGGTTTTTGTGACATCAAAAACAGGTTTGCCATTGCAGTGACGCTGAACAAAATGTCATTTGGGGGTGTTACAAGAAAAATCATTGAGCTTGTTTGCTCAGAGCTAAATATCCCATTGCCAGAGGATTTCTCAAGTTCTGGTGATAGAGGGCCTGATTTACAGTTCAATATGGGGAGACCAATGATTAACTAAATGTGGGAATTTTTATTACTATTATCATTATCATTATTATTATTATTAATATCTTGGTTACATGTATTATGTACATCTTAATACAAAATCAAAAATGTTATACTGACGGGAATAGATTCTAAATGAAAATGTAACATTTTTAACGTTTGAATTTATTTAGAGACGTTAGCGAAATGCATAGGCTGCTTTTGTTCTTTTGAAACAGACGAGGCAGTCGGTCTATATTTAGAGTTTTGTTAACAAATATATTGCACTGGGTGAGAAAATGGCAGTTATGAGCATGTGAGGTTGTGGATTGTAAACCCTGATATATATAAAATTCACTATTTATATTATATGCCAACCCATTCTATTATGTGGCAGCGATGGAGAGGTGCGAAAAGCAAATGAAAATAAGAAAGAAATGCAAGTGAGATACGGGCATTATTGAATTAACCAGCACAACCTGCAAAACGCGGTTTCTGCCACATCTTAAATAATTTCTTATTTGTCGATGAGATTTGCAAATTTTGTTTTATTTTATTTTAAACACTGAAATTGTACGAAAGCAGTGCATGTAGCCCCTGGAAGCTCCATTCGCATTATATTATTGAGTATACTTTTTAAACCATGTTTTGCAATTTAAAATCAGAGTAAATCTTGTACAACTAATTAATTGCCTTACCAATTATTCTCATGATTCATGTAGATCGCACAGCCCCATATTTTACAATTGGAGAAAACATTTTTTTCCTCTTACAACACAATTTTTTTTCTCTTGGAAGTTTAAAAAAAAAAAAAAAAGAACGAATGCACGGAACCAGTTAAGAGTGTGTTCATCCGATGCAATGAAACCAATTTAACTTGAGTATATACAACACACCAAATCATCATAGCCGACCACCGCTCAGTAGTGTAAGAAATTGCCAGCTTGCAGATTAGGAAACTAATCAGATTAGATGGAATCAATAATAATTAAATCAGACAACTCATAGAGTGGCATTCGAAGTGATTTTCATCATCTTCAAGGTTGTTTTACAAGTATTAGACTCTATATAAAGGAGATGAGATGACACTGTGAGTTTTGGAAAAAGGAATCAATTACTGTTCCATAATCCATACTGTTTCTGTATCAGACTCTATAAAATAAAATACAAAATGATGGGAATAGCTAGAGTGTGCTCTAGATTAGTGCAAGCACTTGGAGTTACAGGACCAAGATCAGGCTGCGCTGATTCCAATCCAAGTTGCAAACCCAACAATGCACCTCAAGTTGACGACTTGATGATCAGAGCCTTAACTGCTGTGTTTGGAATGCAAAATGATGGCAAAATAAAGAAGCAGAATGCACGCCAAGTGGTGGAGAAGCTCGGTCTGATATACATGGAAGAAGAAGACGGTGATGAAATGGCGGTGGAGGAAGTGCTTAGTGGACTGGAAAAAGGGTCAGACCGACATGATTTGCTTCTGGAAGCTTTCAAAATATTTGATGAAGATGGGAATGGCTATATTGAAGCAGCGGAGCTGAGAAGGGTGTTGCAGTGCTTAGGTCTCGACAAGGGCTGGGATCTCTCCGATATTGAGAAGATGTTGAAGGTTGTGGATTTGAATTTGGATGGAAAGGTTGACTTTTCTGAGTTTGAATGGATGATGATGGCGACAAGTTAAATTTTCATTTTTTCTTATTGATGTTTCAGTTCAGAATCAATTTGTAAATTCTTTCCAAGATCATTGTTTTCCCAAATAAGACATAATCTGCTTAATTAAAGAAAAGATTGTTTTGTTTGTGTTAAGTACACATCAAATAAGCTACTCAATAGCTTACTGTTTTATTTATAAATAGTTGTAGCAGGCTAAATAAAACACCATGTATTGTACAAACTACAAACAAAATAGCTAATTTAATGAAGGGAAATAAGAAAGAGAGGTTTTAATGCCAGAGCTCGGTAACACAGCTGACGGCGTCACTGATGACACTATTCCTGAGATTGGCGTCACTAAGCGCAGGTCCAGAGAGTGCCATTCCACCGTAAGAGTTTTCATGATCTCCATTGATTGTGACTGTTGGCGACACATTTGCTACTGCTCGAATACTATGGCGGTTCAGCGGTGGGGGTGAAGTTAGATGATGTTGATTTTGGATAAGTTGATTCAAACTACAGGTTAAGGAGCCTCGAGTCACCATGTCTTCAGCCAATTTCACCTGTACATATAACTAATATCCAATCAATATATGTATGATTGATTTTAACGTAAATTAAACAAAGCCCACGTACCTTGGCCCTCAAAGCTTCTACATCTGATTTAAGCACTCGATTATTTGTATCAGCATCCCGATATTGTTGAGTGGTATCTGAAAGCTGCTTGTACAGAGATGCATTTTCTCCTGAAAGTTGGTCCACCTGCAATTCAAGATCATGCAAATGTGCTTGCTTTCTTTTTCTGGATCGTCTAGCTGATTCCCGGTTAGAAACCATCCTGAATATTAAGATGTATTACTTAATTAGTTATTAAGGGATATCTGACTGAAACGCGATAGGTTATTGGCGAGCGTGGGTACCTTCTAATGCGTCTTACATCAGTGGGGTTAGTGCTCTGTTCACAAGGACCAGCTTCTATCTCTACATCTTCATCATCCGAGGAACCACTGCTTGTCAACACTCTTGTTTGGTTATCTCTGTCTTGTGCTTTGTTAGCGGATGCTGATCCACCATCAATTTAATCACAATTGACTAATATACAATTGATTAGTTAATTAATTAAATATGGAATGAAAGAAAAAATATACCGCAAACAGACGAGTGGGCATCAATGGGTGTTGATGAGGTCCTGGACTGCTTTGGGCTCATATGGCCAGACCACACCCCAACGGATTCTGCAACTCCACCACTTGTTAAACCATTCATCTTGTCCTGCATAGATATATACATTATTAACTAATTAAGTTACGCGTTTATTTGAGAATTTTGCCTTGATTTGCTTTGCTAAATTTTCCTTTTTTCTTTTTTTGTTAACCAATTACTATTTTAATTAAGTCCACATCAGCATCTTTGGCAGTCTCCATATTTTAAAGGCAGTCGCTTTCTTCTACACACTGCACTGATAATACTTAATCGGTCAACTCTTGATAAAATTACAAGTTCAAAACTCATCAAAGATAATATTTGTTCTCTTTAACAAGTTTTAATCTATGATGAAATGTTAATTCAAGTTTAAGATGGGAAAAACGAATTCTTTGTTGAGTTTTTACAGAGAACAAAGTGACAGAGACAAACTCAGTATATAAAATCATACGATCAGCGAGTAATAATACTATAATAGTAATGGAAATGAAATGAATAGAGAGAGGGAGAAGGACAGAACCAGAGTTTTGAAGGCGAAAGCGAAATCTGCAGAACAAAAATCACTGAAAAAGCCCTCTAGCTCGGAAGGAAAAGCGATATCATGGATTTCCTTCATGTCTCCACCTTTAATAATATGGCTATGGCTTGTCTTCTTTATAACCTCTTGGAGAGCCAGCTCTGACTCGCTTCGCTTCATCTCATCACTTCTCGTCCCTCTCTATATTTATATATTTGAGCGGAAGAAAGAAAGGGGAGGCGTTTGAGCTATATTGGGTTCTTATATACACAAACACAACACCATGAAGAAGAAGAAAAAAAACAAAAAAGGTACGTCTCTACGTGTGCGAGTGAGTGAAAGTGGAGCCAAACTAAAAAGTTTAACCTTACTAAAATTACGCAAATATCCCTCCACAGATGATACTAAACCTCTTGGACATGGCATGTAAATAACAACGGCAGAGCAGGGTTATCATGGAGACAGCAAGGACAAAAGCGACAGAGGACGATTTAGACTGCCACCGACCTTTGGACAAAGTTGCTGATTAGATTAGATGCCTCCACTCTTACTTTTCTTCCAGTTTTTATAAAGAAAGCAAAATCAGTAATTGCTTTTCACTGACTTTGCTCACTTTAGACTGGGCATCGGGCAATTACCTAACTTTGTACAGTGAAACACCCTCCACATTGCGACCGCATTTTTATTACTTTCTCCTTGTTTATTGGCTTCCTTTTACTTGGCCAATCCAAACCCATTCATTGTATAGGAAGCTTTTTGGTTCCTTTCCTTGCTAATTAAGGACTCCAGTCCAGGAAAAACCTATAAAAGATTTTGTGGCCACTTGCGCTTTACCTATCTGGATTATGAATTCAAACCTGAGCTGAAGGGCATAATTTCTTGCAGTTATATAGATATTGGCAGACCCATTTTGAGTATAACCCTATCACCAATACTGCCTAAGAGATTTCAAAGAATCCTACAAACAAATTTTCCAGAAAATGTTAAAAGCCCAGTGGCATGAAAAGTAAATAAACAACATTTCTTTGGATAGGACGGTAACAGAAATCTCATCATCCCCTTGAAAAGAGACAACTTCTTCAAGAAATATATCAATTATCAAAGTCTTAACGAGTCACTTTTCCACTCATGCACTTTTTTTTATTGCTTTCTTCCGGTAAGTGTATATGCTATACCTGCAGCTTTTTTGTAGTTTCACAGTTTTTGTTTTCTTTGACAGAGTTTTATTTTATATATAACAGCCCAAAATTAAATATTTCAATCCCAAGACTAAAACTTTATGCACATCAACGTATTGAAACAATGAAGCCAATCCCCTTTCAGCTTGGGATTTGGGAATCAAGGCAAAGAATCAGTCTTTTTCTCTTGAGTAAGAAGGTCAGATAGGCTTGTTTGTTATAGGCTGTTCTTTTATCCACAGTGCTTCCGGAGAAGATGGATTTTCAGGTCTCCGGTAAAGAATGGAAATGGACTGAGATGGATCTTTAGAAATACGTGGGCTTTCCTTCCCTTATCGGTGAGAAGAAAGCTATTTTGACAGAACTGCCTAATTAATTATGTTATGAGTGTGTTATTGTTAGCTGTATGTTCTACTCTATAACGATTATGAATACTCTTAAGTGTAGCTGTATGTTCTTGTTAGATTTCGGGGTACTTCAAAGTTAATTACTTACTAAGCTGCCCATTTGATTAATATAAATCAGTAATTAAGCAATTAGTTAATTACTGATTAGCATCGGTAATCCTCGAGAGAGTTGGATCAACCCAGTGGCCCATTTTGTTAGGATGCAAATGAGCCCACTTTCCGCGATGGGCCAAGGATGGTCATTTAATTAGTCATCAATAGCCATCATGGACACATGCCAAATTTTGAATAGAGAATGTAAGCCTTGCAAAAATTTTAAGGTCCATTTTATATTTCTATTATTAGACTACCAGAACAACACAACACAATAGTAGTAGAAGACATTTTTTTTTTTTTTAAATTTATATATATGGGATACATGAAACTGAACTAAGCCTCTGAATTAGAAGAAAATCCTTGGGCCCAAGTTAAACGTTTTTTCTTTTTTCCAATTCCAACTAATTACAAAATGGAACTCACGCCGGTGAGTGGTGATGCAAAAAAGAAAAAGAAAAAGGCAATCCATATATTATATATTTGATGATATGATGATAGTTGTTCAATTATTACAATATGATGATATTCAGACAAAGTTCCTTTCTCCATTGGCATGACTAGTCTTTCCCTCTGAACTGCTAAACACGAAGTCTAGGTTGTAAAGCACTGGGACCATTGTAACACAACACAAGAAAACCAGCACCGGCCCAAATATCCAGAGCAGCAGAGGCATTGCTGTGTAGAAGAGCCTATTCCCTACTGTGTTTAGAACAAAACCCTTTTCTAATAACTCGCCCACATACTCGGGAGTGACTACGGACATTGGATCTTGCGGCGTATTGATAAGCAAGTTGACCTGATTCACAAACCTAATGGACAGAGAGTGGCAAAAAAATGAGAACAGAAATATGCTTAAAATGGTCACATATTTCAATGCCACCATAAATTCACCATGCGCCCCATATACGACATCGTTTAGAGGCTTCTTCACGCTGTAAGTGCTGCTTATAATGGCTGCCAACCCAGCAGAGAGAAGGATTGATGTAGTGGCCATTAGGGTCGAACCCATTATCAAATTTCTGAGGGTCTGAACGGCCAAGATATTCTTCTTGTCATTGTCCTGCACCCATATAATTAATATTTATATATACTAATAAAATTTGCAAGATTTCAGGAAAAGCAAAAGGAGTGGTATGATCTTGTTATGCATTGACAGTGCAATTAGGAAAAAAAGGTTAAAGGAAAAAAGGAAAAAAAAAAAAAGAAAAGAAAAGAGGAGGAATAGTTATGGTGGCATCCAAATATGCAATAGAATTTCCATTTCTTAAAATAATAAAAAGATAGAATGAATATCATTTTTCCCTTTACTACACTGCTTGATCAATATTCAATAATATAGTGGCAGTGACAGTGAAGAGCACTAATAATTGATAATTTATCTAACTTAATTTGCATGGAATCAATTGGGAATTTTGGTGGAGTGGAGCTGCCACTTGCTCTCCTTGCCATTTAAAAGATATACAAATAATTAGTCGTACTTGTTTAGGATATTCCTTTTACATTTTTTCGGTTGGATCAGCTGTTAGTTTCAGATTTCCACATATATAAATGTATGGGAATTCAAAGAAGAAAAAGAAAGTAATGAATATATATCTAACTCTCATATCCTTATCCTTTATATAAATATATATGCAGAAATAATGCAGCACCAGCAGGTTCTTCAAAATATCAGAAGTTGTTATTTATTACATAAAAATGATTAGAACAACCAGGAAATACAGGATGAGATTAGAAAATTATCGAATACATTTCCATTAATGTCTATATAAACTTGTGTGAATAGTTACTTGGATATTGTTAAGAACGTATGTATATTTATAAGTAATTAAGATTTAAAACAAAAATGAAATTAGAAGGTATATATTTATATATATGATACCTTCATCATGGCAGAAACCCAGAAGCGCCTTCCCCTAGAGTTGGTACCGATGATGGTGGTGAGAGGCTGTGTTCGAACCTTATGCCATAACCATAAATGATAGGCCATACTGATTAAAAATCCAAGCGGTACCAATATCACATCCAAATAACACTTCCTCCACTCCATCATCTTCTCTCTTAATATGTAGTATATAGTCACTCCAGCTGCTAGTTTAGTTCTGATCTTGCCCTTCAGCTGGCCAAGACCAGCATATTTGCATCTGCTATTTATACAGGCCATCCAACAATGTATGTAGACCTCTTTGAATTTGCTATTCACTTTCAATTAATTCAGCAAAAAAGGCTATCCTCTACTTTCTGTTTTTATTTTTTTATTTTTTAATTTTTTTTAAAGAAAAAAGGATTATCATGGGGACCCATACCTTTTTCAATTATTATTTATTATTTGCTGCATTATGTCCTACTTTCATTTTGGAAACTTTGTCCTATTTCTCACTTTTAATTTTCTTGCACTCCTGAAACACATGCCCCGCCCGCTTCTTATATTTACGTAAATGGTACCATCACACTTCCGTTGAGATATGTATATTCTATTAATAGAATCCACACGTGTGATAAATTTCAACTACTAAATTATTTAGTTCTATTTTTAAATTAAGATTCTTGTTAGACACACTTGTAGAAGTTTATAACAGAAATTTGAAAATTATTCACATCTTTTGTATTGCAGCGATATTTAGAATATACGAAAGAGCTAAAAATATAATTAAATCATGTAAGCTCGTAAATAGAAATATTTTATTTTTATTTGCGAAGAAATTGGTACTATAAAGTGAGTATAATTTTGAGATTTAAGGAGGAAAACGGCAATATATAGATGCCAAATTGGCAGAGCAAAGATTGGATGCGGGGATGACTCACTTGGGTGCATCCTGGAGATGGTTTGATGTAATTTTTATTCTTATTTTCTTCTATGGAAAAAAAAAAAAAAAGAAAGAAAAGAAGAAAATAAATAGAGAAAGTGGCATTGAGGGAAATGAGGAAGAAACGCAAGGTTAGAAAAGGAAAGACAGGGATTTAGGAAGAGAGTGAAAATCTGACAAGGCGCAAAGAAGAGAGTAATGAAGTGGCCAAACACGCCTTTGTCATGAGAGAGTGTAGAGAACGTGCGTACGCACTAAAATATGGAACCGTTTTTCTTCGTTTGTTGAGGTTACCAAACGACTCAGCATCATTTCCTCTTCTTAATTAACGACACATTTTTTTTTTATTAAAGAAAGAAACTTGTAGTGCTCTTGTGTTGTCCCAACTCAAAAATGGATTATTTATCTATATATATATATATATATATAAAGAACTACTTTTCTCACATTAGTTTTTTTTTTTTTTTTTTTTTTTTATTTTATATAACCAGTAGATTTAATTCCTTCAAGACGTAAAAATAACATACTTGCAGAACTGTAAACTGTAAAATTGAGAATATTTATATATAATTATTCCAACATTCCAAGGATTTTGCAGAATTTAATTGGCATGAGAGTGAGGTATATTTAATGGAATCATATTCAGTTTCCACTTTCCACTATAGTAGTCGAAAGGTTGAAACCAAATGAAGGAATATACGAATTCCAGAATAAATTCCATCTCCGTTTAATTAAAGTTAGTAGCATGTAAAATCAGGGATGGTATGTTGGTTAGGCTAATTAATTGATTGAGAATCGTAATGCTATTCCTCATAGAATTCCATATTCTTATCCTTTTAGTAGTTCTGCTTCACTTTGAATCTCCATTGTTTAACTTTCCAGAAGCTACCCATTTTGTGATTCAAATGGGATAAAATACTTTACCAGTAAAAATATTGGAAACCTCCATTGTCCAAGATATTAGTCTTAAGGCTGTATGTACAGGTTGATCTATTTGTTGTTTGAATTGACGTTGGCATTAAAATTTAGTTCAAAGCTAGCACCTTCCTTTATTGTTATGGAATTGCTTTTTGTTATCTTTGCAAATTAGATTTCTTTGGAGACAGAAATTCAAAAGCCTCAGCGACTCTTTTGGCTCTTCCAATTAACAACAATTAATCGCTTCAAAGGCTTTTCGGCATTTTGTTTTATCCAACTCGTGCTGGGTGTGCGTAAATGATTGGTTCGAGGGGCTTCACATATCAAACAAAATTCAGAAAAAAAAAAAAAATTTTAAGTATGTAGTGGAACAATCTTTTATTTGTAAAATGACTAATTAATTGCACGCCCCTACGCCTACACTTTATAATTTGTTGATATTGAAATGAGAGCATTTCAATAAATAAATTTAATTGATAAATTATACATATAGTAAAATACTAGTTTATGCATGGTGGCTAGCTGCCCCTCCTCTCTCCACCCATCCAGTCCTGCGGTATGTCTCTTTTGATTGGCGTTAGTGGTGGTTGAACCAACATATATATTTTGCTGCACAGAGTCATACAGCCGAGATACGTACAGCAAGGCCCATGCATGCAAACAGACAATATATGCATGTAATGTAATTAGTTTGTCTGTTGCAATCGATATATAATGATTTGGGTGTGAGGTGAGAATGAGATCCACACATAAGATAAGACCATTGTAAATGAAATCATGGATAAAATTGTATATTCACTTCCACTTCCGTTTGTTGTTAAAACACCTATCCATTATTTTTATGTATAGCCATTGAGCTATCAATTTTTTAGTGCCCCAAACCCGACAGATGCATTGCCATACATTTGCCTGCCTAAAACGGGACAAGGACGAGGACGACACACCTCCAACTTTTTCTTTTCTTTTAATATCCAGAAACAAAAATAAACTTTTAAAAAAAAATTATAAAGCCCAAACGACAGAGCCCAATTGTTATGGCCCATGGGAGCTTCAAAAGATTAAGCCCAATCACTATCCCACTTCTTTCGCGAGCCCAACTCACGCCATTCCAAAATAGTGAAATACTCTAATTCAAATCACTTCCATTCCAGTATGGCAGAGGGGAGACAGAAATGGAACCTAATCATTTGCAATCCATTAATTAATATACCTTCATATAATCTGATTTGAGGTTATACTTTCCTTTTCTTTCAGGAAAAACAAAAGAAAAATGGCGCCGAATGGAATCAGATTATTCTAATTAAGTTGCAATTATATTATACGAGGCAGACAGCTAATTACAATTTTCTTAGTATTATTGCTTTGCTGGCTCAATAATTCAGAGCTGTCCATCATAATTAACAACTATTTACTAGTATTTGTTTAGTTTACCAAGCAATCTATCTAATTGTATTGTACGCACCGTACCTACCAATCTAGGTAGCATTTCACTTAAAATGCAACTGATGGTATTTTTTTTTTCTTTAAAAAAAACAAAAATCCAATGATTATAAATAAACTTAAAATTCACAACTTCATTTGAAAATGATTATATTCAAAACTCATTGGTGAAATAAATAAAATAACTATGATGTAGTTATCAAAATTCGAATAGAATTGGGAAGTATTAATTAGTTGACCATTCAAATCGAAAAAGGAAAGAAAGGATGTGAATGTAATAAGAATCCACAGAGTACATGACTCTATATTAATTATTTGAATGAGAAACAATTGGTAGTGCACATGCGCGCCACTTACGAGCAGCATAGAGGACGAGGCTGTTCCTAAATCCTAAAATCTAAAGAAGAAAATTTATCTTTCATATACTAACTTACATTATATTTTTAGTAATAAAAGCATGCATTGCATTAGTATGATTGAAGTCGCGTTGCATTCCATTCTTTTGTTTTATTCTCAAAGTTAAGGGTTTACTGAATCAATGGTTGGGAGTGGGGATCACGATGCGCTTCCATTTGACTTGATATTTAATTTAAGCAGTATTCCCTAATTCATCATTGATTAGCTTCTTAATTTATGATCAGCCTGTTTTATTTATTTATTTATTTAATTTATTTGTCAAAGTTTTGATGCGCTACAACAATGCACATGCAAACCCAAAGTAGAAAAAAAATAAATAAATAAATACTTAGAATTGATTAAGAAAGAATGATGCTTTGCTTACAAGTTACAAGTTGGTTAATTGTATTAACCAACCGGCCTCAGAAATGGAACCCTTGCAGTTGCAGTTGCAGATTGTATCTAAAATGAGATCACATGGGATGGGAGAAATGCTCTCGATGTTTTAAATGCCGCATTCACAGGACGACTATCAGTACAGTTAATGATAAAATACTACTAGTCGTATCGTATCAAGAGTTTGAATATACAGTACAAGTGAAATGTACGAGGACGATGCCAGGTCCTTTTGACCGTTTGGGTAGTTTGCAACTTTGCATTGGAAACTTGAGCAGTCCTCCTGCCACTTTCTGAACAACACTCACCTCTCTACCATTATTAACCATTTCTTAATTCCTTGGAATCTCAGTCCCAGTCTCCCTCTCTTTAAGATACACCAACACCAATGTACTTCTTCTTTTAAAAACTACTGCCATTACTATCATTATCACACTATTTTATTTTATTATTATATTAGACAAACCCCAAAATAATAACAATAATAAGTCACATTTTATGAAATAAATAAATAAATATCAGAATTCGAAGACTCTGAAGGCTATAAGTTGAAAGCAATCCGTATCCAGTGGACATGAGACGGCATCAAACTTCAAACGGTGGTGGTGTAAGAAGAAGCCATGGATTCCAAGAAGTCCAACAAGATCACGGAAATTGTTAGGCTTCAGCAGATCCTAAAGAAATGGAGAAAGCTGGCCAACTCATCAAAAGCCAAAGCCAACACCAACACCAACACCAGCAATGGGAGCAGTAAAAGTATCAAGTTTCTGAGACGGACGCTCTCTTTATCGGAGACCTCCTCACAATCAACCCCAAGCAACGCCGTCCCAAAGGGCTACCTAGCCATTTGCGTAGGAGAAGAGCTCAAGAGATTCATAATCCCAACGGAGTATTTGGGTCACCCTGCATTTCACTTCTTATTAAGAGAAGCTGAAGAAGAATTCGGCTTTCAGCAGACAGGTGTTCTAAGAATTCCTTGTGAAGTAGCTGTTTTCGAGAGTATCTTGAAGCTGGTAGAAGAAAACAAAGACGTGTATTTCACACAGGACAGTGTAGGATTGGCACATTGCTCTTCCAAAAACCACCAAACTCCCTCTCACCATCCTCAAAGCCCCATGTGCAGATAGTTCATTTCCTCCCATTTTTCTCTTCCCTTGACCTCATTTCACTTGTTTTTTCCAATTTTTTTTCTGGATGAGGCCATGTATGAGAGAGAGAGAGAGAGAGAGAGAGAGAGAGAGAGAGAGAGTTTAATAATTAAGTTGTTTTCAAATTGTAACAACTATTTGAGAAGCAAAAAGAAGCATTTTTACTCTTCAGTAGTCTGTTGGTTTGCCTGTTCTTTCTTCTTGGTGAGTGCTGCTAACAAGTCATGATATCCAACATCTGCAGTGCCATTAACAATTTCAAAGACCAAGCTCAACTTTAAACCAGATAGAATTTCAAAGAGATCATTAAATTTATGCTGTACTGGCCTAATCAAAGTAATGAAAACGTCTTGAATCTCATAATATTAATCTTCTGTCGGGTGTTTATCATGCATCTAACATAAGTTAAAAGAGTGAGTTTGATAGCACATTAAGCGCTCTAAGCAAACTCTAAAAATTCAATAATGAGCGCTGTAAAACACTCAGGTCCCCTCGTAATGCAAGTCCATATTATTATTTGTTTCATCAGATGTAACGGTCTCATAGTATGCCTTGGTCCCAAGCTGATTATTCCAACCTGTGCTACTAAGGTAGAGGCAACAGCAGATTAAAGATTGATAATAGCTGGGACCCGGTAAAAGGGAGTATTGGGACCGGGTGATACTCACTAGTGATGCCTCTGATACGGATGAGATTAAACCACGATGACAGTATTTGACTGATGCCATGAACAAGAGATAATGAGTTATTTCTATTTGCCATTGATATTTTTCTGTGAATTAGGACAATCACGTACAATATTCTGTGTTTGACTATGGAAATATCAATAAAAAATGTGTCATCATAGAAACATATATTATGCAGATATCATAATGCATTCGAGCACTAATTTACGCCATCAATCTTAAACTATAAAATATGATAATACATTTAAATACCTTTATCACTGAATTCACATGCAGCCCATTTATTTCATGCTTCAAGTACATAAACATGTTCAGAATGACGCATCACAAAGCCTTTCAAGTACTTCTAAAATATCGTATGAAGAAAAGGTGTTCACTCATTCAAATGGTACAGCAAAATATAATAATAAACCGAAAGTCATAATGGCAAAGTAAGATCCAAGAAAAGAGGAGACCCACATGACAAATCTTTATGAGTTATGCATATAGGCGAACGTTGGCATGTATTAAGTTATGCTTAATAGAGACCCCAAAGACTAGAGACAATCAACAACCTAAAATTAATCATAATAATACGCATAACTCACTTTCATTAGTTATTATAGTAACTGAGATTTCAAATAAAACAAGGACTCATGAATAACCCGGCATTTAGGTTTATTAAGAGGCTGTATCTTAATATGTAGAGATATGATGCAACAACCAGTATCATGTATGCATTTGTCTCAATCCAATAGCAAAACATGTATGACTAGCTAAGTCATTGAGGAAACAATATATGATTGAATATCAAAGTGAAATAATATAAACAAAACAAATCTTAAGATGTTACATAACCTTCGTCAATGTATCAGGTTCAATTATGATTCTTTGTTAGATAATAATGGACAGGTGGGGGAAATGATAAGGAAGAGATCAATATTAAGATATTGCAAGAGAACCTCAAAGGGTGTGCGTGATGAGTTGTATTATTCAGAACAAGATTATTCAACAACCTTAATTTAGATAAGAAAAGAGAGAGTATTCAACAACCATCAACTTAATTAGGCTATTTGAAACCAAAAGATTCACAAAGTTTCACAGCAGTTGAATGATTAGGGCATATTTCACAATGCTAATCTCCATCTAATGCAGATATCAAAGAAAATGTCAACATTAGGTACAACAAGGCCTTGACTTACATTGTTCATTTTTTTCCCCTTGTAATACGAGCACTTTGCTGAAGTATTAATGCATTACTTATGGCTGCAACAACATATATGTCTACAAATGACAGAGCCTGTGAATCCATCCCCAGCTTGTCAATTTGACTACCTAGCATATCTCAACTGTGATTTCAAATCCTAACTTATATGGTCAAAAAAATTGTTACTCGCATCAAATTGTTCCATTAAGCTAGTAATTCATAAAAAAATTCCTTCAGATATACTGAAAGTAGAAGACAAAAATGAACACAGATCTACATGCTTATACAGAGAAAAAATAAGATGGTAATTCCAAAATTAAGGCCACCTTCATTCATGAGTGTAAGGACAGATTAGAAATTTAAAACAATTCTGTGAGTCCTCCAAAACTTAAAAACGGCCACCATCAGTGCAGCCGCAGGCCATGAGGAATCCCTTAAGTTCTTATAAAAAAGTACCAAACTCTAGTAGCGCAGCCATTCTGGTCATCAAGGGGCCATGAGCAACCCCATAATAGTAGCTCACTGGCCCTCCCTAATAAGCTTCATATATGTACAAGTTTAAATTTTAAGGTAAAGTTAAACTCATTTAAATTTTAATAAATAAATCTTTCTAATTTCCAATTATAGATCATTTTCAACACAAAATGTGTGCAAGGAATTTTCAACACCTAATTAATTAACTACATAGAATTTTTAATTGTCCTTGCCAACATAATGAATAAAAAATTTTTTTAATGAATTATACTTCATAATATCCAAAAACTGATATTACTGCACTGAGAAAAATGAAATTGATTTTCTTTCAACATTCATGTCTTAAGATACATCTTTTACAAATTGGAGCCGCTTATTTTAATAATTGTTTTTTGTGAATAGTGAAGTCCCCCCCCCCCCTCTTCCAATTTGCATCCCAACCCCATCACAAAATTATGTGTGGTTGTGCCAACTGCTAGCTTCCTGATCAAGGCCCATTTTCTACAGTACAAGAGAAAGAAAAGAAACTATCCCAACTAAGTCAATAATGCAGGGTAGTTCATTTATTTTCATAAAGATACACAACAGGTCAAGATTTAGCAAAGCAAGCTTTTGCATTACTTTTATATAAAACATTACAAAGAGGCTTCTCAAAGAATATTACTGAGGGAGAATAAATGAAAAAGACAGGAACCTTAGACAAGCTCCTTAGAACAATCAAGTGAACTCTGAGTAGAGCAGTTGAATGATACCGAGGTCATCAGGTTCATAAAGATGGATCTTCGCCATCACTATAATTTGGGAAGGTAACACATTTGAAGACTCTGCACTTTGGGCACAAAATATATCCAATCTGCAACAAAATTTTAAGCATAAGAATGAGGATCATTGTTTTAACCTCCTTTTATCCTACGCCACTTGGCTTCTCAAGTTACAGATACCTAAGGTACATCTGTACACAGTTCAATAGCATGGTAGACATGTTGCACTGCAAGATGGCTACGACCATGCACTAATAAATACAGATAGCGTAAATAAGGGCCCATCAGCAACCAATATTTTGACTGTTTCCCCTTTTAAATATGAAAGAAGAAAATCAGAGAATTAGTTTGCTAGGGGAAAATATTTGCATCATATAATCAGAATAAGTATATTATAAAATAGAGATCATAAAGGACAAATGCCCTTCGGCTGATCAGGTGAAGCAATGGAGGAAGGAAATGTCAATGTTGAACCAAAGAATTTACATTAGTATCATCAGATTACTTACAGCTCTGCAAGATGGACATCGCCGGTAGATTCGCTTATTTTCAGCTTTCACATTGGTTTTCTGTCCTTTGCAGAAATCACAAAGTAACCATCCTTTTCCATTGCATGGTTCACACATGATCCCTGAGTCAACCTTCAAAACAACTGGACTAGAGTAAGAACAGGATTAGCATATATGAGCAATGGCATTAAGAAGCTCGTGTTTAGCTTCCATAACCCATTATTATAAGCAATCATATTTGAGAATTCTTTACACGGTGCAATTGATTCCCTCCTAATGCAGGGCTGTTGGACAAAGGCATACCTTGTAATTGCATTAGTGGCTATGTCTATCCAACTATCGATGAAATTAATAGCAGAGTAATCATAATACAGCTGTGTGCACTACCAGCTTAAAAGGATTCGCTGATCCAAAGAAAGAAGATAATATAATACAAAAGGTTTTCTCACTAATATTAATATCCACGAATGAAGAATCAATGTCCAATGTAAATAAAACAATGAAAACTAACACAAAACTTAACCAAGGAGAAACACTAGAAATGGAGGAAGTTAGTATGACTGTGTGATAATCTGCTTCAAAAATGTAGGAAAAAGGAAAGCATCTCAGCATTACAAAAATTCCATAACGAGAGGTCCGCAAAGGTAAACATGTTGATATATGACTAGGTCAAAATCTCCTTGATAGTCCAACAAAAGAAACAGAGATATATTGTATAATTATGAATATCAGAGATGTTTTGATCTTGAAATATTTTATCCATTTATAACAATAATAACAACAATAAACGATGATATAGAGATGATGAAAACCTGCTCTTCTTGGAGTTGCTGCTGCAGAGGAGCACAGCGCGAAGGCTTCAAGAAATGCCTGAGGGAGGTGGAGTTGGTGTTCGTCCTGCTCCTCCATGGCAATGATGGTAACATCATCGTCAAGTAATTAAGCTTGGGCAAACTTACTACCATAAACATTGCCATTTTTACAATCTTAAACTGCTATTTTCTCCCACCGGTTCCAGTTATCTGAGAATGTCAATGAACAAGAATACACCCCCTATTTACCACAAATAACTGAAGTACCACCCAACTCTATCTATAGTACGTAGCACTGCCACATCGCTCCAGTCCAACCTGTCGTCTAGTGCCCTTAACAGCCAGTCATCGTCAATTATTATAAGGCATTTTTAACTGAACAAATTTATAAAATCTACTCCTGCTTTCAACATGGATAAAAGAGTTCTTTCCAGCAATTGATCGCTCGAGACTTTCAGACACAGCAAACCTAAAATCTAAAGGCCAAAGAGTTAATTCAAAGCTAATAAGAGTACCACTACCAGTGCTGGTGCCCCCCCGCTTTGGTGTCTCCGATGGAGTGGAAAGCCTTGAGACCATTACTGCCGCTTTAACTTCATTGTTCGGAACTTAAAGCTACTTGAAAAATAAAAATAAACAGCAGCGAGTATTACGCATTGTTAATCAGATTACTTTTACAGCTGTATCTGCCTTTTACATCAGAAAACCGCCAGCAAACAGTAGACACACTGAAGTGGGCTTTTGGTTGATGATGGGCCTTCCTGTCTCTGTGTTTATTAAACTTATTATTCCCAAACGAGAAAAACGACCACAGTTGGGCTTTCCGTTTCTGCAGATTATCATATCAATCTAAGCTTTACACAAATCAAGAAATTCGAGGAGACAAATTTACTGATCGACGGCCTCTTTTGATGATTCTAGGCCTATCCAGATATTACAAACCCCAGTTTGTAAGAGTAGACATAATAATTTGTATTAATGTGCATGGTGAACCATCCACCCTTGATTTATTGATATTAGAATCATCTTTAAGGAGTTTGTTTAACTGAATTTTAAATGTTAAACCTAAATTAAAAGCTTATTGAACTGAATAATTAAGAATTAATATCAGTAGCTGGTTGTTGAATAATTAAGTAGTAAATATAGCCTCACTTCATAATTGTAATAGGCAACTTGGTCTTTTCATCTATTAAGCTATAGAGTAATTTAATGAATCAGTTTTAAAAAGTAGTTTTTGTTATTTAGAAAAAATTAGCCTTTGTAAATCCATATAAGTAGCTTATTAATTTAATTTAGATAAACAAACTTATTTCATTACTGTCTGAATGAATAAGCCGAAGGTTCAATAAGTGGTTAAGTAACATAAAACAAAGTCACAAACGACTCCTAAGACAGAAATTTTCGAGTAGATATAACTAGATGGTGATGAGAAAAGCTGCTCTAGTCTGCTGCCATCACCTCCCTCAAGCTCTCTTCAAATGTATATCAAGATCCCATCCATGTACATGCCTCCTTGAACTGCCTTCCTGTGAGTCTCCTCAAATAACCTTTCTAATCCAAAATCCAGTGTGTCCGTGTGTCACCGGAGAGAACACAACCAAAAAAGGCACCAGTCTCCTAATGGCAGAGGAGCAGATTTGAAGGCCAGATCCCAAAATTTGATATGCCTTTACCTAAAAAACCCCATCAAGGATATATAGCAAGGGGAGAAAAGGAACAAAACAGAGAGAAAAAGAGTGAAAGAGAGCCACTGCTGGCTTGGCGTCTGCCACCAGCAGGACCAAAGAGACTTACCCTCACAGTGCTCTTAATTAACTAATGATGATAATTTTGTCCTTTAAGTATAGTCCATGACCTGAGAAGCAAAATAACAGTCAATAATATGCCCATTATTTAATTTATGTCAACAACGAACTTAAGTGGAGCCAATAAATTGGATATGGTGAAGACAGAATATTAAGCTCAAGATGAATTAAATAAATTAAGTTTTGTACTCCAAAACTGAGAAGGCACCATTCCAAAAGGTCCAGCCTCCCTTAGGAAGAGACTTTCAAACACCTAAAGCAGAACTTCCCAAGCTGACTATGAAGACCTATCATTATCACATATTGCCCTCGAGCAAATATTTTGTTGATATAAATATCCAGTTGCAAAGCAATGACTACGATGTGGCATATTCATATCAAACGCATGAAGCTGCAACACTAGCATGGACCTTCGTTATAGAATTCATATGCTTGCACAATAGGAAATTCTTACCGATAGAGTTGCTCAATAAACACAAGCAATGCGATCTGATGATTCAAAACCATGGAGGATAATCTGATTGATACATTAGCACGTTTCCGAATTCGTTGTCCATGACCATAAGGTCCACCAATACAGAATGATAATCTTGAAGCTCCCTGCATTGAAGAGCCTTTTTTATTTTAAGAATGAACAATAAAATATTCAAACTAAATAAACTAACAAAATGGAAATCAGGATCACAATATTGTAGAAAATTGAAAAAAGAAACAGGCAGCGTACAGTGTTTCCCGCGTCTGCAACCAACTCAGCCATCTGCTCAGTCCCAATATCTAATCCTTGCTCATCCAACATCACAATCTGCAAGAAAAATATTCACAGATTGATTAATACTTAAATAAATAAAACAAACAAACAAGGGAAAGAAAAACTACAATTTCAATTATTTTCAACTAGACACCCACTGACTGAAATGTTATGAGGGCAACCATCTTTTGTCTTGAAGAAGTCCAAACTTGCTTTACGATTTAAAAAGAAGTGCAAAATATAAAGCCAAAAAAAAAAAAAAAAAAAAAAAAAAAATCCCTGCTCCATCCAACAATCACAATCTGCAAGAACATATCACCGCAGATTGATTAATATTATATTTAGATAACTTAGAAACAAAACAAACAGAGGGAAACGAAAAACACAATTCTCAATTATTTTCAACTAAGACACCGCACTGACTGAAATGTTATGAGGGCCACATCTTTTGCGTCTTGAAGAAGTTCCAAGACTTGCTTTACGATATTAAAAAGAAAGTGCAAAATATAAAGCCAAAAAAAAAAAAAAAAAAAAAAAAAAGCATTTCATCACAAGAAATAGATTATCATCAATATCCATCCTTAGATTCAAGAAGTTTACATTCTTGAGACCTTTAACAAACAAAGAAAGTGTCTTCATGATCTAAATCAAGAGTTAGTGACTCAACTTTAACAATAAATTGGCTGGGGAAAAAAAAAAGAACCAAATTAAAGAACTATACTAACCCATCATCAAACAGATTTATACTAGGTTCATGCTGCCATGTCTTCATCAACACTCTAACCAAAAAAAAAAAAAAAAAAAAAAAAAAGCATTTCATACAAGAAAAGATTACATCAAAATCCATCTTAGATTCAAGAAGTTATTCTTGAGACCCTTTAACAAACAAAGAATGTGCTTCATGATCATAAATCAAGAGTTAGTGAACTCAACTTTAACAAATAAATTGGCATGGAAAGACCATTAAGAAACTATACCCAATCATCAACAGTTATAAGGTTCATGGCTGCCATGTCTTCATCATCAACCTGAACCCTCACATCACTAAAACAAAACAAAACATTGCAGAGTCACAAAAAAATGTAACACATTGGAAATATAGATTCCAGTTATGCTAAAGACAAAGAAACTCAGATACCGAGCACTTTTAGGATTAGAGCGAATTTGAATATCGTCGACAGAGCAATAGGGTTTGAGCTTGTTGATATAGTCATCTACGACTAATTGTACCCCACGGGACCTCTTCTTTCCCACTGTGATTATCCGTGTGGGCAACGCTCTCTATGCAAAAAAAAATGAAATGAAATGAAGAGTATTTAGAATTTCGAATTTGGTTTTCAGGAAGAGGATTAAATTTATGGTTTTTATTTACCACCGCTTGGCCGGAGTATTTACATTGTCTACCTGAAAATCTCCAACAAAGAAGTGAGGGTATGATATTGCAAATATTAAAAATTGATTATTATTATTATTATTACCAATCAAAAGAGCATATAGTAACCTGGAGCCGGAGAAGCAGAAGAAGAGCAATTGCATAGATAAAAACTGGGGTAAGCTGAGATTGCCATCTCTCCTGATTATAACAATAAATGACACAGCATACAGAAGTCCAACCTCCAAATCACTTTCGGAATCCCAAATTACTTCACAGCAAGCTGAAGAAGAAAAATACGAAAAAAAGATCGATCACTGAACAGTTGCCACTTATGTGATGATAGGATAACGCTGCACAGTTTTGAAGGATGAACTTGTTTGAGCAGACGACTACACGTTTTAGGGATGGCATGAAATGGACCAATGCCCGAACTTTTCGTTTGCGTCGTTCCAGTGATTGAATTAGAAAACCCACATAAAGGCCCAATAGCACAAATTTGACAGGCCCAAATACGTTAACGACCAATACTACTCCATTGATTTAAAATTGAAAGTGAAAAATAATTTGGGGCATTTAAATTACATTGAAATTATCATACTGGTAGCGAGCTATTTGAACACTCGAAAAATGTTGGTGTTGTTCTACTAATTGTCCAAAAAATGTTTAGTTGATTAATTCAATGAATTTTTTTAAAAATATTCAATGTGTAAATTTTTTTATACGTTTGCTTATTTCTCTCAAAACTATGATTTATGCATTCAAGCTATTTCTTTCAAATCTGTAATTCATATTTTCTTTTTTTTTTTTATGGAAAAAAATATCAGTCCCCGCGGAGTGGCAAATGCAGTGAATTACTTTCTGATTCAAATGCGAGGGGCATCGCTCCTTGGAAGTTAGTTCTCAACTCTGCCGGCTTACCTCAATTTCCTTCAATGTGAATTCTGAATCGATTCGGGGTAATCAAACCGTCCAAATGTAGGGATAGCTGGACGATGATTTACAATGCCTTCCAAAACATACAACCGGTGATAGATTCCTATGATTTTTCAATTTTACAGTCCAAATCTATATCACCAAATTCTCCATAGAGAATGTATGCCGTTAATCCAACTAATTATAGTTAGGCATCACAATCCATTCACAATTGTGCATTATGAAAGCAATTTCAAGTGGAAAGGAAAGGTGATGGTACAGTAGTAAAATGTGCCAAGGCTTACTAGACCGGCTTCAATGAAAAATCTCAGCAAGTCTGAAGAGCAAAAGCCATTCAATATACGAGCAGTTTAACACCTTCTTCGCCATTGAATTTTCTGCAAAGAGGTTGCCTGAAATACTGCTCGATGTTTAATTTTAATTTTTTTTTTTCAAAAAAAGGGGAAATCCACCAGAAAAAAAAAAAAAGGTGATGTTTAAAGGATTAAAATATCCGATACTTAAAAGATCAGTAACATGTATCAACCTCACAAAACAAATCCGCCAGAAAAAGAAAAAAATTCATAGCGAAATATTGATGAATGGTTGAGAAGACTGATATAGGAAGCTGCATTCATCTCTATGGCACCAGTAAGCAGCCAAAGAGCCAAACTCCAGCCCCGTAAATTCATCTCCAAACAAGAATCTATCGATAGACAAAATCAATAAACCTAAGATCAATCCATTAGTATTCTACCCATTTGCACTTCATTCATTCCCCGATCTAAGCGTGCGGCCTCGCCTGCCCTAACCCTAATTGGTTCTTATGCTAAGCAGCTATATATATACACACACAGACTAGCAGTTGAAGCGATTGAATAACCAATTTGCCCTCAAGTATCCTATTATTTTTTTACACTCAATAAGAGGCCCAATATAATGATTCTAATGAGCCTAAAGCATTACCCAGACCCAACAATGGAACAGTATTAAAGTCAAAACTGCCCAGCCCGGCCCAGCCCACACCAAATCCTTCCCTCGCTCAAGGGACGCGATGGGTAGCATCGTTTGCTTCGTATTGATAAATCAGAGGAAACAGCGATCAATTTATTGTAATAAAGCAACGTTTACCGTGTTTTTTGTAATAGAATAATAGAGTTGAAGAGTTTAATTATTTGATGTGAGGGTGGCTAAGGGATTTGATTTCTTACAGGTTTGGATGTATTTATTAATTGATATGGTACAATGTAATAAATAATTATTTTTATATTTTAAGCTTGTTAACGAATTACGTAGCTTATGCTTACTTGTGCTTTAGTGTTGGTCACGCCTTCTTAGATTTGGATCTTATGTCAGAAAAGTTAACTCATGTCTTACCATCTCATAATCCAAATTAAATAATTGTTTAACCAAATTTTATTAACTGTAGGATAATTTTCTTGAACAACAATTACTATTATCAAATAATGTAATGTACAGTGTACTTGTATGCTATTTATTTAAACTTTTAGATTTTGATTCTATAATTACAATGATATTAGAAATTTTAATGATTTGGATTCAATGGATTAATATTAATATGTATATGAATGAAATAACAGGCTCCATCCATCAAAATAATAATTTGAATACAATTACCAATGTGTCCATATCTAGCTCATTATTTATATTATGGATTTGGCTAAACTTTAGTCAATGGCTTAGTAGTATCAGAAATGTCTTTAATTAGACTTATGAGATTTTACGTTCAAACATTGAATGGAATCAAACAAACATTGAAAACAAAAATAATGTTTAAAATGATAAGACCAAGAAGGGTGATATCAAAATCAATTTTTTTTCTCACAATATATCTCGTTATCAAATAATTGAAAAATACTAATACAAATATATAAGTATGATAACTGTCTGAAGATATATTATTCTATTTAACTTTTTTTTTCCTTTCATATAATTTTTGGATCCTATTTGTAACCATCGTAATTGTTTTCTCTCGCATTATCTTTTTAAGCATTTAAAGTGTATGAATATTTTTATGTGAAAAATAATATATCTAGATTTCCCCAACAAACGCAATTGAAAAAAAAAATCCAAACAAATTTTTCCCTTAAAAAAGCAAAAAAAATCAAAACAAACTTAACTAACTATCGTATCAAGATATATATATAATAACTATCAATTGAAAAAATTCCAAACAAACTTTTCCTTCAGAAAACGAAAAAAAAAAAAAAAAATCCAACTAACTATCGTATCGATAAGGTATGGTAATTTGAAAAAGAAAATTACTAACAATAAGAACGGTAGTTGTACTTATCTAAAAGCGTGATCGAGTCAACGATAATTTATGATCATCGCCATCCGTCTAGTCAGCACAGGAAAGGAACTAAAGGGACAGCGAATATCCAGGGACTTAAAAGGAAAAATGTGGGACATGCAGTATAAATTTGGATCCGGATAAAATATGAAAGAAACGAAAATTGACAAGGAAAATAAATAAATTTTCTTTCTCCATCATTATCTCTTTAATTTTAAAAAATAATTGATGGAAAATAATTAAAATTATTATTTTCATTAATTTATTAGGAAAAAATAAAGATTAAATTTATAATTTTAACTATTTTAAAAATTATTGTCTCTCTTATTTTCTCCATTCGTAAAAAAATTATTTTATATTTTTCATCTTTATGTTTTTAATATTTTATTCCTCACGTAGTGGCAAGGTTATAAAAGGAAAGAAACAAAATTTGATCAATCAAGTTGTTAGATAATATGATAGCTTAAACATGTTCGAATAATTTCTCAATCATCCCACCTCTGCTCTCTTTAAATTCGTTCTGCTTAAATTGTTATTCGTATTTCGTCCCTGTTTATATTTTGAATTTAAGTAAAAACAGAATCTGGCTGCAGCACTTCCGTGTGCATTGGATTCTGAAGACTAAGTGAAACCGAAAATGAGAATTGAGGAGAACGGAGGAGTATCAGCTTCGAGGAAGCACCTTGTCTTCGCTTATTATGTCACTGGCCATGGTTTTGGCCATGCCACTCGGGTCGTAGAGGTTGCCTTTTTTTCACTTTATCAAATCTTTTGCTTTGTTCTATTTCTTTTTTCTATGTGGAAAACTTGAGATCATATCCGATCAGAATGACTAGGCTTTCTGGTGAATGATGAATTGATGATTGCTCTTGAGCTTGTCCTTGTGGTTGTATCTGAATGACTGAATCATTCTCTTATGTTTTTGTTTAATTGTATACTAAGAGAATTAATTAATTAATTGCCACTTTAAATAGGTGGTGAGGAACTTAATTCTTGCTGGGCATGATGTGCACGTGGTTACCGGTGCACCCGACTTTGTGTTCACCTCCGAGATACAGTCCCCTCGACTCTTCATCCGCAAGGTAATTGCAATGCAATTTATTTTGGTCATTTATCGATGAATGTGATATTAGCTTATTATATCTGTTGCTTCTAATAATTTTCATTTCTGAAATTCTCTAGGTGCTACTGGACTGCGGAGCTGTTCAGGCAGATGCATTAACAGTGGATCGTCTTGCTTCGTTAGAGAAGGTAAGTATTTCAGTGTTCGTTGCTTCTTTTTGTGGCCATAATTTTTTTCATATCACCAGTTAAAAATTTAGCACTCAATGACACTAAGGTGCACAAGTCATCCATGTCGGCATTTCCTTCTTGTTATTTATTTTTGCTATTTTCTCCTGATTTCCTTTTCTGGAATGTGCTAGTATTCAGAGACAGCAGTAAAACCTCGGGAGTCTATTTTGGCAACAGAAATAGAGTGGCTAAATTCTATCAAAGCTGACTTAGTGGTATTTTTATGCCTCTTCTCTTATTCATTCCAATGCGCAGTAACACTTAGAATTTGAAAATTGCCAAATTCAAATGAATTGTTGACAATCATATCACAATTGCTGCTAATATAACAACAGGTGTCAGATGTAGTTCCTGTTGCATGCCGTGCAGCAGCAGATGCTGGAATTCGATCTGTTTGTGTCACAAACTTCAGGTATCATATGAGTTTTGAATTGTTCAGTGGCCGGACAGAAATTATTTCTCTCTCTTGTTTGAAGTTCTACTTGAACAATTACTTCCCTCTTGCTGGTTTATGGTTGCAGTTGGGATTTCATCTATGCAGAGTATGTGATGGCTGCTGGATATCATCATCGTTCAATAGTGTGGCAGGTGATCTATCCTCTCTTTTTATTGATAATTATTTATTTTCGTGGACTTGTGATTGTCCATTGTCCAAAATGATTTTACACTCTTCTTTGTCACAGTTATCCTTTCTGATACTTAATTATGCCTTATTGCGTTTTATCTGGCCTGGCCATTTTTCTAAATATCAGTATCAGATGGCAAATTTCCACATCCTAGCTAATACCTTTGCCTAGCCAAGACCAAGAGCTGTCCATGGTGATGGTAGGAACCAATGCCATACTCTCCCAAATATCTTTAATTACCAGCCCCACATATTATCATATTTTTATTTTAATAGACACGTACACCATCTGCACATATTTTTATATGGCTAGCTTATTGTTCTTTCTGTGTAATAGTAGCTGAGAGGGTAAGGACAGGTAAAGGGTCTTATGAGATGAAGCAAGCTTAGATTTTCCCATAGCCACCTTATCTTCATCCTTAAATATCATATCCCGTCCCGTTCACTATTTGCAACGATGGTATGGAATTTAAGCGAATTTCCAAAAGAAGCCACTTGATTGCAGAAGTCTCTTGATATGCTCCATATAGCCATTTTCATGCAATGTCTCTTGGAATAGTTACCGACAACTATTTATATGAGGACACTAAGCTGGCTTATATGAAATTTGAAGTGATTGTGCTGGTCCTTAAACCTTTGCTTTTTGGAGTTAAGGTCTGCCTCCTGGTTTACTATCTATTATGGTTGTTAATATGCAACTTTTAGCTCTTTAACTGATGATAATCCAGATTCCAGCTTTCAAGTTTACAAAAGATTCACACATGGGAATGCAGGAAGCAATATTCATCTGAAAAAACCAAAAATTTTTACCATCTGAAAATTGAGACACCTCACAGAGGAGGATTTCAAGTCCTTGAACATTTGCTTTTTGAAATTCAATATTCATCTTCTGGTTTGATTATTTGTTGTCAGTGAGTTATTTGCAACTGCAGTGAAATTGTTTGTGCTGTTGAAAATTGGTACAGATAGCCGAGGATTATTCTCATTGTGAGTTCCTAATACGCCTCCCAGGATATTGCCCAAGTATGTTTCTTCCTTCACAACCGCAATAGAAGGGCCTCTTTTATTTTCCCTTATGAGTTCTCTATTTGATGCTGCGAATATTTATGGAGTGGTGTCCAGTTGTTAATTTGATGCATCTCTTTGCAGTGCCTGCTTTTCGAGATGTTATTGACGTACCTCTTGTTGTGAGGAGGCTGCACAAATCCCGCATGGAGGTTTGGAGGCAGGAGCACTCTTGAAGCCATTCTGTCATCTATCATTAATTTTTGATGTAGTTCTCCATATTTCATTCTGTAGGTAAGGAAGGAACTTGGTGTAACTGATGATGTGAAGCTAGTTATCCTTAATTTCGGTGGGCAGGTGAAGATACTAATCTTGTGTTTGACCCATTTTCTTAATCTGATAAATTTTCTAATTGTAATTTTTGTCCTCCTCGAAGCCTGTTACATTGGTTAGATGAGTTCACTTCTTTCTATTTTTGAACTCCAAATCTTTTCCTCTTACATGCAGCCATCTGGCTGGAAGTTGAAGGAGGAGTACTTACCTTCTGGTTGGCTGTGCCTGGTAAGCTTTGTAGAAAAGTCCTTAAATT